TCCAGCTTATCAGCTGTCAGAAGATAATATTGTGACATATCGTGTATCGTGAACATGTCTTGACCTATTGTGATATTACAGCCATGTTTTTAAATTATAATTGTGTGCTATTTCCTCCCCCTCAGACTGTCTGTTGTAAAGCAGTATATATGTTTTGTCCCTGTGGCGGTGCAGGTTAACGCTTAACCAGTGTCAACACACCGGCTGAAGGGTGATGGAAAATGGAAAGGCAACTCAATTCACACTGTTGAACAAACAGACGTGTGGCAGATGGGCTCTTCCGTTAGACTCGGCCGTTAATGGTGTGGCACGTTGCTCTCTCGCAAGCACCATTAAACTCCTTTGTTCTCTATTAATATAAATGTGGTTGAAATATAACCAGCTAGTTCGCTGTCCTGGGCTGAATATCAAGACTAGGCTGCTAGTTGCTTGATCATTAGCCCGACATTTTTGTTGTGTTCATCGTGCATTGATTTGCATAATAAAAGCAACAGTACTCAATGAACCAGTTCAGTTAACTGCTCTTTGTAGGCTAATTCAGTTAGCATAATAAATTGAAATGTTTCAAAATAAAAAAGAAAAAGTTATTTGGACCCAGCAAAATTATGAAAACATGGTCTTTTATAGAACCTTCATTTTCTGTGGAGAGTGTGTGTTACACATTACCATTCAAGCAATTTTTATTTTATGTGCAGTAATAATTTATCCAATGTAGATTTCTATGTTACAAACTAGTCACTTACGGTTTTATTTAATAAGTTAGTAATTCTGTGAACAAAGTTATTAAATGATCTCTAATCCACTGTAATTATCTATTAATAATCATATTTTGTATGACCCATGAGATTTGATCTTCACTTTTGCAATATGATTCATTCTGTATACAATTTTTTTTAAACTTTAAAGTTCTTGATGCAAAAAAAGTTGCACAGGACTCACATATTAGAATTATTTATACACTTTTCTGCAATCAGTTAGTTTTCCTATTAGTGAAAACACTGAATCTATCTTTTAAATGGTTGTGTAGTTTGTCAAAGAACCTTAAAATGGTTCTGTATAGCATTAAAAAGGGTTCCACCATTGTTGCTATTGGTACTATATAGATCCCTTCTTGAAGAGTAGAAGTCTCATAACTGTGAAGTAGCCATAAATGTTAGAAAATCCTAACGGCGGTTCTCCTGTGCCTCTATGGTTTGGGCCGAATGAGTGAAATATCTTGATGCACCATAACGGCCAATCATGTTATAGGCGGCTTACGTTCCATGCGAGGAAATTACATATTGGAGCAGAAGAGTTTCCATGACAACAGCAGAAGTGATAACTGTGGGTGAGCCGTGTTAATGAAGGAAGAGTGGATACAGGCGGCTGGAATTAGGTCAGATAAAAAAGAATTCTTCTTTTGTTGTCAGAATGGCCTTGTCGCATCAGGACGGCGTTGCGCAGTCAGTCGTTTTAGCTCAACGTCTGAGGGGAAACCGCAGCTATTTTAAAAACTAGTCTTATTTTAGCCCAGCTGAAAGATTTGACCTTCAGTTGTGTATTTCTCAAAACTTATTCATGCTTAAGTATGATGTTTTTGTGCCTTTGCGGGGTTTTCTAGATAATCCATGTTTTTGCACTACAGTTGTATAAGTTGGAGCAGCCCTGATCAAATCTAACAATGGATTTTTAAAGTAAAAATTAAAGGGACCCACCGATCATGAACCTTTATGGCCAGTTCTGATTTCTTTGTAGCCAAATTGTCAAATTTTATTAGCCGATTTTCTTTATCTGAAGTTCACACAGTGTGAGCTAACTGAACATGTGAAACACACTACCACATTTCCAGTACTTTTATTAGCCGAATTTATTTACTATTTAATGAGCCAAACTTGCATTTTAAAATTTACATCAGTTGCTTGTTTACATAACATGAATTAAATATAGTGCTATGTTGACTGTACGAGGCATAATTAGTTATGTCTAATTTGGGTTGTGCTCTTATTCAAACATAGAGTGCTCTTACCTGACTCACCTTATTCACAACACAGAGCTGCAATAAAGATCTGCCAAAATAAAACCATGTTTTGAGGAAGAATCTGCCGATTCCGAACTTGCATCCTCAGAAAATAAGTACAGGTCCTCTACAGAGAACACACTTCTGCTCATTTTAGTGTACAGTTACTGTTTATTTGTGGAACTTGTAGGTGATTATATTGTTCATTCATCACCATTCTCATGTGCAATATAATCATTACAGCATGTGCAATTCGGGTAAAATATCTTTACAGTGTAAATATTGTTTTTGCTTTTTTATTTATAATGTTTAGAAAAAAGTGTATTTTTTTTTTGTCTTGGATGTTTTTGTCTTTAGTATATATTGTATAGTATATATATAGTGTATATATAGTATGTATTGTCTATACAGCAATAGTAACAAAGTATAACCTTGCTAAGTAACAAGTTACTTTGTTAATTCTCTTCTTGTTACTTCTTTTCTTGAGTGCCTTACTATCCTTTTGCTGCTGTAGCACTGTGAAGTTCCCCACTGTGGGTCTAATAAAGGATTATCTTATCTTAAATGCCATATTTAAAGGTGTTCTCTATAGATCAGGGGTGTCCCTGACTTATCTGCAAAGGGGCCGGTGTGGCTGCAGGATTTCATTCCAACACAGCAGGAGATCAGTTTTTTGTCTAAAACCAGTCGATCAAAGAAGCAGAGTCAGGTGAGCTCCTGTTTGTTTGAAATGAAAACCTGCAGCCACACCGGCCCTTTGCAGGTAAGACTGGACACCCCTGCTGTAGAGGATGTGTTAACTTATTTTCAGATGACTTTCAGAATCAACAAAACTTGGGATTTGACTGGAGGTGTTGGAGTTCTTGCATGTAGCTCTATCCCAGCTCACAATACACCTAGACAGGACGTTCATTTACTACGTTTACATGCACGCAATAGCTCACTGATTAAGCTCTTAAACCAAGAACAAGATGTTTATAAAAACTGTTCTAAGACTAGTCCATTTTCAGTCATGTTTACATGCAGAACAGCATAGTTTGACTTTACAAGTGTAGTGACTCTAAACGCTCCCTTCATGATACACCTAAGTTTATCCATGAGTTTTCCATCGTTTAAGACAGCTGTCCTTTTTCATCCATTGAAATAATTGAGTGTACATTTCTGACAAAAAGCTTAACATGAATGTTACAAATGTCAAACTCTTCATGAGATTTTGTGTAGCAGTCTAAATCATTACGTCTTTGTCTATCTCTAATAGTCCAGGCAGTATCAGCTTGGACCACGTGTTTTAGTTGCACTGAAATTTAGTTGACCTTAGTTGGACTATGACAATAGAACCATGCAGTTCACATGATCACATCTTAGACTAACAGTCTTATTTAGACTAATATCAAACCATTAGTGTGCATGTAAACATAGTTACTGTTTATGATTGCTTGTTCCAGGGGCCAGTTGCACCAGCAGTATGTAAGTTCAGATGTAGTCTAGTTATAACGTAAATGATTACTAAATTCCGGTTTACACAGTACAACATCAGAACAGGTCGCACAAACAAACTAGTTTTTAGCAGTTACTGTATATTCACACCTCCCCTCAGCAGGTGTAAGTGTTGACGAAACCAACAGAAACCTCATAGATAAGAAAAGGAAGACCGAAAACATGACCCGACTGATTTGGTTAAAGATAACTAACCTAAAACAGTAGATACTTACGGCTCTAATCATAGCCCTTTTAACTTTCAGCAGATGTTCTCAGCTCCAGTTCAGTGAGGCTCGGCAGGTGCCGAAATGTCTGAACAGATGCTGCTGTGATGCTGACGTCAGCCAGAAATCGCCATTTCTAAAAGCACAAACCATTGGTTAAAAAAAAAAAGCTGCTTGTTCTGTTGTAAAAACTAAGAACTGAGCCTGTAAATATGTACACATTGTAACTCTGATACTTTTCTTTTACATTTCACATGCCTTGACCTTTTTACTCAAAGCAATACAAGAAGGTTTGAATTTTAAAAACTAAATGCCGAATTTATGAGAATTGAATACAACCCACCCTGCAATTTAATCAACACACAGCTACATCTTTCTACAATGCAGCATTTCAAACATACATGCTTTAATGGAACACAGTCATCGACAGTGCATTTCAACAGTGAAAAAAGTGAAACGCAATACACGAGATTCAACAGCGACAAACGTGCCAAAATGTAAAGTGAAAGATCCGTTACATTGATTTAACATCATCTGAAGTATCTCATGGTGGAAGGCAATATAGCTGTGCCTTCATTACATTTCAAGGTGGATTGTATTCAGTTCTGACACAAATTCAGCAACTGTTTTTTAAAAGGTAAAAAAGCACAAGTTTTTAAAATGTAAAGCCTCAAAGAGGTCAAGCCATGTGAAACAGGTCAGTGACGTGAAAGCAATAATAGAGGTTTTACTTTTCTTTTTTGCGTGTATTCTGTTTGTAACTGTGGCAAAGCAATGCAAACATGACATTACATTTGACATTTTTCCACTGTAGTGATTGCATTGCAGTTTGGCATGTTTACCTCTCCATAGCTTTTAGCTATGAGCTCTGCTTCACTGATGTGGTTAGAGGCAAGTGATTATTTAGTATGCAGTACACAATGTTAATTGGTGGTTATAAGCTTTTGTTACTTGTTAATCACATTAGCCTCGTAGTTCCAGTTCAAAACTAAAAAAGCAAACTTCAGACACCAAACACGTCTTGCTGATCAGCTTCATTTGGGTTAGTCACACTTGAGTATAATGCTTTTGTGCCTGATGTTTTCTAGATGTTTCTCCATGGTTTTGCTCTACAGTTGTATAAGTAGTATAAGAACACACCTGGTCATGATGGATTTTCCAAGTAAAAGTTATAGATCTGCACCGATCATGAACTTTTATGGGCAGTTTGGATTTCTGTGTAGCCAAATTGTCTGATTTTTATTCAACTAATGTTTTGATTTAGTTGGTAACCACACTCTCTTTGTGTTTGCCCCCTGTAGGATGTCCCACTACACAGACGAGCCTCGCTTCACCATCGAGCAGATCGACCTGCTCCAGAGGCTGCGCCGGACTGGCATGACCAAGCCGGAGATCGTCCATGCGCTGGACACCCTGGAGCGGCTGGACCGCGAACACGGGGACAAGTTCGGCCGCCGCGTCTCGTCCGACTCCCCCTCCAACAACAACGGCTCCACCTCCACTTCCATGCCTGCCTCCAGCAACAGCGCCAGCAACGCTGCCACGGCAACCGCCTCCACCACCTCCATTGCCACTCAGACGCAGTTCTGTGGCGGCCTCTCGCCGTCGCCTAGCAACAGCTACGCCACGTCCCCACCACGGCCAGTGCTGCCCTCACCTGTCTCACTGGTCACCATGGTGCCAAACGGCCGGGATGCCCTGGCCACGACGCCTAACGGTAAGCTGTCGCCACCCCGTTACCCGGTGAACGCTGGGCCCGCTGTGAGGCCGTATGCGTTCGAGGGACCGGAGGAGGAGATGGACATTGACGATAAAGTGGAGGAGCTGATGAGGTCAGTATCAGGGACTCATCAAATTCTCATCAACTTTCCATCCCTGTTATTGCTCTTTTACTATTGCAACAGTCCTCTGGAGTCTAAAGCTTCATGGAAGAAAATGAAGAAAATGAATGACGTTCTGAAAAATTGTTCTAAAGCCGATGGGTTTTTTCTTTTGTACGTTTTTCCTCTGAATGTCCTCTGAATTATGAGATCATTAAAAAGTTTGAATATTGCTACATGCAGTCAGAAGACTGACTCATCTAAATGCCCCATACAAACCAGCAACTGTGGTATTAAAGTTGCTTTGGCAGTTTCAGCTTACAGTTAGAGTAGCTGGTTTTGTTGAATAATGTTTGTGTAATAGCAGACGTTTTAATGCACAGCAATGATAGCTTGCTTTGTTCATATATCAGCTACCTAACAACCTTGTAATTCAGAGAATTTAATGACATTGAGGGGAAAAATGTGGACAGGACAAAATGTATCTTCTTATTAAACACATTATTAAACACTTTTTGTTACAGATTTTAAACTGCTTAAAAAGTGCTAGTGGAGTATTAGAATTTTTGTGCCTCATTTTCTCAGTTAATGCAGTGTTTGTAGGTGTGGACTATATGGCAAAAATATAACAATACATTTTAACAATATGTATCACCATATTTTGGCACACTGTATGTAAAAACTACCATCAGAAACCCCAGGCAGAATGTTTTTTCCCAGCATTTCACACACTATGCTGCATTAAATCTGGTTAAACTGGCCTAATTATGTTATCTTTTTAATAAAACGTGTGGTTGTCAATGTTATTTAAAAACTGACAATATCCCTAAAACGCTCGGAAACGTATATAACATGGAAAAAAATGCTTTTTATTGTTTGGAGGAGCAGAAAAGGTCTGTATCACGAACTTTCATGGTTCATTCAAAAGCAATACAGATGTATAGTCTGGCACACTTCTGTTATTGCTATTCCTATTGAAATGTGGCTTGAAAACTGGAGGTATTCATTATTCATTTCTTCACACACAACATACAAAAATGCTGCACTTTGCAAGAGTGCTTTTGACTTTTGTGTTTTTTCATCTTAAAGGTTTTAAATGCCACAGAAAATAGCATTAGCAGAGAAAACAAACAGTTGCTGAGGGCCTTGGACCCAGTCCTTTACGTCTTGCTGCACTGGATCATTTGCACGATCGGAATGTGTGCATAATAGCTGAGATCTCATAAAACAGGCTCATCTCCACCCACGCAGCTCTAGAATAATGCAGTCAGGTCTGAGCCAACATGCTCGCTCTCTCATCCTGTAACGATTAATGCTGTGCTTAACACAATTTCAGGGCAGGGTTATTGATCTTGGTCTGTCCACCTCAGCAGACTTGGCGAAAAACCTTTTTTTGATGCGTTTCGGTAGCAGTGCATTAAGATTGTATTGGGGCGGTAATCAAAACAGTCAGTGACGTGGGAAATTACCATGGACTTTATTTACACCACTCAAACGTTTGGGTTGCCACCAGATAGTCACACCTTGACCTGCCACACTAACCATTTCCCAAAATAGCAGAATTAAAATCATTCTGTATTACGGCATTTGAATTGAAAACATTTGTCAAATTCAGTGGGAAAATAGGCTGTGACCATCTTGTGATCCCCAGGTTGAGAATCACTGCAGTTATGTATCTTATTTGTTTTCTTAGCATGTGGACAAATAATTCAAATGTGGTCAAAGATTTAACACACAAACAAAGAGGAAAAAAAAATTATTGAATTTAATTGTTGACCAAAATGTATTGTTTGGATTTCCAAGCTTTCGTGCATGTTGTTAAACAAACCTGCTGTTTTCAAAATGATATTATATAGCGAGGAAAAAACGTCCTTAACTTTTAATGTTAACATTAATTTAATGAGAGTTTATTTCTAATAATTTTGTGCTGCTTCTGTTTGTTTATTCATCACAAACTGCTCATACAATGTAAAGGGTAGGTGTCACTTTGTTGTAATAAAAAATGGAATATAAATAGTATTAAAAAAGTTAAACATCAGGTTATCATGAAGGCACCATTTGGGTTGAGCAATAGAATTTTGCATGGTTTTAATTTATTATGGTTTGGGATTTTTACCAAAGATCTTTGAAAGGTGCTTGAATTTTCTGTTTGTACTAGAATAGGAGCACTTAATTGGGGGTGAAACATGTGCCCATGTGAAGCTCTTCTTTATGAAAAGCTAGACCAGTTCAGATGCCACGTTAGATCGTTGTCTTGGTTTTGCCCAGGCCAGCATTCTGTGGTGAAGAAGCCCAGCATATAGATTCATAATGATTGTGAACGATGCTGAATCAGCACTTCAGCACTGAGATGCTTTATGAATGCAGCCCATATGGTGCCTATAAAAACCAAGGGTTGTTCTGCACTTGGGGCGAACGGTATGATATGATAATTGTCATCATAAATTGCACCACATTAAGCATTTCTGAGCATATTGCAGGTATCGTCTTAATAAAGTACAGTGATTTACACAGTTCGTCCCATAGCCCAAAATCATATTTGAGTCTTTAGTTTTACACTGGAGCTACAAGGCTGATGAAGCTAACAAGTAATGTAAGTCTAGGTTACTTAGAATCGTTATGTTATTTATTATATTAGCCTCGTATCTCTGTTAAATTAAAGAAGCCAGTGTTGGTCATCCTGCATACCTTGACCGTTTGATTACGTTTAGGCTAAGGGTGAAGTGGTGTAAATTTGTAGATTCAATTTTTCATAATGTGGATTTGGTTTGTTCTTGAATCGTTCCTTTAAAGTTTCAGCCTCTTTTTAAAAGATTGAGAGTTTGAATCTTGAGTGCATAACAGACCCTGCTTCAAAGAGATTTTTCCAAAGATTGCATAATTAAATCATAAAGGTATAAACAAAGTCAGTCAGAGTGGTTTGGTGTGAAATGCTCTGTTCTAAAGATAGTTACAGACTTAAAATTTTTCATGGTAGTGGTGATAGGAACCAGACGTCTAAAGAATTTAATGCCTCTAAAAGCTCCATCACAAAGTTATTAAATAAAAATATTTTTAAAGAAATTGCCTGATGCTTGAGACGTTGTTTTACAACAAACTTTAGCATAAAAGATATACTTTAAAGCCCATTCCTGGCAGGATGTTACCAGCATTTATATGTTTACAAGACTTGTGTAGGTTCACTGGTGGTTTTGGATGGTAAATAAAATGGCTATATTTGTGTTGTAGACATTGTGACCCCTGGTTTCTATCAGCACCACTATTCTTCCAAATGAAACCACTCTGAATAACTTTGTTTACATTGCAAACATTAAATTATGCAGACATTAAGTGTCTGTTTCCACTCATGAAACCTCAGAACAACTAAATATCATGAAACATGTTTTGTAGTTTAAAAAGTCTTGACTATATTAAGTGTATGGTTTTGTTTGTATGATTATGTGTGTGCTCAGGCGGGACAGCAGCATGGTGAAGGAGGAGATCAAGGCTTTCCTGGCTAACCGGCGCATCTCTCAGGCAGTGGTGGCACAGGTCACAGGTCAGTAGGAACATTTCACAAAATTTAGAAAAACATTTTAAAAGAGCATAAAATATGTGGGTACAAGAGGAGCATCCAGGAAAGGTCCTTGCTCCTTTCTGAGCAAGGTTGGCTCGCCACTTTGCCAAAAATACATCAGCAAACTGTCTTTAGCAGGTAGACGTTTTTACAGAGCTTTTGCAAGGTTTTTATTGAATAACTTGCACGTCTGTGAAAGCACTATTAACAGTGAAAGATGTATACACACATTTTGGAGCATCATATTCTGCGTTTTAGATGCTGTCTTTTTCAGGGACATATATATGTGTGTTTGAAGTTAATTGGACTTTTGTTATCATTTCTTACAAATTATATATAATATTATATTTTGTGGAATATACCATTAAATACATTGCCTAACACAATACTACATTGTCCGTGACATATTACAATAACAATGACTGTTGTAGGGAGAAGTTAATGATAATACACAGCCACATAAAATGGGGAAAATGGCTAAAAATACAGCAGAAAATAGCCAAAGATTAACTACAATTAATGACGTTCCATCAACAGGTTTGAAAGCAGTGTAACAGTATATAAACAGTAAACCACAGCTCTCAGTAACATTATTATTCTTTTGATGCTAGTAACATTTTCTGATAAGGAATTCCACCTTAAATGGTGCCTGAGTGCCTCAGTGGCCTGAGGCGGCAGAATGAAGCTGGCGAATAAGAAGCCAACTTCTGCTTTATGTGATTTTAGGCTATTAAAATATGTACAGTTTTATGTAGAGCTCTACTTCTGAATACATTCTACAATAGGACATTTTGACAAGACAGCACAATTTGTCTCAACACCTGTTAATCTCACACAGCCAGAGATGAGCTAAACTATATAAATAACTTTCACTACTAATATTTATAGATTAAAAAAAAACTGGAACAAATGATTACTTACTTACAGTGTCACACGAGCACAGCGGGTGATAGAATAAAGAAAGTTGTCTTTGGGATTACTCATTTTAAAAAGATTGAAACTTTCGTTTGTTTGTTTCATTTGTTTTCCAGATTAGACTACTTTTGTCTGTATCTTAGTAACGCGTCCATGTGTGCGTATCGGCGACGCCGCTGAAATTGTTTATTCTGGTTTTGTTGATGTTCAGTAATAATTCAGCTTCTAGTTACCTCAGACGGAGGCTTCGGACTCGTCTAGTCTTAACAAAAATTTTCACCTTACCCCAAGACTGAGACAAGTCCCAGTGAGATCGAGACCAAGACGAGACTGAGACCTCTCGTTTAAGACCGCACTCGAGTACTACAACACTAATATTATATATATTCTAATATTACATGTGAATATTCTTAAAATAATCAAACTAAATTTCCAGCCAGGATTGAACATACTTTAAACATTGTACATTGTTTAAACATATGCCGCCTTCTATACAACCTCCAGTTGTAGCTGTAATCATACACATCCTTGTTTAACTGGTCTGTTGTTCTCTCCCTCTCTCTCTCTCTCTCTCTCTGTGTCTCTCAGGTATCAGTCAGAGCAGGATCTCTCACTGGCTCCTGCAGCAGGGTTCAGATCTGAGTGAGCAGAAGAAGAGAGCGTTCTACCGCTGGTACCAGCTGGAGAAGACCACACCAGGTTGCGTCCTCTCAACCAAAGCTGCTGGAGTAGTGCCAGACACACTGCAGCAACAACTTTGTTTCCATCGACTTCATGCGCAAATTGCAAGCAACGGTGCAAGCACGTTTCTCTGCCATGTAGAGCTGTTTGAACGCTTTCCATTTAGAAAGGCTGTAGTCTTCTCCAGACGTCATCCTCTGTAGGAGCTGAAAAGTGGCAGCTCTAACTCTTCACCATGCTGTCGGTCATTGTTTGTGTTTGTTGTAAGAGGCACATGAGGGATTTTTTTTCATATGACACTACATTTATGCATAAAGGCATTATTTTTCCCAAAAAACATTTCCAGTGTAGGTTTTTTTGCAACATCTCAGGAATCAATAGACACTTTTCTGCTAAAGTTGAATGGAAAAAATGTTTTGTCAACAAAAGTACTGACAACTTGTTTCCATAGCCTACATCAACAAACATTAAGTGTTGAAATGCCCTAAATTCTCTAAAATTTGGCCCACAACATAATAAAATAATAAAATAAGAATATTTAAATAGTTATTGCTTGCAGATGGTATATTTTAGAAATATGATTGTTTAATAACTGCTTCTTGTGAGCTAAGCTTTCAAGAGAATCAAGAAAGGATTATTTGGAAGGTTTACATTATGTTTATGGAGCTTTTTTATTTTCAATTTAGTTTATTGTCATAGTTTTATTGTTGTAATAATCATTAGTAAGAACTGAAAGTGCATCATAATAATTGTACATGTGTGTAATAGTAAGTTTACTATGCTTCTCCACTTTCAGGTGCTACTCTAAACATGCGCCCCGCCCCTATGGCCCTGGAAGAGATTGAGTGGCGGCAGACCCCGCCCCCTATAAGCACCGCCCCTGGCAGTTTCCGGCTGCGCAGAGGCAGCCGCTTCACCTGGAGGAAGGAGTGTCTCGCCGTGATGGAGAGGTGAGGAGGAGGAGGAGGAAGAGGCCCGTGTGGATTTGAGAAAGACAGATGGACGCCTGAGGCAGAATGAATTAGTAATTAATTAGTGATTAAGGTTATTAGTGAGGTCCCAAGGTACAGTCGTGATATAGCTGTTATCAGAAGGTTCACAGGTTTTCATGGCTGCCTGATACTAAGTTTAACATAACACCTCCCTGTTTACAGGAAATTATCCAAATATATAAGGTGATTTTAAGGGTAGAACTAAAGACTTGCTTCTACTTACTACTTCTCCACAGCTACTTCAATGATAACCAGTATCCTGATGAAGCCAAAAGGGAGGAGATCGCCAATGCCTGCAATGCTGTCATACAAAAACCAGGTAGCCACTATGCATTTCACTATGCATTTGAGTACATGCTAGGCAGGTAAAAATGCATGGATGCATGATGATGCATCAGTTTGAAGGTGTCTGCATCAGTTCTGGGTTGGTATAATCTATTGTAACCAATTATAATAACATTTTTAAAAGTATGCAAAGTGCTCTGGCTGTTTTCAAACATAATGATACAAAGAAAGAGCTGCTGAATTGCATATTTAAATTGAGATTGAAAGAATAATAGTTGGATCAAATCTAATTTCATGATGCACTAAATTGTTTCCAAATCATATAATTTGAATTTAATCGGATTATGACATGATTTACTGCATCTCCTTGTCTGTACTTCTTGTGGAACAGCTATAGGCGACCCATTTAATATACTGTGGCATCTTATTCTCGGCTAGCTAAACATTAAGCTACCTTAACTTCTGCTGACAGGATGTTTTGGTGTTTGCAGGGAAAAAGCTGTCGGACTTGGAGAGGGTCACATCCTTGAAGGTGTACAACTGGTTTGCTAACCGTCGCAAAGAGATCAAGAGGAGGGCCAACATTGGTAAAGTGTTTAATGTATTTTGTTTTGCAATACAGTCACAGATTGATTGTTCTTACTGCTCAGTTTTATTAAAATAGTAGTTTAACACATCAGATTTATACAGTATCCCCCTTATCGCAAAAGGAAAGGGTCTGCAAAGACGTGCTTGGTGTCCAAATTTTCCTTCTTTAGTTTTTGCACCTGTTGTAAACACATTGAGATGTGCCTGAATACATCATTGGTACCCAAAAAGGGTTCTATTATGGTTACACTGTCAAGCTTGTAACAGTAGAAGAACAATATGCAGCACATTCTCCATCAATCTGAAGAACCCTGTTATGGTGCAAAGAACTTTTTAATCATGCAAGTAATCTATGTAGAACCATTTTCTTATTAAAGAACCCTTAAACAACTATCTTTTTTTAAGAGAGTAGGCTTGAGCTCATTTGACCTTAGCATTGTCAATCAAGCTGGGCCATTTAAATGTCCCAAAACACGCTGTTCGCTGCCTTAGGAAGCACAAAAGTAATTGTTTTTGTACTAATTAATCTGTTTCCTATTAACAAATTTTCTTTTAATGTGTAACTTTAGTCCTTGTCTTGAATCAGCCCTGATATGTTGACTGGCTTAAGAACGTTCTGTAGCAGCACCTGTCATGCATGTTAAACTGATAAAGCCGCACAGCAGCACGAACAGAACGGCTTCCCACACAAAACATGGATGGGGGGCTTAAAAGATTTTGACATAGTGATTGTTATGTATTAAATACAACAAAGCCAATGCATACAGTAACAGTAGTGATTCATACTCTGTAAACTTGTAGTTTATTTGTTTATTAATTATTTTAGCAAAACCTACCAGAACTACCAAACTATAGCTGAAACAAAGTTAGCTGACAGGTTTCTGACCAGAAAGCCAGTTTAAGCAGGGACAGCAGGTAATGGTGTGTTAACACGTAACCTGCCGTGCTCAGACGGGTTCTTAGAGAAAAGGTGTCGTGGACAATGATCCTTAGTCTGTCAGCGTAAAGCCCAATTCATAGTCCAGGTGAGAAGCATCCCTCGACAAAAAAATGACGTAAAAAGGCAAAATGTGCGTGCAAGTTTTTTATGTGTTAGCTACATTAACCTTGTTGCTCCAGTGCAAAACTAAAGACGAAAACATGATACACCAAACATGTCTTGGCTGATCGACTACATTTTGTGTACACAGTGTATACATCAGTGTATTTCATTTGGAAGTGAAAGCCATTGACATCAATGAGCCCAAGAAGTGTTTGATAGAATTACATCTACCATCTATTTAGTCTATGCACAGTAGATCCTATTAAATGTGCTGAACACTGAAGAGAAAAGAGACCAAAATGTGCTCCTATGTGAATGATGACTTTTCAGAACTAAACATCCAAAAAGTTTTTTAGAGCAGCCATCTATTTGCCAGTCCACTGTAAAAGGTCTGGCTTGAGTTTGGCGACTTGACCACTGTTAGAAAAGCTAAGACAGGGTTAATGGAGTAGTGGATGATTGCATTTTTGGTCGCGTGTGACAGTCTGTAGTGGGTTTTTAAGTAGCTTCAGATGTGTCACGGCAGGGTCTTTTTTCCAAGAAGCCACAATCCTGGAGAGCCATGGGATAGACGTGCAGAGTCCTGGAGGACACTCCAACAGCGACGACATTGACGCAACTGACTACACTGAGCAGGTGAGGGATTAACTGATAACTGGGATTAAGATTCTTCTTAATTTTTGAAAGAATGACCTGTATGGTGAATGGCAGTGTTTGGTGGCAAAATGTATGTTCTGTTCTCTCTCTGACCTCCACAGGGATGTGATTTGCCCTACTTTGAGAAGAGATCCATGACCCGACCGTTTGGTTTCTACAGGCATGAGCCTGAGCCTACATCGCCCACACAGGTAAAAAACTCCTTAAGAACTATCGCTATAAACTCGCTGGCAAAAACCCAACTCTTGTAGCTCCACTTTGCTAGTGTACAGTTAGAGACAGTAGCTCATCTGCAGTTTGTGTTAGTCATCCTGTAGTACAGGGGTCGGCAACATGCGACTCCAGAGCTGCACGCGGCTCTTTTACTGCCCTGTTGTGGCTAAACAGCAGAATCAGATTGTTAGGTAAAAATAAAATAATCCTCAGTAAAATAAAGCTCTGCTGGTCGTTTTAACACAGTTTTAACAATACATGGTCTTAAAAGCTGGAGTTAATGTAGAACTGTATAATGTATAACACTAAAAAGTCACAAACCTGAAGTCAGCTTCTCATTCGCCAGCTTCACAGGATGCAGCAGTTGCATTCTGGCACATCAGACACCATTTAAGGTGGACCTGGAAAATTCAAGCAAGAAGCTGGTGAATGAGGAGCTGACTTCAACCTTGTAAAAAGTTGAACGTTGAGAGACATTTTACAAGAAACTATTCTACTTTTTCAGAAAAGTGTCCTGCCAGAGATGTGAGAAAAGCGGCTATAGCTGAGCTAAAGCTTAAAGCAGAGCAAAGGAAGTCTGTGTTTTCGTTTGTGTTATATTTTTAGCCTACACTAGAACATTAGCACATACTGAGACATATTTATAGCCAAGATGGTAAAACATGGACATAAAATGTTGTGGCTCCCAAGGTGGTTTGATTTTTGTTGAAAGGATAAAATGACTCCGACCCCTGCTCTAGTCCTTCAGCAGTAGTCACTTTTTCACATACCCAGCTGTTATTTCCAGTCATACAAGACCAACCCCTAATCCATTTGAGTGTGGAGAGACCTAAAACCCTACAACTGAAAGCCACATTAATGTTTCCAAAACATTTCTGAAATCACTGGCACAATCTGGCAAAAAAATGATAAATAAATAATAAATAACATAAATAATATGTAGCGTTTGGCTCAGATAATTCCAGCTACTATGCATGTGCACGTCTGCATAACAAGTGGAGCTTTTCCTGCTTTAGCCATTCCCAGCACAGATATCATAGTTAAAATGTTTTATCACGATACTTGAATACATTTTCACGATACATATGTATCATTTATATTTTGACAAATAGATGCAATGCAGTGATAGTGCTGCATTTAAAAACTGCCTTTAAAGACTCCTTTCCACATGCTGTACTGCACTAATTCCAACTAGCAGTTTTAATTTTAAGCTGGCTTATTACTAAGGTGTTTTAGGCCTGTTGCTATGATATCCCTGGTAGTTACTAAGGTGCAGCTTGACCGTTGTTATGTTATTGTAGGAGGTTACTAAGGTGTTGCTAGGTTGTTGTTAAGGTGTTGCTAGGTTAAAGCTGTGGTATCCCAGGTCATTGCTAAGGTGTTGCAGGCCTGTTGCTATGATGTGCCGATGGTTATTATGGTGCAGGCTGGCCGATGCTATGTTATCCTGGATGGTTGCAAAGGTGTTGCTAGATTGTTGCTATGGTATCCCAGGTGGTTGCTAAAGTGTTGCTAGATTGTTGCTATGGTATCCCACGATGTTGCTAAGGTGTTGCTAGGTCAAAGCTTTGGTATCCCAAGTAGCTGCTCAGGTGTTGCTAGGCCATCCTTTGGTATCCCAGGTGGTTGCTAATATGTGCTGCTGTGATGTCAGTGAGGGGCAGTGTGAGAGATGTCTTTTGTGACATCACTTTCTCAACATTCCGCCATTCATTTCCTATGGGGAAAAAAACTGTTTGAACGAATGCTGTGTGAAAAACGCATGTGCAATCGATTCCAGAAACACAGGCGCACTATTCCTGTGTAGACTCTGTGATCCTACAAAGTTTTGTGGTTTAAGCTCTACTCATAAAAATGGTATCAAAATGAAAGCTCAGGAGAGCAGATGAAGGACCCGATTCTGACTCGTCTGTTTTCTTTCTCTTTCCCAGGATGACGGCACTAACCATGCAGACCATCAGGACCCCATCTCCCTCGCAGTGGAGATGGCAGCTGTCAATCACAGCATCCTGGCTTTGTCCCGCCCGGGGGCCGTGCCCAGCGACATCAAGACAGAGGCACTGGATGATGACTGAGGCGGCCTGCTGGATGAGCGAGGGTGTGTTGTGCTATGTATGAGTGTGTTGGATGTGTGGTACTTCATGAATAGGGTGGTGGTCTACTATCGCAATGACCAAAACAATGACGCTCTTGTCTCTAGTTGTTAGAAGCGGTCACTCTTAACTCTCCACCCCCTGTAGTATGTTAAAACTGGCCCAGGCATGTGTCTGCTGTTCTGCACCGGGCTTGCATTGGGGGGAAAAGAAAACAAGAAAAAAAAAAGTTGGGTTCCAGCTTCTTCGGTGCTTGGACCCCTTAAAAAAAAAAAACCACACAACTAACAAAACGACAAACACCACAAAGTTCTCCTTTTTCTGGAATCTTCCACAGTGTGGGGCCACTGGTCCTTCCTTTAAACCCTGCCCTCCTTCCTAAACCCTCAGGCCACCAGTCCTGACCCCAAACTTTACCTCATTCCGCTCCGGGAGTGTATAAATCTGTGCTAATCGTGTTTTCCTGTTCATCTGTGTGCTTCCTGGAAGTGATGTCGTTGTGCTTCGGGCGTCTCTTGCCCTTCCTGTGTCGCTAGGGCAGGAGAGGTTAACGTTCGACGTGTGTGTGTGTGTGCGTGTGTGTGTGTGTGTGTGCGTGCGTGCGTGTGTGTGGGAGAAGAGCGACTGTGCCTGTGCACAGTTTATATGTGTACTGGACTGACCGCTCTGTGTATTTAGGCGATTAAACACTTTCATTCCCTTTCAGAAATGTTTTAGAGGAACACTTCAGCATTTTTTAAACCTAATCTTCATCTGCTGTATCTGTAGCATACAGTCAGTTAGCACAGACAGAAGCACAGAAAAACGATAGACTCGAAACTCATGATAGAAGTCAACAGGCAGTGGTTCAAGCAGAACATAGAGATACATAATGAAATTGGAAACATATCGGACTAATTGCTTACATTTAAAAGTAGCATCATTGGACAGATGTTTTGATTTAACCAATACCTCAAACCAATATTGGATGATGTATTTACTGTACACTGGAAGAGCAGAATGTTTAGGTGGTGCTTGGATAAAATAATGGTAAAATGATCATGTTACATTTCTCTGTAATCCAGGTGGACTTTTTATAACGTTTTATAAATGTTTATGTATTGGTATCAACAGATGTACGTGAAAAATATCAGACATCAGCATCAGCCCATCTGTCATATATAAGCGCACCCCTGAACTGTTCACACCTTTGTGCTCTTGAGTGTGTGTAGATGTAGATCTGTATTTACCTAAGAGCAAATCCCAAATAAGAAAACACTGGTGAATTTCAGAATCTTTGTGAAAATTGAATTAAGTGGTTTTAAGAAGAAATTTCTTCTTAACAGCGATTGGTGAATGAGGCCCAGTCTTATTACAGTTATCACGTTTCAAAAGAAAACTAGTGTTTAATGACTATTTTTATATCGAATTGCAGTTTGAAAGAGGGCGATTTTCAGATCACAGGAGCTGCAATTTTAATTATTTCTTACATTATTCAGTGTTGTTTCAACAAGTGTCTCCTCTATAGTCTCTCTCATCTCTCAATATTTATGTATTATGTTTTTAGTGGATAGCTTATTTATGGATAAGGCTTATTTTATAGAATTGCATTTAAATAGCAATCGCAGTATTGGTCAAAAACATAGCAATTAGATGTTGTCCCCAAATCGATCAGCCCTAAACCAAACTAGTGTTAAAAGCACAGTGTGGTTGGCCTGGATCTAAACAACACACGCGGACTGCGGCAGCTTTGACTTTTTATTCTATTTTAATCTGTATGCTTTCTTAAATATTAACTGTTTAAATGAAAGTCTTTAATTAAACCCACATATTAAATAATGTGATACTGAATCCAACATCTTTTGAGAACCTCTTTATCTATCATAATACAATAAACGAATAAACGTTACTGCAAACACGTGCATTCATGAGCTTCTTCTGCCACATGCAAATAGCACTCCCTGCTGGAGAAACTTCAGACTGCAAGTGATTTCCAAAACCACATCCACGTGCTTTCCACATTAAAAACAAGAAGTTTTCTGCTGTTACAGCAGCGTTTTCATAATTCAGCTGAACACCGGGACACTTAATCTGTTCAGAATATACTGCACACCGGCCGTAAACGAGGATCAGAGGAACTTTCTCTTCAGGTTAGAGTTAACTTAGCTGCTTCATGCTAACTTCGTCATTTTATTTTGTCTTTTTGCTGCAGCCAGTCACATCAGCTTTCATTTTCAATTTCATTCATGTAAAGTAAATTAAGGGGAATCTGTGCAGTAAATCAGTTATTTTACTAAAACAGTGATCGCCTTTTACACATCACTGTAGGTTTACTTGTCCATCATCGTCGATATCCGATTACATCGCCCTTTTGTCCAGGCCTACAGTGTAGTCTGATATAACTGTTGCCTAAGCAGGGATTCAAACACCAGACTCCCACATACTAGGCTGACCTGTTACCTGCAATCCTATTACTATAAACTAGTGAGTGTTAACTATTTAAGGGCCAGTGGAACAGAACATGAACTTCAGCTTCGATGCAACAACAGATTGTCGCAGATCGCAGTGCTCTGCTTTTTATAAAGGATATGAGTTGCTGGAATAAACTGAAAATAAACACACTACTATAATACTGTAATACACCTTCAGTATTTATTATGGAGTTTCCAGTCGTACCTGGCAGAAAGTCCACTCTGTTAAAAAAACCCTTCCTCTACTCGCTACTGCTGCTGCTTTCAGGAATGCTTAACACATTTTTGTTGAGCTTAGCAATCATAATAATAATAATAATAATAATAATAATAATAAATACATTAGAAAACAGACCTTTTAATTCTTATCCTTGTCCAAAATCATATACTTACACAAAAAACTCAATAAAAAAAATATATAAGAAAACAAACCCAAGCCCAATGGAAAAAAACGCCCCAAACCCCATATTTCATCGTGCCCGTTGGGATCGGGTCGGGTAGCCCAAGAGGGCACTGTCTGAGAGCAAGTAGGCAGGTGCACAAGTCCCCCCCATATGTGCACATGCCTGGCAAATGGAGATTAGGTTGAAAAATGCTGGAGTTCCTTTTAAGCTGCGAGTCTTTGCTTCATTTTTGTTCTTTTTTTAAGTGATTTTATTTTGTGTTTCTGTTTTTAACAGCAGTCAGTTTATCGTGTGCTTTTCTTTTGTAATGGGAATCATGTGGAAGAGGTAACGAGAAAGTGATGCTAATAAGACGTGATTTTGTAAATGCCAAGGGATGGAAAAGTCGTCCTGCACAAATCACAAGTCCCCTGGACTATAAATCAGAGGCTCTCCTGGACTCATTCAGGCTGCCTGAAAGAAGAGACCTCTGCACGTATAGACGTAATAGTTAATGGTGTTTCTCATTTTATATTTTATTTCTTAAATGTTCAGCTTTATCCAAAGTGGATTGGAGTAATCCTAAGCTTTTTTTTTCGTATTTATTTTCTTTTTCTACGTTCATGTCCGGAGATTTGTGAGTAATAAGCTAAAATCTCAAGACCTAAACAACACTTTGTGTGCAATTGCATCAGTAGATTTAAAATGTGACATTAGTATAGAGCATCAGAGCGTCCCTCTGAGTTTGAAGAGAGAAAGAAGACTGAGTGTTCTTATGTTTAAGGGGAATTCCACCAATTTTACAAAATCTCTGCATAATTAAATGGTTAAGATGTAAACAGATTGGTTTGTCATTCAGAGTGGTTTGGTGTGAAATGCCCAGTTCTAGAGAAACTTACCAAGTCAGAATTGTTCACAGTGGTGGTGATGGGAACCAGACGTCCACCTATAAAAGCTCCCGCACAGAAAGTTATTACATAAATTGCTTACAATTACACTGCCTGATGTCTCAGACTTTGTTTTCTGAAAGTTTTGTGATGTTTTTGTCGTGGGCCGGAGACGATGCTATGAGGCTAAACAGTCCCCAGAGAAAGATTTATCACTATTATTGTTGTTCTCTTAAACTGTGAAACTCGGTTCCATCTTTCATTAGACAGTCAAGCTTGATACACTTTTAAGAAACATCTGAAAATGTATCTCTTTAATTTAGCATTTAATTAAAATTCTGTTTCTTTTAGAAAAGGCCACCCTGCATACTAACTACTAATACTACTTAATTTAATCTGTCAATGATTGTGTTTACATGCATTTACTAATCTGATCATTATCAGATTTCTGCATTTATCTGATTATTCAAGTGGTCATGTAAACAGCACACTCTGATATCTTAGATCAAAGTAAGGTCTAGAAATCCTATTAAGAAATCCGATAAAGGCTGGATTTTAGCTCAGTAATCAGATTTCTCTGTGAATGTAAACTCTGATTTCTATCGGATTTCTCAGTCTGCGCATGTGCATAAACAAAACGCGGTACCGGAAACAGCAAGCAGTGTTTAACACAGCACCCATGAGATGACGAAAAGAGTGACACAGAAACCAAATACATGCTTGACGAAATTAATGATTAAAATATTCTTCATCTTCTAGATGATGTATGTTCATATTTTCAGGTAAAGTTGCGCGATGCTTTAACAAAAAGCTGCAGCATGAAGTTTGAGTTTTACGTTTACGTCACGTCTTATTCTGCGAGTTTACTGACTGGTTGCAAAGCAGAAATCTGATTTCTGCCTGACTCATGTAGACCTGGAGATTCCCCATTATCTCATACTCAAGTGCATGGAAATTACTGACAAAATCTGGCTTTCTGCAGTTATGGGATTATTAAGTGCATGTAAACACACTCAATGTCTTATATGATTTTAAACTAATACTCATCATTTCCTTTATTACTGTTAAGCTTTATCACCTGTCAGTAAAGCACTTTGAGCTGCTTCTGGTATAAAATGTGCTCCATAAATAAATGTATTAATATATTTGCATCGTAGATATAATATCACCACCACTGTAAAGAAACGACTGTAAATTTCGCTACAGTGAACCACTTTACATCAAACACTCTAAAATGGCTTTCCATCTCAGAGACTGAATTATGCAGAAATACTGAAAAATGGTTGGAGTTCAAACCTTAAAACCTTAAACCCTGATAATCCGGCCAGTGCATCGATTTGTGAGATGATAATTGACGCGTGAGACGACTGTAAAATGAGCTGATGCGTTTCTTTTCTGCTGTCGACTAACATAAGCTTGGTACATTTTCCAATATGTAGCTATTTTACTCTGGAAAAAAAATTCTAAAGATAAACCTTTTATGATTTTTTTTTTTATGTGACCTTTCTCTCTCCAAGTGTAAAATGATCTATATTTATGAAATGCAGAATTAACTAATCAAGGGTTCTTTTATTACCTATATCTTATTTTCGTTTGCATTTTTTGTTTGGATATTTTGTTTGTTTTTTAAAGAGCAGTCTCTCTCTTTGTGTGTCAGATTCAAATATATTTTGAGAAAACAAAGCACCCCCTATATGACATACGAAATAAGCGAAAGGCCGCAGTCGCTGCCTGACCTGTTATCTGAGGATGCTGGTGAAGATTAAGGTGGTCAGTTGTTCAAAGCTGAGAGAAGCTTATAGAAAAATAATATAAATAAAATAATCCCATATAATCTTTAACTTTGTAAAGGCTGCGGGGATGAAGAATCGGTTTGTTTCTTCTGCCGTACAGTGCTCGCTTATTGTAGTGTAATTATTGGGCAGCCTTGCTTTATTTTTTGTGAGGTTGGGAATTAATAGATCAATTTAAATCAGCTTAAATAAACAAACATGCAAACCTGTGCCAAACTGTACTTAAGTGAACTGGGCTTTATAAGCCACTTTATGAGAGACCTCATTCAGAACCCTAACACTCGACACGTCACACTAGTGTTGTGATATTTAGCCGTTCACTGAGCTTTTAATGCTTTTAATCAGGGGGTGCTTTGTGTTCCAGTCTTCAGGGTTTTCACTTTCATCTGTCCATAAGCATCTCTCTTCACAAATCAGCGATTCAATAATGATGTATAATAAATAATACAATAACTATAACTTAAAAATGGCGAATAAATAACTGTATTTCAAGTAATTCAAGTAAGTTTTCTTCTCAATCATTGTATGTCCCATTTAAGAATTTAGTGCCTTTTTTGGACAGTAGACTGTTCTGTAATTAAACTGTAGTATATATGAGCGTTTTTTTGTACAGTTTCTTTGTTTAAAATGACTTTTTTTAAAACTTGTGTTTATTTTAGTATTGTATCTACTAGAGAATAAAGGTATATTGATGAACAGACCTACAGGATCTTTCTTTCACCAACTGTCTTTGTTCTGTGCCAAAGAATGTGATAAACAAGGAAAAAACAATATCGTAAAATTTAATGATTTCATGAGACACAAATGTGGGATTCATTTTGAATGGAACCTCATACCAGAAAAGCCAAACAGGCTTCATTTTAGTGTTTAATAAAACAGATCAACAGCATCTGAGGAATAAATTAGACAAGATGCATAAAAACGATCATAAATTACTTGAAGAAAAAAATAAAATAAAATGCTGCTTTTATGTGAATACCCCTCTCTATCACATCTGAATCAAATTATTCTAAAAACAAAATGATTTTAAGATTTTCTTACTTTTTTCTCTCACACAGCTGTGAATTCAATAAAAAAATTATTAAAAGAAACGAGTTTTCCAGCGACAGCATGAGAATAAACTTTATCCTTTCACTTGTTGAAAAAAAAGAAGTGAAATACTTAAACTGGATCACACAGAGATGTGTGCAATGTTTTGAAGTTTCAGGTATAAAAGGAAGGCTTTCGTGTTCTCTGTTGTAGACAGGGTCAGCGGTGGTTTTGAGCTTTTGTTCAAACAGAAACATTTATCTGAATGTATATACTGTACGACTTACACCCCCATAAACACATTCAACTCACATAAGACATGAAATATTATTACATAACAGCTTTAAACCCAGAGGCCACAGAAACACATTCATATAAAGCAGCTCCCAGTAACCACGTCGAAATCAGCACCCATTCAAAAAGCTAGCCAACCGTCCACCACTGTATAGTGCATGTTTTATTCCCCTTAATGTTTAGGGCCAGTTTCCCAGACTGGGATTAGGACTAGTCCTGGATTTCGCTGGATTTTAAATGGAGATTTTCCATTGTTCAGCCCATGACCGCGCTTATCCCATCTAAGGGCTGGTGTCCCAGACGCAGATTAAGCTTTAGAGTAGACTAAATAGTACTTTATGGTTGGTTTCCTGACCCACATGAAGTCTGATTTTTAATAGCAAAACACCATTAGCATTAGTCCAAGACTAGGTTTAATCCAAGTCCAAGAAACCAATGTAGTCTATATGGATCATCACTGCCATTTCTGTTTAGTTCAGGTCAGTGTAGTGGTGTCTGGCACATTCAGTGTTTCACAAATCCCCTCCCGAGTGGGGGAAGTAGGTTTAGCCTCCAAATGAGTGAAGAGTAATTTGACATGTTGAGATTCTATTTAACTTGATTTTTATTTTTCAATTTACATGTGAAAATTTACTAATTAAATCATTTCTTACAAGTTAAAAACTGAATTGTTACTAGTCGAAATGTAATATTTATTAGCGGATTAATTTTGATTGTAAATTGAATTTCTAAGAATAAGAAAAATAGGAAATTAAAATTAAAATGGATTTCCATGGAAAACAGAATTTCAACATGACAATTTAATTTTGAATTGTATGTAAATAATGACCATGTTACACTTAAATTCTTATTAGTAAAACATGTTACTGCAGTTACAATGAATTGGAAAACAGCTCAAATTCTTACTAATGAGTAATGAAATCTAATGTAATTCCTACAATTAAAAGTTGAATTTTTTTTTCCCCTGTATACAAGTTTATATTTTATATACGTCTTTTTCCTATTGTCAATATTTTCTGAACAAAAAAAAACTTTGTTTCTTGAAGAAAAGTTAAAAGCATCTTTACCCAATAGTTAGCTATTATTTACACTTCTTACCTTAAAATTCATTGTTGAGAATTTAGTTTTTTTTTTTTTGCTTTGTTTCTGGTGAAAATAATGCACTGTGAAAAGACACCAGTGCACTATTCTTTTGAATCTGTCCACTTTATGAACAGGTTTTATTTACTGTGACATACATTTTGAGTACAATAGTGCTGTTTTATGAATCTGGCCCTTTATTTTTTACATGTGAATTTATCACCTTAAAGACATTTTGGCCCTGCTTTAAGTTTACATGTAAATGCAATCTCTTGGAAGAGGTTTTGGTGATACCTTCTCATAAATTAAAATAACGTGCTTGATGTGTTTGCTTCACTCCTACACTTATACCATAGATTAGCTGTAGACGGCAGTACATTATCCAGAATTATCAGTGATTATGAGCACAACAGCAGGAAAAAGGAATGCAACACATGCATGCTGGTCATTCGACTCTGTGGTCAAAATCAAGCATAAAATATCTTTAGTTATAGGTTTAGGTGGGTCACTGTACATTGTATACCTGCCTGTCCACCCACAGTTCAACAACTATACAAATACAAATTAAGTCCAAAAATTATACTGTTTTCTCATTATTTTTCTAGGCATTATTTGTTAAAGATCTGTTGCTTACCATACCAAGGTCATAATGTCAATGTGCAGGCATCTTTTAAGACACTGCATTTATTGTGACTAGAGGCCACTTTACCCACTATTTGGGTTCTACTGGCTCTAAAATGGCATGCTCGGACCCCGACGATTGCTATTTGTGATGTCGTTTGTACACGTAGTGGCCACAATCCACAGAAATAAACGCAATCTTTTTGCAGACAAAAACAGTCTGTAGCAACTGTCTTGGCTGCAAACAATGAAACTGTTGGAAAGAAAAAAAAAAAATTAAGAATATCCGAAAATTAAACCAACTTCACTGCTCACAAAACGTGGCTCTATTTTGATGTTTTGGTAACGTTATCTTGGTTCTGATGGCTGAATGACAATAAAAACACTGTGTCTGTGTGTTGGCTGAATAATGACTGTGAGCTGGTGCTGTGCTGTGTTTCGGGGAGAGGAGAGATTCTTTCTTTGAACTGTCTGCTGGCAGTAGATCCCCCACCCCTTTACCCAAAAAGTCAAACATACACGATTCACGTGAATTCAGCACTCAAAATGATGCCAAAAGTCGACATGTTTGCACATACGCCACTACAACGGGTTCAAGCCTAATCCTAATCCATATCTGGGAAAACAGCCCATACAGTTTAACATACTGCACAAACCCCAAAAACAACATCCAGCGGTCATTCTGACTCCTGTAATAATCATGATCCATCTGAAACGTCCCTGAGATGAACCAAAAAGCTGATATGTAAATGATGCAAACAGCCATCATTTAAGGCACTTTCTGTAGTAATTGAGCAGTGCAGCAATATTTGACAAAAAACATTCATCATCAGGACAGAGCCGGCACACAAGGCACCACGGTTTGATATGTAATACCGCGCTAGTAGCTTGTTGCGTTTAACAGCGTATTACACCCATTCAGTGTAGTGACCTGCCAAACTCATGGGAAGCAGCATGTAGCCATTAAAACAGAAACAGTAGTGAGGACTGATGGAAAAAGCAGTTCTGTTCAGCTTTTTGTTCAGCTGTTCCAGGACTTCCTGTTTTCTCCTTTGCGTGCCCCTCCAGGACCCTCACCTTTGGCCAGCGCAGTCAGGGCTGCCAGGTTGGGGCTGGAGCCAGAGAGGTTCTGCTTGCGTTTCTGTCGTCGTCGTTTAGCCGTGCCTGAAGCACGAGAGACTCTGTCCGGCCTCACTAGAACACCATAGCCGGGGTTACAGTGGAAATAATGGCGGCCGCCCACTGAGCCATCGTTTTTACCTGATAAAGAGCGTGTCGTTAGCCAATGTACATAAAATAGTATTTGTCAATATTTCTTTTTTTGGGGGGGGACAACAACAAGTTGTTATTAAATGGTAAATAATTTACTCTAACGACATTTACTTTCTTGAAAGTTATTATCCATCTTAAAATTTGATTACCATTTTTTTAAATATGAAACATTCTTTATATACAAAAATAGAAAAATAGTTCATTATAAACATTAGTTTTGAAGAAAAAATACTGGATTATTACTGATATCAGTTGATACTCAAGGCATAAATATAGGTATCGGAATCAGAAAAGAAAAAGTGGTATGGTGCCATCTCTAATTAAAAACAGTGATTCCAAACTTTTGAATGGTGCTTGCCAACACATTAGTGGTAGTACACAGTCATATGCAAAAGTCTAAACACCCTCAGTCAAATTATACATTGACTTTCTAGGTGAAAATATGTTTTCATATCCTCTACAGAGAACACACTTAAATATGGCATTTATCTGCACATTGTAGTGCACAATGTCTATTTATTTGCTGGGTTCAATACATTGGAAAATAATAAAACAGAATATAAAATGTGTCTAACTTTTGCACAAGCCACATTTTACATTCTGAACATAATGAAAAAAAATAATTTGGCAAATAGACAGTAATTGTGCATTACAATGTACCGAAGTGTGTTCAACAAAACGCCATTTGACTGGAGGTGCTCAAACTTTTGCATACGACTGTGTATAAAAGGTGTTAAGGCATAGAAACGAGTAAAGAAAAGAAGCACACATACCTGCTGGGACATCGAGTTCCACACCGACCCAGATGCCGTCTGCAAAGTCAGTCGGCCCAATGTAGCGCACTGTGCCGTTTTTGTTGTTGCCTACTGTCACATATTCATCCTCCTTCAGCCAGTCGGGGATGGGACCTTCCTCATGGACTTCCTCCGTATCGGACAGGATCTCCAGCTTTTCCAAAGGGTCACTCAAACCTGACAGTGGATCGATGGTTTCTTTGACCTCTTCTTCCTCCACCTCATGAATGATCCCTTTAAAGGACTTCAGGCCTGAAGCCTTTACCTTCTGGATTTTGAATGGGTTTGATGCGGAGGTCTGGGTCTGAAGACTCTGCGCCAGTGGCTGAACTGGCTGCTCTTGCTTTACTGATGGTGCTGGTGATGGGTTTACTTCAGGACTGGGGCTTGGAGTCTTTATTTGGGCCAAGGATTCTGTGGCCCTGGTTTGGGCATCTGCATCAGGAGCTGAGGCTGGTGAGTCAGCCAGGAGTACCTGAGAAGCAGCTTGGTTAGATGGTTGCGCTACGGGGGGCAGGTCAGCCAGGAGTACCTGAGAAGCTGGTTGGTTAGATGGTGCTGCTACAGGGGGCAAGTCAGCTAGGAGTGCCTGAGAAGCAGGCTGGCTGGATGGTGGTGATATGGGGGGCAAGTCAGCTAGGAGTGCCTGAGAAGCAGGCTGGCTGGATGGTGGTGATATGGGGGGCAAGTCAGCTAGGAGTGCCTGAGAAGCAGGTTGGCTAGATGGTGGTGACACAGGTTTTTGTTGAGGCTCTTCGGAAGCAATGGAATCCTTGGTGTGAGCTGAAGGCTCATAAGGCTGATCAGATAGAGATGAAGATGTTATTTCTGATGGTGAAGTAGTTGTTTTTTCTGCAGAAGTGAGGATGGAAATAGTAGAGCTTTCTTGAGTAACAAACTTTGGGATTGCCTGGTCAGACATCTTGGCTATTTCAGATTGTTCCTCTTTAAGGCTGGCATGTTCTGCCCCATGCTGTGGAGTGATGTTGATCTTTACAGTGGCATCACTGCCTTTCTCTGGTTCCATTTCATCCGCAGTTTCAGGAGTTTCCTGTGGTTCTGGTGACTCCAAGCTGAACTCACATGGTAGATCTGTATTTGAGACCAGTGTTTCTGAGAGAGTTGCTGTGGAGATGCTGGTGGAGATGTAGCCGCTAGATGCAGTGCTAACAGGGCTGTGAGTGGAGTTTTCAGTCTCAGACTGAACGTGAGTGGAAACCTCCACAAACTCGGGCAGGTCATCTGTTTGACTTTCTGTGACTGGGGTCTGCACAATCAGAACAAAGAGGAGATTCAGTTAAGGGTGGGCAATATGGCAAAAACGTATCATCTTGATTTCTGAAGACAAGTACAATGATTTTTTATAATTCAACAATTGTAAACATAAAATAAATAAATGACAATAGAATAACAAGCAACTGCTCATTACTATGCAGCCTATGTAGTTACTAGTTGTTGCTTAGAGGTTCTCTAAAATCTGTCTTTTCTAAGCTACATGCAGTTGTTGAGTTCTAGAAGTATTAACCTGTCAAACTTATTTTCAGATTTACTATTTTATCATCATCATCATCTTCATCACATATAAAAACACGTGTAGGGTCACTGATGGCTTTGGATAGTACAACCCCATTTCCAAAAAAGTTGGGACACTGTGCCGAATGTAAATAAAAATAGAATGCAATGATATGCAAATCATGTAAACCATATTTTTAAAGGACAATACTACAAAGACAACATATCACATGTTGAAACTGAGAAATTTTATTGTTTTTTGAAAAATATATGGCCATTTTGAGTTTGATGCCAACAACACATTCCATAAAAATTTGGGACAGGGGCCTGTTCACCACTGTGTTTCATCACCTCTTCTTTTAACAACACTCTGTAAGCGTTTGGGAACTGAGGAGACCAACTGCTGTAGTTTTGAAAGTGAAATGTTTTCCTGTTCTGGTTTGATATAGGATTTCAGCTGCTCATCAGTTCAGGGTCTCCTTTGTCATATTTTCCATTTCACAATGCGCCAAATGTTTTCAGTGGGTGACAGGTCTGGACTGCAGGCAGGTCAGTTTAGCGCCCGGACTCTTTTAATACAGAGATGGATGCAGAATGTGGTTTATCATTGTCTTGCTGAAATAATCAAGGCCTGAAAAAGACGTCATCTGGATGGAAGCATATGTTGCCAAAACATGTATCTATTGTCCAGCATTAATGGTGCCTTCACAGATGTGCAGGTCACCCATACCATGTGCACTAATGCACCTCTATACCATCATGAATACTGGCTTTTCAACTGTGCAGGGATAACAAGCTGAGTGGTCTTTAGTCCGGAGGACGGAGTGTCCATGATTTCCAAAAAGAATTTCAAAGGTTCGTCGGACCACAAGACACGTTTTCCACTCAGTCCATTTTAAATGAGCTCAGGCCCAGAGAAGGTGGCAGCGTTTCTGGATCCTGTTTATGTACGGTTTCTTCTTTGTGTTTTAGAGTTTAAATTAGCATTTATGGATGCAGCGACGAACTGTGTTCACAGACAGTGGTTTTCAGAAATGTTCCTGAGCCCATGCAGTGATTTCCACTACAGAATCATGTCTGTTTTTAATGCAGTGCCATCTGAGGGCCCCAAAGATCATGGCCAGCAAATAATGGTTTTTGGCCTTGTCCATTGCATACAGAGATTTCTCCAGTTTCTTTGAATCTTTTAATGTTATTATGTACTGTAGGTGATGAAGAGCAAAAGTTATTTTTTATTTTACATTGAGAAATGTTATTCTTGAACTGTTGATCATGCAGTCTTTCACAGAGTGGTGACCCCCTCCCCATCTTTACTTCTGAAAGATTCAGCCTCTCTGGGATGCTCTTTTATACCCAATCATGTTACTGAGCTGTTGTCAATCAACCACCAGGTGTTTTTTTAGCATTACAAAAACAAAAACAATAAAATATCTCAGTTTAAACATTTGATATGTTGCCTTTGTACATATTTTCAATGAAATATAGGGGTTAAAGGATTAGCACATGAGTGTATTTTGTTTTTGTTTACATTTTGCACAGTGTCCCAACTTTTTTGTGTTGTAGACATTGTGACCCCTGGTTCCCATCACCACCACTGTAAAGATATGTGATACATAACAATGTAATGTCTCTACAATGAACCATTTTCACATTAAACCACTCAATGAAATTGTTTACATCTCAACAATTAAATTATGTTGATATTTGGAAAAATCAATGTTCGCCTTTAACCAACCTGATCTGTTCTGGTATCTACCTAACATTTTCCCCCATATGTTACACTACCACTCAAGATTTTGCAAACACTGGTCTGGTTTTTTGCTGTTTTTTTATTAAGTGATAACTTATACAGTGCAGATTGAAATGCTATTAGCTAGACACTAGAAGGTATTTTAAGATGTTTTGTTCTATATTTCAAGCTTGTTGGGAACATCCAACAGTTACTGTTCATAGTTATTTTTTAAAAAGTTATTTTTAAGAATTTTTTTATTAAAAGTTTAAAATATGAGGCATTCTTGATTTTAATTACTCGTTTATCTACATTCTTAATGTTATACAGCTTCCTCAGTCATTAATGAATCTTCTACAAATCTGTTTGTTCATTCTAGTCAAAACTATTGTTTTTTCACAGCTTCCTAATAATTATTGAAATATGTGAAACTGTAGAAACGTTATAATCATTTCATACATTTATCTGCAACTTTTTTGAAAACAGGGGTCCCAAAGTTTTGCACACTAGTGGAGATATAAGCAAACGTCTGTGGTCTAACTGGCCACTAAAAGCAAGTTGCATTTAGAAAACTAAAAGGAATTACATACCATTGACTGCAGAAACTGTCCTTTACTCCAACATTACAAAAGGGTAAATGTCAGTGACAAAGCGCAACCTCAGATTAAAATCGCTTTAGAAGTTCCTACATGTAATTATGACTTGATGGGATGTTCATGTACATTTCTTACATTGAGAACTCATAACAATTCTGAGGCAATCGTGAAATCAGCAAAAGTGAAGTTGCAGGAGATAGAATAAAAAAATAACTGTTACCTGGACATCAGGTGTCTTTTCTGTGCAGACATCTGACCCCTCAGTCACCTGCACTGTTGCTGAGTTTTGCTCCTTGTGTGAAGAAGATGATGAAGCAGAAAATACTGCAGTTTCCATGTTCTCGGCTGCGAACCGTTGTGAATTTTCCTCAGGAGCCTGTGGACACCAAACCAATTTAGAGCTGTCTATAATAACACACATTTCAATACTACATGTGTTTGTGACACCATTAACCCTTGTGTGGTTCTCTTGTTTCTGGTACTCAGTGGTCTGGTGGACCCACCGCATTGTTGTTTTTTTAAATCAATACAGCTGTAACAATTTATGTAAAAATACCAGATGTTTAAAATATTACAAGTGACCAGGGTAGGGTTCATTTTTAGCAGCTGTAGCCAATCAGCAGCTGCAGCCAGTCAGCAGCCTGTCTTTGTTGTCCACCCTCACACACACACACATACATATATACAAACACATACAGACACACACTAACAGCAGGCCATGTATGAGGAGAGCAACGTAAAGGGACACAGCACCTCCACACTTTTATTCCCTGTGGGTTCACCCAACACCACATGTGTAATATAAATGTGTGGGGGGTGAACAGTGTGAAGTCATAGAAAATGTGTTATTACATATGTTCTTCACAGAAAATGAGCAAAGGCCAAGGAATCTGGGTTTGAAATAATAATAAATCGCATAATTTCTTCTTTTGGTAAACACTAAAAATGGGTCCTACAGACCTGAACAGCACACAAGGATTGAAGTGACAGAATAAACGTACCAGTTTAGGAGTCCTGAGGTTTTCCTCTAGACTCGCAGACTGGACTATAATACGGGGAACATTCTGTGAAGGGTTTAGCAAAAGAGTTTGTTTACACATCATAATGCAACACTTTCATGAACTTCCTAAAATATCAACAGAATGTCAAATTACTCAAATTTGTCTCTCAAATTATGCTCCATCTCTTATGATTTCTCAACATATACCTGTAAAACCTGTGATCATTTCTGAAATCCACAATCAAATAAATAATTATAAACAAGGGTTTAACCCCTTAAACTGCAGGTTTTGTATTCAGCTCTTAATCTTATTAGACTTCTTATTTAGTGTCTATCACAAAACTAATAAGTTAGGTAATTATGAGGCAGAGAAATTATGTGGGTCTACATGTGCTTCCTTGCAGTTTAAGGGGCTAAAAAGATTGTTGAGCAGATTTACTAGACACTATTTATGTATTTTAGATTTTTTTTTTTTTACATTTTTTTCAGAATTTATCTTGAGGCCAGCAAAACAAATGCATGAAAAATTCCTTGTACTTAGCAGATAAAACTAATGGTACAATATTCTGATTTAGGTGCATCTTCAAAATTTCAAACAAAACAGCATTTTGATTTAAGTATTGTGAAGCCAACACCTACTGAACCTCCCCCAAACAGGTCAAACACTACTACTCTGCCCCTCTCAGGCTCCTCCTTATCCACCTCAGAGAACATCACCTGTAAAAGAACCACTATCACCTCTCCAAGCCAGAATATAGACCTTTTGATACTTATCTCCTTACAATGTACTATGAAACTAATATGAAAGTTCTACAGTTCTGAAAGTGAGAAACTGAACCACCCATGGTTCTTTGGAGTAACTCAGAAGAGCTTATGGGTGTTTATTTCCCGCAGAGTATGGACGTCTGGAGAGGCCAAGAGGTAGTTATAATTTTCTGGGTTGTTATCTTGAGATAACAAGTTAACTATCTTGTGATCTCATAATAATGTTATCTTGAGATAAAGAGTTAATTATCTTGTGATCTCAGGACAACAAAGTTGTTAAGACAAAGAGTTAATTATCTTGTGATCTCAAGACAACAAAGTTGTTATTTTAAGATAACAAGTTAACTATCTTGTGATCTCAAGATAACAATCTAGAAGATTACAGCAACAGCTCTTGGCCTCTCCAGACTTCTGTAACAGAGAGAAAGCACTTTTGAGATTCATGTGTGTGAAATTCTTTTCTGAACATAATGAAGAACAATTACATTAATCAGTATTGAAGATGTTAACTTTCTGGTACAGTATGTTTACTAGGATGCTTAAAACATATTGTCACAGTGGTAAAAACCTTCAAAAAGGTAGAAAATATCAGACTTTATAAGTTTAACATATGTTAATGTAAGAATCTACTAAAAGGTAGTTAGCAGTATTAATAGGTACTAAATCTGAATTTTAATTGAGGTCATTTCAGACTATTTCTGTTGGTCAATTCATCATGAAATGTTCACACAATGCAAAGGGCAGCTTACGTTTTCAAAGGTCTACAGTATGCAGTACATGTAAGGGAGCCTTACCTGCTGCTGTAAGAGAGGAGGGGCACTCAGGTCTTTCTTCTCTTCTTTTTTAGGGAACAGGGACTTTAGCATTTTGGGCATTGGTGTCACCAGAGCTTTAACTGGGGAGAAATAAGAAGCAGCCAGTCCTGAAAGTCCTGTGAGGATGGTGGGAAGAGTCAGAGAGTGGCAGAGAGCAGGGAGAGTTTGCAGAGAGAGTAAGAGAGCAGAGACCCGATTTAGGGAAAACCAAAAGAAGAAACCAACACAAAGATGCAAGAACATGACCAAAAAAGGACCCAGACAGACCACAGCAGAGAAACAGAGCACCATAAAACTGAAGATTTTATTACTGACCTGATAAAGCAATATCAAAGAGTAGAACAAACTTCCCCAAGTAAAAAAAAATCATTCCTACAACTGTCTCCTACCTCAAACACTCAAACATAAGCACTCAGCTACTTTTACACTTGAGCTACGAAGCTAATATTGCTAATACATAATGGAAGTTTATAATCTTCACACGCCTGCCTCAAACTGCCTGCCATTACTGTTGTTCAGTAATCTGTGAAAACCTGCTTTAATTGGCTTCTGACTCTGTGTGACACTGTTATCTATAACGAGTCTAGTAAGCTGGCACCTCACAATTTGATTTCAGGCAACATGCAATTATAAAACAATTCTTGATTTTTTTAAATCATACAGTATGGTGTTCACTGTATACGCCATTAATGAGGAGTGGTAGCTTAGCTTAAGTTGTTAAAGCTATAGACCATTTTCACAAAATAAGAAAAAAAGAACCTACATTTTCATACATTTTTATGTGACCGTTTTGTTTTTGCTTATAGAAATGTTGGATGAAATACTACATATATAAGATACACACACACACAGTCATTTGCAGAGGTTTGGTCAAATGACATGTTCTGCTGATTTTTAAGGGAAACACATCCTCAATAGAGAACACACTTCTGCACATTTTAATGTACTATTACTTTTTATTTACTGAATCTAACATTTTGGAAAAAAATAAAAAATAAAATGTGGCCTGTGCAAAAGTTTTATTTTATATTTTATGTTTTATTTTTTTCCAACATGTTAAACTCAACAAATAAACAGAAATTGTGCACTAAAATTGGCAGATAAATGCCATATTTAACTTTGTTTCCTGTAGAGGATGCATTAACTTATTTTCACAAAACAGATGTTCAAACTTTTGCATATGACTGTACAGCAGTGTTTTGTTAGTTTTCAATGCTGAGCCTGTATAAAAGTCCAACTATGGCATTTTATATTCGGGCGACAAACTTTCAGAATAAATCTTTCCCCCCAATTCTAATGTCTTAGTGCTGACAGATGGCTATAAACTAACTGTAGCTCCAGTGCAAAATTAAACATGCAAGCTTTGGACACTAACACCCATCTTGGCTGATCGTCTGCTTTTGTGTGGGATTAACCTCTACCATCTGAACACAAACCATAAAAATGAAGATAAAGTGAATTGGAAAAAAGTGCAGACAGGCACTGAAGTGCAGCCCTCAAGCTCAGTGAACAGGTTTATCGTGGGAGGTGGATAAAGTGGGTTACCTGGCTCTGGGTTCTGGCTTTGGGACAGTTCAGAATGAGATGTTGTGCTTTTTATAGATGGATGTGCTGCAGAAATATCCTGGTATTTCTCCCAAACACCCTGAAGGCAGAGACCATGAAGAATATCAAGAACATCAAGAGAATAAACTGCTATTTTTGAATATTTTGGTATGATTCAGAATCATTCATAAAGATAAACTGAATAAACAAATGTGACTGAATGGCTTATTTACACAGTTGTGGTATATATATATAGTAGAAACACACACCATACATTTATTTTTTATTTTATATTTGAAAATAGCCTGACAGTTTTAGATGCCAAACTAAACATCTAGATTGCTCAGGAAGATCCAGAAAAAGGTAAAATGATCCAACAAAAAACCATGAAGGAGCTCTTTGGTAGGGAATACTGTAATGAGTAGTGGAAAAAACAAGGCACTTTTGTAACCAAAAAGTGAAAATGCTTATTTTCCACATAGAAAATCTAAAAATAAGAGCAGGTGCCTCACACAAGCGCCCTTAAGAAGGCTTTGTTGCTGCTATGCTTAGCCTGAACATCCTTTAACACATCATGCACCCGTCCTTTTTTTAGATGTAATAAATAAAGCATTTTCATTTCTTGGTTAGATAAGTGCCTTGTGTTTTTCACATTATTCAGCTTGATGATTTTATTTTTGATGCATAGTTTATTGAAAATTATTACAAGTGATTATAAGTAACAATCCATTTGATCCATCAAGTTGATGCACTGTGATTTTTAGCTTCTAAAATTGCTAAGATGGGCTTCTTTCTTTTAAAAATTACTTCACAAAGTCTTACTTTATTGACACCAGGCTCATGGTTGAAGGAAAGATCTTGCTTGCTTCCAGACAGCTGGAGACAGTACAGAAGAGGTAAGATATTACTGTTGTGTTGGATGTGCCTAGTTAGACCCTTATAAATGATCCAGTTTTACAGATGGTAATCACTCACCCTGTGTACATTAGGGGAACTCAGACAGCGCCTGCGATTTTTCCCTTTGCTAGCAAGCTGTTCCTTCACAGTCACCTCCTGCACACATACACATACATACATGCATACATACATAAAGTGTGTTAAAACATGAAAAGGCTTGGACCTTTTTGCTGGTCTTCACTTGAAAAAGTCCTGTTTTCACCACAAATTCTTTTTATAGGGTAAGGATTTAGGTGTAGTACTACTTTTATTATTGCAGTTTATTACAGTAAAACAATTAAGTATTCAGACCTTAGATTTTTAAAAGGATTATGTTATGAAATATAACATTATTTTAAATAGTAAAACGGTTAATATATACAAAATCATTAATTACACGATTCTTTCATCAGTCCTATCAGTGAAAATAATACTTAATAATAATTAAGTATTTAAAAGGCTCCTGAGGAATAATAATAATTTTTTGCACTTTTTTCCAGCGTTGTTTTTAAAAGATTTTTAAACATTTTTTAAGTGAAGTTGAAAGATCTAGATTTATCATGAGTTTAGTTTAAAAGAAAAACATTATTCCTAAAATGCTATCCTACATTTACATGTTACTACCAAAACACAAAGTTTTAGACTGTAGGCAGAGCCTTATTTCAGCCACGCCCTTGCATTTCAGAGCAGGAAGTGAGACTGCATCCCTGTCCCTCATGGCCACATGGTGAGCAGTTAGATCTCATTGTTTTGAAGTAAATGTGTCCCAAAGTCTAAAATTCGGTGTGGAACATTAAAAACTTTCACTACCGAAACACAAATTTTCTGCAATTAAGTAATCATTTTTGTGTTTTAATAAAAATATCATGATTTTATGTGTGTACAGCTGTTCAAAGCTGTGTTTGCTAGTCCTGTACTGGCTAGCGTTTTTGAATTCTGCTCAAAATGAGCAAAAAAGTCACTACTGAAACATTTGGTAAAGTTTTGGTAGTGTTGTGCTTGTTTTGATAGTGACAAAATAGAATGTTCAATCATTTATTTAAACAAACTAAACATAATCAAGCAGCAGGATTTTAGTCTAAAGTCCAAGTCAGTTAAAAGTACGAAATATGTTTTGAACTCTGACTCTGAACCAGTTTGGTAGAATGATTCATATGAGTGCCCGTGCCTGTCTGAGTCGGTCCAGAGTGAGGATATTTTCCACAGCCAGAACACTGTGCAGGTACTTCTCTATGGCTGCCTCACTGTCCTCCGCTGGTTTTTCTGTGCTGGCCGCCAGCCTGGCCAGCATCTCAGTGTCCTCCGGACCCTGCATGTCCTACAAGAACAATAATTATTTATGCACCAAAATGCCAAATCATTACCGAAACTGAAATTCAGGACACACAGCTGAAAACTGAACCTGAAAGAAAGTTCATTAATATATAATTTGATGTTTTCTATATGCCTATGAATGACGTAATAATGCTGACGATACTTCAAATGTGATAACAGCCACGTTGGGCACGAGAGATGAGACAACTAATTTCATTTTAAACAGCTTCCTGAAATAATTTAATTATTTAAAGTTGTAAAATTATGAAAATATAATTTTTCATGGTTTCCAAAAAACATCTAAAGCTGACGAGTGCCTCCACTATAACAACAGAAAGCACCTCACTTTTTAAAGGGCTCTCGTCGAATTTTTTTTTTCTCACTTATTGTGAAAAAAAATATTATGTTGTATGTAAATGCGGTTAAAGTTTCAAAGCATAACTTCACATCCTAGTCCATGCAGTCCATACATGAAATCTAGGCTGCAAAAATAGCCAGTTCATCTCTGCTCAAGTAAAGAGTTCTAGCCTGAATGAGGCACAATGCAGGGCAACCAATCAGAACAGAGCTCATTTACATATATTAGCCTTAAAGATATAGTATCAAAACAGTCTGTTAAATTCTAAGGGATAAAGAGAGGATGAAAATGGTGATGTAAAATGAATTATGAAATGACTTTAATAAACCTTGTACCTTAAAACAAATTTGGTTCTTAAAAGTGTAAAAAACTCTTGACTAGCACTCTTTTAGAGAAGAAACAGGCATGAACCTCAGCATGTTTACATTAACAACTTTAAAAACAAGAGGGAAAAAATTTATTACCAAAAGATCCTGAGTTACTCAGTGTTATTCATGTGATTTCTATAAAGCAGAGTCTAAAAATAGAACTTGCTCTTATTACAGCAGTGTACCGTCAGCTGTCCTTTCTAACCAAGTTATCTGAGATAAATATAATTTAAAACTACCAAAATTGTCTCAGTGTCCTCACGTGGAGAATCAGTGCCCTCCAGCAGTTACAATAAACAAGCCCCTAAGGCACGTGTTAGTCACAGGACAGGAGCTCATAACAGAGAGAAATCAGAGAGCAGTACCCCTGGTATGTTGGAGACGACTTCGAAGGTGACCCCACAGCCAGGGATGGTGCTCCGCTGAGACATCCGTTTCAGCAAGCTTTTAGCAAATCCCTGCAGCAGAAAGCAAAATGTTACCACTCAAACATGCTAATTGAGAAGCCCTATCTGTATGGGTTTGTGATGGGTGTCTGAGAAGCTCTGCCCACACAGCTTCACAAATTGTCTGATGTATATTTTACGCTGAGATAGCCTCAATTATCATTACATTCATTGGCTATCATACATGTTTATCAAGCTAAATACTAGCTAGTCACCAGAAGCAAGCAACTGCCTGCTTTGCTCCACCCGAGCCTCTCAGAGATACAGTCTACAGTTCACTACAGTTCACAGTCTTCAAAAGATATTCAAACTCACGTTACCAACACATTATTTTCCAGTGGCCGCTGAACTGCACTCTTAAAAAAAAGATTGATTCTTTAAGGATTCTTCAGTAAAGATATTCTATATAGCACCCAAAAAGGGTTCTTCTGTTGTATACAAGCTTGATATTGTAATAATAGAAAAACCCTTTTGGATGCTATATTAAACCGTTTTCAAAAAGGTTCTCTATATAGCACACTCGCCATCAATCTGAAGAACCCCTTCATGATGCAAAGGGTTCTTTGAGTATTCATGGTTCTATATAGGACCATTTTCTTTACTACAGAGCCCTTAAAGAACCATCATTCAAATCCAGGAATTTCACCGAAGGGCAACAAGTTGGTTAATGATGTGACTGGAGGTGGCGAGTGTTACTACTATCTTTTTAAAGAGTGTACTGTATACTACATTGTTTTACCTGGGTCTGTTGTTGCTATTGGACTGTTTTGACAAATGAGCCCCTACAACGAAAAAGCCAAATATGAATCATTCCACCTTTTTTGCATTATCACTTATTTTGTTTTCTATTTTATTTTGTACAACCTTTTTTCATTAAAAGCCAAACTCATGGCATCAAACAATGCAATGCTATGCTTATATGATTTTTACAAAATTTGATTATTATACTGTTTTACGTTGCAAGGGCTCAATTGTTTGCCCAAACATGTGGAGCATGGTTGGTTGGTTTGTCAGTCAAACGGCCCCTTCCTGTCAAAGTAGGCGGTTCTTACCTATGGATGAAAGAGAGATGAAACATACCAAACTCTATAATGATAGACGCAAGTCTGGCTTGCTAGACTACAGGCAAACATGTGTAGGGCAAAGACCAGCATGATGTCCCTAGCTGACAATATGACTGACCTGTCGTGCGGTGAGGTTGACGCAGATGCGTTTGCGCAGGACTAGCTGCATCTGAGCTGGGTGGCTGAGGAGGACGACCACACGCACTGTGAGATACACACGCTGCTCCGGACCCCCACCACGACTCAGCTCAGCACACTCATGCACCGTACAGTCCCATGAAGCCTCCGCCTTCACCTGCACACAATGTAGCATGTAAACTGGATGTGTCATAGTATATAATTATGTTATTACACATAAATAATAATCATTTGTGTGTGGTAAACTGTTAAACAGCTACGATTAACAGCATATATTTTTTAGTAAATTGCAGAATGGTACAGTATGGCAAGTCTGTAATATTACGTTGGTCTGCTTACTGCTGTATCGTGCTGCTTTACAATCTGTAGCTCAAAGAAGTCGTCATCATCCTCTCCACTCAGAATTGCGTCCAAACCTCCAGCCAGCGGAACGGACACACCATCATAAAAATCATCAGCTGCGGATACACAACAGAAGAACAGGGTCTTAAAATAGGGGTCTGGACAGCCACAGCACTGCAGGGTTTAGTGTTTCCTTTTAACGCAAAGGACTGTATATTATGCATATGCACTAATGAACTACCACTTTAACTTGTTTGTAATTAAGCCTGAACCCACCACTAAGACCCAGGAAGAGGACAGGAATGTGTGTCTCCATTCCAGGCACAGGGACCCTGCAGGAAACAGATCATTAGCTATTCAGGAACGCTGAGTTCAGGTTCTGAGATGTATTTGCTCTACTGTATTTATATTGCAGCACTGACCACTGTGCAGGAGATCCAGGAATGCCGCTGCCAGCAGAGGGCACCAGCACTGCGTTCCTCTCCTCAGTCAGAGTCAAACGACACTCTAACAACTGAGACTCCCTCTCTACATCATCCTCAGACTTATCTACAGAGAGAGAGAGAGAGAGAGAACAGAGTAAGAGAAAGAGAACAGAGAGAGCAGAGAAGAGAAAGAAGGAGAGATGATATGTAAAGAAAGTTAGAGACGAGAGAGAGATGAAGAGAGGAGAGAAAAAGAAGGGAAGATTGGGGATAATGAGAGGAAAAAGAAAAAAATCAAGGAGAAGGATCAGGAACAAAAAAATCTGCATTCATCAGACAAACTTCAGTCTGCTGTTAATATCAACAGTTAACAATAGCCGTTTTAAAGAAATGGTTCACTAAAAACGAGTTTATGATAAATAAAAAAACATTGAATTTGAAAATATTTTAAGTGTTTTCTCTGTAAGTTCAATTAGAAAATCAACAAAAACAAGTAATCTGACTGGGACTGCTCACACTTCTGCATACGAGAGTCTAAATAAGCCTGACTTGACTGTGTTTCTCAGTGTTGAGTCTGTAATCACTTACCTGGTTTGGAGACGAGTTTCTGTAGATGCTGGTCCAGATACTCCTGTCTTTTAGTGAGAGCTGCCAGCCACTGACTTCTCAGTCGCTCCAAATCCTTCTCCTAGAGATATCAGAATCCAGAAAACATCAGAAAACATCCAGAACACACCCAGAAAACATCAGAGAACATCCAGAACACATGAGAAAACATCCAGAACACATCAGCATCACTATGAAATCCTTGCTTCACATGTAGACTAGAGTCATTCCATAAAGACATCATTCTCCACATTAACGTTACCTGATAGCTGTCCATTTCTTCATCTCCCACCTACATGGAAAGAATCAGAACATTGGTCAAAAACGCTTCTACAAAGAATATGTCTGGGTGAAATGTGTGTCTAATTTAGAATATGTAAACCTGTGCCGTTTTAGTTCATTTAGTTCACTTTTAAATCATACTTTTATTTTGCATCTATTTATCTATTATTTGCAATGTATGAATATGACGATATTTCTCCAGCATGTCCGTCTACTGCTTAAGGCTTCAGGCTTTTTAATGTGTTATTAATGATTCTTCTGATTGTCTCTATCCATCTTGCTGTATGTCCTCCTCCTGTTTTACCTTCAGCTGTTCCATTCATCACTGTTTTCCAATGAACCGATTCTTCTAAGAATATGTCCAAGATAAGAGATTCAGGTCAGTTATATGGGCTTTAAGTGTGAGGTGAGACTAGTGGTGGGCAATATGACGACTGTGACATTTTTCTGTCATGAAAAAGGTTTATGGTGGATCATTCTCAGCACTGCAGTAACACTGATGTGGTGGTGGTGTGTTACTGTGTGTTGCACTGGTCTGAGTGGATCAGACACAGCAGTGCTGCTGGAGTTTTTAAACACCTCAGTGTCACTGCTGGACTGAGAATAGTCCACCAACCAAAAATATCCAGTGGGCAGCGTCCTGTGACCACTGATGAAGGACTAGAGGATGACCAACACAAACTGCGCAGCAGCGGTGGTCATAATGTTATGCCTGATCGGTGTATATACAAAGTTTGGGAACCACTGCTCTACAGAAATAAATATAAATGACAGCGATTGAAACAGAAGTGTGTGTGTTGTGCTGAACATCTAGGCAGTGAGTGAAGAGGGTGATGAGTGTGAGATGGTGTCTCACCCTGGGAACCGGGCGGACCTCCACATTGCCCACAGACACATTGTGAACACAGTCCACCATGAGGGGCATGGTACCTGAGTCGTGCATCGAGCGCACCTCCACCTGGATACGCCGAGACTGACCCTGCGTACACACAAACAGAACATTCACAGTTGTGCACAAATTCGCACACAGACTAATTTACATGACAAAACGTTTGAAGCCATAAAGCCAAATTTGACATTTTTTAAAATATATTTTACATAAAATTTATATATTTAAAATTTTATATATATAAATTATCCAACAAGTAAATGCCATTCATTCATGCTTGGTATGCTTGTGACACAAAATGTTACATATAAAATATTTAAAAAGTAGAAATGGACAAATATCAGGACATTTAAGATAATTAGATAAGAGTTAGTATCAGTACTTGTATCTGCCAATACTTAGGGATCAGGTATTGGTATCAGAAGGACAACAAAGTGGTACTGGTGCATTCCTAATGCTAAGCAAGCCACAACTACCAGGATTTTGTCAATCCCATTCTGACTGGCTATCCTCCAGTTTGTTGTATGCGGTTCCGCACAACGTTTTCAATCTGTCTGATACTGAAACACAGTTATGTGAACAGTAAGCTCACTCTACACACCATGACTAGTGTTTTTGACCAAAATATAGTCACAGGAATGCATGAGAAAGTCACAGCATTACACCTATTATAACGTCTATCACTGGTTACCAGATTCAGAGTCAGGCTTGCGAGTGTGAACTACAGCAGAGTGGAGCACACACACCTGTTTGAGCTGGAAGACTCCTCCTGTGCGAACGTCTTTAGCAGGAACGACTTCCACAGGAACAAACTCTCCACCCTCATTCAGCTCCAGTATCTGCACCCACAGCTCCAGCTTCCTCATCACCTCACTCCACCTGGAACACCAGCAGCACAGTCACCCACATACAGATACACACAGGTTCTTTGACATCATCACTTACTCTAAACTGCAGGAAGTGCTACATAAATATGTTTATTACAGATTTTTTAGAATGATTCTATTATTGTACAAAGTTTTAATCATTTTTTGCTGTCAGTCACATAATAATAATGATAATAATGTTAATACTACTATGACATTTATATTATTATTCTTAACATAATATCAATATGACATATAGTTTCAAGTAATACAACCCCATTTCCAAAAAAGTTGTGATGCTGTGCAGAATGTAAATAAAAACTAAATGCAATGATGTGCAAATCATGTAAACCATATTTTTAAAGGAAAATACTACAAAGACAACTTATCAAATGTTGAAACTGAGAAATTGTATTGTTTTGTGAAAAATATTTCCCCATTTTGAATTTGATGCCAACAACACGCTCCAAAGAAGTGTTTCATCACCTTTTCTTTTAATAACACTCTGTAAGTGTTTAGGAACTGAGGAGACCAATTGCTGAAGTTTTGAAAGTGTAATGTTTTCCTGCTGTTGCTTAATATTAGATTTCAGCTGCTCAACAGTTCGGGGTCTCCTTGTTGTATTTTTCATTTCATAACGCGCCAAATGTTTTCAGTGGTGACAGATCTGGACTGCAGGCAGGTCAGTTTAGCACTCAGACTCTTAATACGGAGCAATCCTGCTGTAATACATGCAGAATGTGGTTTGACATTGTCTGCTGAAATGAGCAAGACCTTCCCTGAAAAAGACGTCGTCTTTATGGCAGCATGTTGCCAAAACATGTATATATCATTCAGCATTATTGGTGCCTTTACAGATGTGCACATCATGAATACTGGCTTTTGAACTGTGCAGGGATAACAAGCTCAGTGGTCTTTAGCCCGGAGGACACAGTGTCCATGATTTCCAAAAAAAATTTCAAATGTTGACTCGTTAGACAACAGGACACTTTTCCACTTCCACTCAGTCCATTTTAAATGAGCTCAGGCCCAGAGAAGGTGGCAGCATTTCTGGATCCTGTTTATATACGCTTTCTTCTTTGGGTTTTAGAGTTTTGACTTGCATTTGTGGATGCAGCGACAAACTGTGTTCACAGACAGTGGTTTTCAGAAGTGTTCCTGAGCCCATGCAGTGATTTCCACTACAGAATCATGTCTGTTTTTAATGCAGTGCCGTCTGAGGGCCTAAAGATCACGGCCAGCAAATACTGGTTTTTGACCTTGTCCCTTGCATACAGAGATTTCTCCAGATTCTCTGAATCTTTTAATGTTATTATGTATTGAAGATGATGAAAAGCAAAAATTCTTTGTTATTTTATGTTGAAAAACATTATTCTTGAATTGTTGCACTACTTTCCTGCGCAGTCTTTCACAGAGTGGTGACCCCCTCCCCATCTTTACTTCTGAAAGACTCCGCCTCTCTGAGATGTTTTTTTATACCCAATCATATTACTGACCTGTTGCCAATTAACTACCAGGTGTTTTTTTATGCTTCAAAAAACAATAACATTTCTTAGTTTCAACATTTGATATGTTGTCTTTGTACTATTTTCAATGAAATATAGGGATTTAATTGATTTGTATATCATTGCATTTTGTTTTTGTTTACATTTTGCACAGCATCCCAACTTTTTTGGAAATGGGGTTGTGGAATTGTCAATACAATGTTAACTAATTGTTGAATTATTAATAATAATAATTGTTATATAACAATTATTATTATAAACTCTCCTGCTCAGGGTCATAACTGTGTACCTCTCTCTGAGGGAGCGGGTTTTGGCCTGGATCACCCCCAAGTCCCACAGAGCCAGGTTTCGGCGGGGGTTGGCCAGTTTGTGCCCATAAACCTCTATAGCCACGGCTCCCTCAGCCAGGAACTCTATCAGATCTTCAGTTACCATCACCTCCAGATCCTAATGAGGCCAGGAGACACAGCTGCCCTGAGAACTTTACTTATAACAAACATTTTTACACCAATGACAGTTCTGGTGTTGCTACTATCTACTGACTGCTGGATCAATGTCAGTGCACTCAACTGTGCTTATGCACTGAACATTTTACTGTTAACACTCTGCATAAAGTTCATTTCTGTTTTTAATGCAAAAGTGAAAAATCAAGTTTGCTTCCTTAGTTAGCACTTTAGCTACAAGGCTAAGGCAGCTAACATGTAATGGAAGCTTAGTACTGTGCTAACTGTAAGCCCAAATAATTACACTCTCATTTCAAACCGTGTCTCATTGTCAATTTTTCTCTTACAGTCTTGTTTCTTTTGGTTTCTGACATTGTAAATGACTCATGGAACACTGCAGCTCCAGCGCTAAACCAAAGAAGCAATCTTCAAACACCAAATATTTGTGATATGAGACAAATTATGTAATAGTAATTTTTTACAAAGCTGTTGCTTTATAGCATTTATCAATTTGTCACATATTCCCAACGAAGGATGCAAAATTATGGAAAATCCTTTTGACCGATAACTGACCATCATTAGTCATGATTAAACATTAAGCCTAAAATCATGAACGCATCCCGTCAAAATATGAATTGTAACAGGTTCTGAAATCTGATGGTCTATGTAAAAATATCTGATATACACACATATGAGTGCACACATCAACTGAATTCTGTATTAATGCAACAAGATATTACAAAGTGTTCCTCCTATGGGCTGTGGAACATTTTATTTTTTGCTGCACACATAATGTTTTAGTTTTTTAGCTTATCTAGCAGAACCAGTTACCAGCAGTGCCCTTGTGCATACACTTGAGAAAATAAACACACCTATTCAAATAGGAACTGCTGTTCACTGGAAATAAAATAAAATTGTTCTTTTTTTTAACCGTATTGGTTAAACAATCGTTTATTTGTCAGTTAACAGTTAATCGGTTAATTATTTACATCTCTGTTACAAACATCAATATCCTTAGAAAAGCACGATAAAGCTCTGAATAATAGTACTGATACCAGGATGCTAAAAGCTGCTCTATTAGAGACGTTTTACTAACTTTACAGCTGTCGAACACCACCAGGCACTGGGGGTCTTTGCTGCTTGGAGTGGATGGGACGGACAGGTCCACCTCTGGGGCAATAAACACCGGCTCTGCTTGACCCCAGAAATGATACTGACAGAACACGAAGTTGGACAGATGCTGAGGCAGCCCGGTGGCCTGAGACACCTTTATCTGAACACACAACACAGAGAGAGAGAGAGAGAGAGAGAGAGAGAGAGAGAGAGAGAGAGAGAGAGAGAGAGAGAGAGAGAGCAACAGTCACACACTCAAAAAGCGTTTACTAACAACAAACATCGTTTCTTTATGAAACACAAATGACAACTTTGTGTCAGTTAATGAACATGACACACAGGGAATATGGTGACAATGAGAGATGCTTGACTAGGACAGCAGCCAGTATCCAATCATCAGCAGCGATATATAAGATTTCAGTAGTATGAATGTAAAGCAATGAGAACACAAAAGAAAGATGGGTTGACTGAAATTAATAGATAATAATTAATAGTTGATAAAAGCAAAAGAAAATCCACACTTCCAAAAATGTTATTGATCATCCAAAGTATGTTCAGTATCCAAGGTTTGCTTCTTTGGTTATGGCTAATACCCCACCAATTACCTTCCTCATATGCTAATACACACCAACTAGCACTCTCATTTGCATCAACTCTGGTTGAGATATTAGGTGCGCTCAAAAAAACTTACTTATTGCTGTATGATATACTTTTATCTACAAAAAGGCACTCGATGGCTGATACTACTGTCTTTTGTTCAACATGTATATGATACATTAGAGCAACAATAGCCTCGTAGCTCCAGTGCAAAAATAACGACGCAAACTTCAGACACCAAGCATGTCTTTGTGGATCGACTACATTTGGCATAACCAAATAATCATAATATAAAATATTGTACAATTTATTATTAGTATTGTAACTTCATGACATATATTTTATGCAGATAGAGCATTGATTTGTGTAAAACAGTGGTGCTTTGGTGATGGTGACGTAGTGTTTTACCCTGCAGGTTAGTTTGCGTTCATGTGTTTCTCCCTCGGGGCTGCGGTCAGTCTCCTCTCCTCCTGCTTCTGCCTCCAGCGTCCCACTCACCCTCTCTACCTCCACATGTAGACGCCCCGCCACCTGACCACACACACACACAGATACACAGAACTTACAGCATGATGCCAGCCTACAAACTGTACAAATTCCAAATGAGTACATCAGTTGTATATTTTGCTCATTTTATAACGCTTATTTTATTATGTTCTATTTTATTGTAAGGACCACTAACCATGTAAGATCTATGTGAGATCATGTAAGGCTATTTCTGCCTTTTAATCTATTCTTCTCCATTAGTCAGATCATTTCTCGGCAACGTTGCATATACAGGGTGATTCAAAAAGATTAATCCGATTTCAAAGCACCATATTTTTTCCAACCGTGAGGCACCTATCACCTACCAATTGACGGAGGGGGTCATAGAGTTTATGACTGTCACCGGAAGTTGGCTCCCTTCAGTCTGAGAGGAGATGGCGACCCCAGAGCAGAAAGCGTTTTGCGTTCTCTACTTCGCATTAAAAGAGCCGTGAGTGCAGTGACACCCAATGTGCTCAATCAAGTACGAGATGGATTTGACTATCGTGTTGATGTTGTCCATACAGCTGAATGACGTCATATTGAGCACTTGTAAAATTACATAATTACATGTTCACTTAAACCATTTACAATTTACTGCATTGCTCTGTAATAATTTAGAAGTGAAATAAATCATTTTGAAATTGGATGAATCTTTTTGAATCACCCTGTATTTGCGATTGCAGTATTTCATGTGATTAAAAGAGAGACAGCTTTCGCACAAGTCATGGTTGGCCACAGCTACGCTGTACATAGCAGAGTTTTCTTTCTCTAACAGCTTGTTCGCTACCCAGCTCACGTCTCCTGTCTCACTCACACTCAGGAGCTGCTCCCTGCCCGTCCCCCAACCATAAGGGTCAATAGCAAAATAAACCCGGTAAATAAATGCTGAAGAACACAAACCTAAAACTAACATGTAAACATTTTTTGAAAACGCTAAAATATGTGAAAAAAAAAAAATGTGTTCTAACAAAGATGAAAAATTGTGTATTTTTATTTTGCTTGTGTCACCAACTACTTAAAAAATACATAAAGAGAAACAGAGATTACTGGTAGCATTTTATTGTTACTCTGATTGGACAAAATTATAATTAGCTCTTACAGATCCAAACTGAGTTTTGAATGAGCTTGTGTGCTTGTTCGGAAAAAATTACAGGTCATCCAACAATTTGGGATACCTCATGCATCTTTTATAAGATATAGCAAACACAGTAACACACAGAAAGCTTTATTTCTACACGCTAATATGTTTTCTATGTGGACATGCAACTCTTCTGCCACAGATTTGAATGAGTGTAAGGGACCATCTTCAAATGTTATCAATGGATCGCCAGGGACACATTCAGCTCCATAGGGTAATCTTATTTAACACGGGCAATGCGGTCAGCCTTTATCATAAAGTGTTATTCTGTTGGAATTACACAACTGGAGTCAAAGATGCTGTGTTTTTGTGGCCTGATCCAAAAACAGCTAAAATACTGATTATTTTCAATTAAAAAAAGGCCGTTGTTAATTAACACCATTTCTGAGACTGCATAATCCAATTTCACAATGTGTTAAATTGCTCTTACTTTATGTTTTGTTTTGTTTTATTTTTTGCACTCACCTCCCCCTTCTGGTTGATGATGGGTACTGCATACTGGAGCTTAACGTCAAAGAACAGACAGGCCAGGAAGACGTTAGCTACACCAATCAGACTGTGGTTCTCCTGCTCATCAAAGAATGGATCAGCCCTCTTAAAGTAGGAACGCATCACCTGCAGGAAACAGAAACAGAGAGTGTAAGGATCTGGGTTCATTCCTACCCACACAGCCTTTGAAATTTATCCATGTTATTAGTGAACAGCAGAAAATGTAATGTCACTGTACAGGATTGTCCTCATCATAGTCCTTCCACTCCTGATAGAGCTCCCTCATGTCCACGAGTCTGTTCTCCATCTTTTCCATCGCCCAGATCTGCTTCCCTTTCCCTTTCCGTCTCACCTGAATGGCAGGCTCACTCAGCACAGCATCTCTCTGAACACAAACCACCAGAGCAACACCTTTTACATTCACTAAGTTACAAGATAACACCCCTCTGATATGTGTAATCTGTCAGAATCAAAAGGCTGTACATTACTGCATTAGCTTTGTGTAGCGTACTGCATCATTTTAATTAGATTTTGAACAGGCCAATAACTATATGTTTCTTATATTAATGAACATTCAGACTAATTCTGTCACGGTGGGCATTTCATATAAAAATGGAAAACATTGCAATGGTGTCTATATACATTACTGTGCAACAGGCACTGTTTAATCTGAGTAGTAAGTGTTTATTTGCCAAGGAAAGCACTAACATTAGAACAAACACAAATAACATTAATATAATAAGTAGTGATTTTATATATGTTGGTGTGTTTGTTTAACCATTTCCAAATTTCCTCTGAGGAAGCCTAGCATAAGTTGTAGTTTCCATACTGTACATGGTTTAATCAATATTTCTTTAATTAAATCAAGTGTGCTGGTGAATGATTTGAACAAATCCATGTAATGGCTGCAAGCATCCTGGATCTGGAACCAAATTTTGTTCTTCAAACTGACTCACAAGACATCATCTACTTTTTTAAAAGAAATACTTGCTACTTTTCACTGTTTTTATGTTTATTTCCATTCATTCTAATGATAAATAGTGATTTTACCAGCACAAACAAAATTACTGCAAAGAATGATTTTCACACATTTTTTGAGCGGAAATAAGCTTTGCCAAGATTTGCACGAAAATGTACCGTTTTAAAGATCCTAATAAAAAAAAAAACACCACACACTGAGCTGGCTGGTAGTGGCTGTGCTGACCTTGCGGTTGGCGTTGAGGTTTGCTGCGGGGATCTGCAGGGTGACAATGTATTCTGTTTTCTTGTTGAGCTCCTCAGCGATGAAGCTGGCCTCCTGCACCAGCAGGTTCGCTCTGACAATCTGTTCTCTGAGCTTTCTCAGACTGCGGGCCAACACCGCCTCTCTGACCCAGCAACACAACACACACCACATTAGACTCTATATACAACAATTCACAGGAACGCAGCAGAATATACATGCAGAAAAAACTTGATGTTATTTTTACATGTATGTGTCATTTAACTATTTACTTGTATACACTGCAGTTCAAAAGTTTAGTACAAATGTTTATTAATTATATTAACAACTGTTAATTTTACCATATCAAATCTTACCTGTACCATACCTTTTATAATTTTATTTCCAATTATAGCTCATACAGCACCAATTTAAATATGAGAAAGTAAACACATGTATTTTAGTTTTCATTTCTTAGATTTTATGAACAAAACGTTTTTAAATAATAGACAATATATTTCATTTATCTATTTACAATATTTTTTGTAGTCATCTTTCAAGAGATTTATTTTTAAAACGGTATTCTGGACATTATTTTTTTTCTTACTTAAGAATATTAATTTTATTATTACTTAATTCTGAAGTTCTGAATAGTCATTTTATTCTAGCTTTATTCTGGGTATTACTTTTATTATGACTTTATTCTGGTTAAACTGTATTGAAAGTTCAATCTGGATATTAATTTAATTAGAACTTCTTTCTGGATATTAATCTTATTAGAACTTCATTTTGTACATTAATCTCTTCAGAACTTCATTCTGGATATAAATGTTGTTAGACGTTCATTCTTTATGTGTCATTTTTATTTACAGCTTCATAGAGTTCCACTAATTATTTGAAACCACTGAGTTTGTACAGAAGGAGCATTTTCCTGCAGTTTAATACATTTATCTGCAATCAAATTGGTTTTATACTGTTGCAAACATAGATCACAAACTTTTCAAATGGTAATGTATGGCAGCCACCCTCCTCCTGAAGATTTACATCCTCGTAGAGTTTAGTTCCACCCCCAAACAAACAAACCTGATCCTCCTAATCACCATTTTCAGAAGGCAGATTTTCTGGATCAGGGTTAGATTAGGGCTGAGGCTGAACTCTACAGGAAGGCAGATCTCCAGTAGTGAGGTTAGTAATCCTGGTAGCAGATGCTGTAACAGACCTGTCATCACTAGCCTGGCGGAGGTGGCTCTCTGAGGTGTGGGAGGAGTTCAGAGGGATGACCCCACTGCCTCTCTGCATCATTCTTTCCGTGCCCAAGCTCCGGCGCAGGCGCTCTAACTCCTCCTCGTACTGAAGCCGCTGACGCTCCAGAGCAGAACGCTTCTCCTCCTCGTGCCTCCGCTCCAGGGACTGCAGCACACACTGCAGCGGGTCTGTCCGGGGATGGAGAGAGAGGGATTACAACAGAGATAGAGAAAAAACAAGAATGTGCCAGGGAATGGTGGCTATTACATTATATAAGCAATTCCAAGCTTCTGAAAGCTTTCAGGCTTCTTAATTCACTTGTGTAGTTGGGTAAATATAGTCCATGTAGTGCAGAGCAACTTAAAGGCTGAGCTTCAAAAAATGTGGACATTAATGATAAAATTCAACAATCATGACTGATGACAGGTCATGACCTTGAAATAGGTGTATTTTCTCAGTTATCAATCTTAAGACTTTATTAATAAGAATCTACTTTTACAAATTACTCAGTAAATAATATTAATTATTAAGTAACTCCCATGAATTATTCAGAATCTACTATGAACTATTCTGTAACTACTGTATTACTGTATATTCAGTAACTACTAATGAGAGCAAGTGCAGATTGAAGAGTAGACTCAAATACAGACCCTTTGAGTATGACCTCAAGCTTTCAAAAATCAGTAGTTACTGAAGTATCATGAAGTTGCAGAGCCTGGGATTTCCTGCAGTCATTCTTGTTAAAGTATATAAACTCTAAAGCTGAACAGAGGAACATTAACACATGCCATTCAGTTTACTCTCTTTCCTGTTAACTCCATAACCATAACTCCCAGCGCTCTCACCGTCGCTGCCCAAGGCCTTCATCATGACCTCAGTCTGGGCGTACTCGTAGTTGAAGCTGACCTCACTGGAGCCCTGACTCACTCTGTCCAGATCCACATCCAGCTGCTCCACACTCAGAGCAGCCTTCATCCCCCCACCCTCCTCTACCTCAGCTCCAGCACGAGACCGAGTTTTCGGCAGGTTTATTCTGGGAGAGGAACAAAGGAACGACACAGGACAGAAGAAACCAAATCAGAGAGATTTACTGGCTAACAGTAGTCGGCAAAAATCTGAGTATTTCTCTACCATATTTGTATGAGTTCTTTTAGACCATTCCTTCCTTCCTTCCTTCCTTCCTACCTACCTACCTACCTAAATCTTAACACAAACCAGTAGATGTGGAGTCTGGAGGTGTTTATGACAAAGTTTATGAACAAACCTGAAGAAGTGGTTGTTGCCCCACAGGATGCGGTCGCCATGGTGAAGCTGGACTGGAGCTGAGATAAGAGAGCCGTTCACACAGGTACTAAAAACACACACACACAAAAATACACACACACACATTTACATGTCTACTGCCTGTTTCACATAAACAGTCATTGTTTTACAATACATTTCATTGCTGTCGGAAAAAAAACCTCGTATCTCCAAAATGATAACTTTACAGGAGAAGGAAAAAACTTACTTTACTTTTAATGTAAGTCAATCGAACCAGACTTTTTCCAAGTCATTTTGGGTCGTTTCTTTTAGTCCAATCGTCATGAAATGTACACACAATATAAAGGACAACAGATATTTTCAAATTATGTCAAAAACTGAAAAATCCTACGTTCTGATGGAAAACAGATCAAATGATTTTTTTGAAAATTTTATTAGTGATGTGCAACGCTAATGTTATCGTTCTTATTTTTCCGCCAACAAAAATGCTTGCAAACTTGTACAGCTTTCAAGATATTAATACCGAACCAGCTTTGGAATGTTTGGACTGATCGGGTATGGCTGGCTTGTATGCAACTTTTTTAATTGGATGTACAGTTTCGACAACTTTTTTTCCACAGAAAAAATGGCATAATTTTGTGGCCAAAGGTTTGTACACAGCTCTTATGTCACCATGAAAGAAGTACACTAGCAACACCCTGGTAAGCACCTGGAACACCACAGCAACTACTTAGCAGCACCCTAGCAACCACCTGGGATACCGTAGCAACCATTTAGCAACAACCTTGCAACCACCTGGAATACCATAGCAATTGCCTAGCAACCACCTGGGAAACCATAGCAACCATATTGCAACACCATGGCAACCACTTGGAACAAGTGAGAGTGTATGTGTGATTACCGAGCATTTCTCTTTGGAGTGAGCACCACTCCTGACTCTGAAGTGATGTCAATGATGCAGTGTTGTGGATTAATAGCCATTCCACATAGTTGGATGTCCTGAGAGTCCGCTGAGCCCACCAAAGTGTGATCCTGCATGGATACACACACATTTAGTTATTTTGTTCTTGTTTGTACTCATTTATTGCTTTACACTATTAGGTCTCAGTTGTGGGTTCTATATTGAAAACAGTCACTTTTTCTGTAGACACTTGTCTTAATACCTAACAATCAAATGCAAGGGATCATTTTCATCAGTGTTTTATAAATAATACAGCTCTTAAAACTATACACCCAGTGCAGTGGGCTGCTATGTAGTGACATCATCATACAGTTTTATTAGACATAACACATAAAGATGTGGGGAAAAAGAGACTTTTATTTATTTTCTTTATTTTTTTAATATACACAATATATATAATTCCTGTTTCTGGTCCTGAGGACTAGCTTGTTTTTGTAACTGTTAAACAAAATACAAGTTAAAAATATGACCACATCCAGGATAATATTGGCACACCTTTAAGTAATAGACCAGTAGCTCATTGAGTGCTGGATCTGCGTTGAGGTTCACCAGGAAGCACTTATCCTCCACCATCCTGATACCAGATGACTGGAGAGAAATGCCCAAACTCTCCAGCTGCTTCTGTCTCTCCTGCAAAACATACAGTGATGCAGTTACTGCTAGTGATGACAAAATCATGGTGCAATTATCTATGAATTACTTCTCACTCTTAGCTCTTTCAAAGAAGTGGAGAAAAGTGCATATTTTCAATCCATATCACATTTTCGCTTGTCGGTAAAAAAAAGGAGATATTCTATTCTGATTTGACTTTGAATAAAAATTATTTTTGTAGTACAGTGTTTATGGAAAGAAGAAACATTCTTTATATTTTTGCCAAGTTTTTGTAATTTTCTGAACATCAAAACAAATCAAAGTGCTCAATCGAATCTGTCTACACCAATGGGTTTTAACTTGTGGGCCATGAATTACCTTTTACTGAAAGCAATCAGATAATAGTGTAATTAATTATGTAATTATGAAATAACAAATAATAATGTAATGTAAATCTAATGCATAGCCGAATGACTAGTATCTCTTCATATCTAACGGTTAACTTCTGCCTCACTTTGTGTTGTGTTTATGTGTTCTACCTGTGCAATCTCCTCTGTCTTCCTGAGTTTTTCCTCCCATGAGACCGTCATTTCCTTGATCAGTTTTTCAGACTCTTCCAGCCTCTCCTTCAGCTCTGGAGCCTTCATGGACTGAGAAAATGGTAGGCAGGTTAATGTAGGGACAACATGTAAAAACAAGAGTATGACTGGACACCTAAAGATTTTGCAGTAGATCATTCTCACAACTGAGACTTGCTGCAATACAGAGGCAAAGTCATAAAGGGCACACATTACATAAAAAACTGGTCTATAAACCAAAACACATAATTTATGCACCTAGTACGTCAAAATGCATTTGCCCATACACATGCATTTAAATGGCGTCACGCAAAATGAAAGTATTGGACAAAAATGGGTGGAGCTATTGTAAATAAAGCTGAAGTCTGGGCAACCAGCATGGAAAGTCTTAAAGCCAGGTGTAAATTAGCATCAACATCACAAAGGTGCATTGTCAGGAGACTTCCTTTAACAATGGAAGCAGTCATAGCAGCAACAATGATGATAATAATAATAATAGTAATAATAATAATAATAATACTCTTTATTTATCTGGCATTTTTCAATCCTGGTGGAAGCTCAAAATGCTGTACAGACAGGTGGTAACGTTTAACGGTAATGCAAGAAATTAAGGGTACTAATTAAAAATCATTCTAAAAAAATGGAGGAATGAAAAGAATGTCTACTAATTTACCAACAAAAAACACTCTTTTTACTCTCAAGATCAGATGTGTGTAAAAAAATGTAGCACAAAATTTGCCATAACGTGTAATGTAGCCGGAACATGTGCTCATAGTACATGTTATTGTTTCCAAAACTGTATTTTCTCAAACTTGAGTACAATTCTCTACTGAATGCTATTGAACTTTCATTTTCTCGTTTGTCCCGTCACAGCTCCGTTCCACTGCGCCTTTCAAACCCTGTGCCTCACTGTACAATAAGTAGGCGGTGCTGTGTGCAGTTTGTGTGATCAGTTACAGCTGTAGTAAATCCAATGCTACTTTCAGAAATATTGCAAGGGCATACAAATCCCATTTTCCTGTCTTTGTGTATGATTCACTGCACTGTGTGATCTTACCGTTCCTAGTCATAACTTTGTGGACAGAGGCCTTGGTCTTATTAGAAATAAACAGTGGCATCTTGTGTTTTTAGACAAGAGATCTCATAAGTAGAGCCTAAGTTTGAGCCCCAGTGAGATATATATAGTGGTCACAAACCCTCCAGTAAAGTTTAGTTCCAACCTGCATCTAAAATCCTGCCTCCCTTTCCCTAACTATGATGCAGCCATTCAAGGACTTCTGTTAATTAGATGAAGCAGGTGTGGCAGATTGCGGTTGGAACTAAACCAGTGACCACTGACTTAAATTAAAGGGTTACCTCAGCCTCAGTGAGCTGCTCTCGGAGTTTCTCCACCTCCTCCCTCAGCTCACGGATGATCCTGGCGTTCGGGTCCTCATTCACCACTGCATGATTTACAATACTCTTGGCTCGATCAGCGTAGCGCAGAGTGGACAGAGTCTCGTCATAGTTATCAGCGGCAGGACTGACCGTGGCCACCATGGCTGTGCGACTGTTACCACCCAGACTGTCCTGAAACACACGCCAAGGAAAACATTAGCTTGACTTTGGCGAGTGCCGCAGTGTCAGACACAGGACACGCTATAGGTTCACACTGATTAGGAATATTCAGATCTTCTAAATGTCTTAATACTAATGAAAATGGGGTTTAATCTGTGCTTTTAACAATAGTTTTGAAAAGGACACTGTCACATATTAATTACTGATTACATGCTCTTCATACCAAAGAAGATATCTGGATGAAACTGAGTGTTGACGATAAATACGCCTAAATGTTTAACACAAAGCTGCTTTATGATTACTTATCTGAAAAGTAACAGTGAAAAACTTTAAATTTAATTCAGTTTAAAAGAATAAAACTGTGATGGACATGTACAATATTGTGCAAAAGTGCGTAAGTAAAGCAGCGGTAGTTTTTGCATGTGGGAGTGTGGGAGAACCTTCAGTAGCCATGTGAGTACAGAGTCTCTATAAGGCACAAATTTACTCCGGTTCTTTCCAGCTCCCTGATCTGCCAGTGCTGAAATCACCAGACCTAGAGTAGTGAGAGACCTGAACACAAACACATCATCGTCATTAGTCATATCAGAAATAAATGCTCACACAGACCATCAATGTCCTATTTACCAGCTATCATGCAAAACAGGAATATTTGCTTGCATACTTTCGAACTTAAGAATCTTGAACACAACAATTTCTTCATACATTTTGCTATTTCCACCATTTCTATCAAAGATTTTGGAGAAAGTTTTTGCCCACCAGTTGTGTTCTTTTTTTAAGCAAGTAAAACAAGCATACATTATTTCACTCTGGCTTTTGGAAATATCATAGTACAGAGTCAGCTCTGACTAGCGTGGTCAATAATTTCTAGGTTACTGCTAGATTTGAATGTAGCCTTCGATACCATCAATATGAATGTTTTAATAGACACACTTGAAAACACGGTTGGTTTAGACAGACAAGTTCCTGTCCGTGTAAAGATGTGTTTCCAAACACAGAAAAGCGCAATATGGTGTCCCACAAGGCTCTGTTTCAGGGCCCTTACTGTTCTCCCTTTATTTACTTCTCACATAATTTGTAAAACACATAATGCACAAACACAATGAAAGACTGTGTTAAAAACATAAAAGCCTGGATGACTAACAACTTACTCTTGCTAAACTCAGAAGCACTGCTGTTGGGATTTAAGTCTCAAGAGTTTAAGTGCTCAAAATATGGTCACAGTCTTATTCAGTTTACACTGGCCATCATCATCATCATCACAGCTCAACAGCTGAAGTGCATGTTTGTTGTAGCTGAAGTGTTTTACTGACTTATTGATGTTGCTGCCCTCTTTCAGCCTGTCTCCGGCAGCTCCAGTTTTAGCTGCTCTCTCACTGCCTGCCAGGTCCACCAAACTCAGCTTACTGACCTTCTCCCCACTTGTCTACACACACAGAGAAAAGAACACACAATCATAACTTTCAGCAACACAAAATATTCCAGAGATACATACAAAATATAAAAAAATAAAAATATAGATGTAATAGGAGTATGGACAGGAGTATATGAGAGTATGAGAAGATATATGATACAGTATAGTATACTTAAGCAAACGAATATGATGTTGATTGAGCATTCTATTGCTTAATTTGCCTCTTTACCACAGTTCTGCAAATTAAAATAAAAAGGAGAGAAGCCCTAAACATTGCTTAATATTGAAAATTCCTTCCACCAAAAAAGTAGTACCCTTCTGCGTTACAGACAGAGCCATAAAACTGCCACAATACCAGGTTCGGTGTTTACCAGATAAACCTGGTTTTGTTTCAGCCAGTCTGTAAATAATTTCATTATATCTTATAGAAGGTACACTAAATGTCAAAAAGTATCCAAACAGCCCTTCTACCTAGTACATTCAGCTACTTTAAGGTCACCCATTGCTGACACAGGCATTCAATTACGCACACACAGCTTATTTAATCTCCACAGAAAAAGCATTGACCGAAGGCATGGGAAGCTCTGGAGCAGCCACACATGTGTCTAAGGACACCATGCCCAATGCCAGGCATTGGACAGAGGAGTATAAAGCCCCCCAACACTGAGCTGTGAAGCAGTGGAACTGCAGTCTCTGGAGGGATGGAGCTCCATCCAGTACCACTGGGATGAGCTGAACTGATCCAGAACTGATCATCCAACATCAGTGCTTGACCTCACTAATGCTCTTGTGGCTGAATGCAATCAAATCCTCACCGCAATGTTATAACATCTAGTGTAAAGCCTCCCCAGAAGAGTAGAGACTGTTACTGCAGCAAAGGAGAACAAACTCACCATTAATACCCTTGATTTCAGAAGAAATGCTGGAGGAGCAGGTGTCTACAAACTTTTGGACATAGAGTGTATCTAGTATATCCATGTTCTGTGTTTGTATGCGTTACAGTAGAAACTCACTAACAGTTATCTGCAGCCTTCAGCAAGTGGTTCCTCACCGACTGGTGCTCTGATAGTTACTTTTAAAAAACATACTGTTATATCAATTAACATCACGAGTAGAAAACTCAACCAATGAGACTGTGCCGTCAGAATTGACTGTTGTTTAAAGTATATTACTGAGTGATGTCTCATCTCACATCTCAAAACATACCAAACTATGTCAAAAAACTGGTTTTGAGCTTTTAATTTCATCTGTTTTTTCAGTGTCGCTGCATACATGCTGCTGAAAGATGAGTGAAGGAGTGTGCATCTCACCCCAGACTGCAGGTCTCGCAGTGTGTGTGTGAGGATGAGTTTGAAGACAGCGTGTGAGCGGCTGCTTTCCTCGTTCATGTTGGTGGCCGCCACAGTGCGGGATTTATTACCCTCAGACATCAATGACTCGATGTCCTGAAAATAAAGTATGGGAAATAAACAAAGGCTTGTCAGAAGAGAGTTTAATTAACTGTAATTATGACTATTTTAAAGGGACATTCTGGTCAAAATGAAAAATATAACCATCATTACATCTGTTGTAAACATGCCACAGTAGTCTCTAGAGTGAGATTTAAAAACTGCTTCAGGGTGGATTTTTGGCAGTGGGCTGGTTTTAGTATTTGGTTTCAATAGCTAGAAATCAATGTTACTGCTAGGAAACCAAATATCTTATTGCAGCATGACTGTAGTGGCTGTCTTTAAAGGGTCTGTATCCTCCATTTTTCTTGTACTGAGCTCCACTTATGACATTTGTGCGCTTTTATGTACAAAAAAGAGTCTTAATTCATTTTTTCATGGCAATTTTTCCAACCCCGATTCATCCCTATTTTGCAGGCTGTTTTTCGTTACTGTGCCTGTATGACTGACATACGTAAATGACCTCAGCTGTAATGACTACACACACATAGGCAAATGTATTGGTTTTTATGACATCTCAAAAACAATTAATTCAAAATGAGCTGTTTTTGCAGCTTAGTTTCCATTTATGGACTGTATTGGCTGGAAAGTGAACAGTATGTTTTGAAAGTTTAACAGTGTTTACATATTACATCACACATTTATTTCAAAGAAGGAGGAAAAATCAGTTTTCCATGATACGGGCCCTTTAAATAACCATCATACTGCACAGAATGGATTACTCAGACGAGAGAAATGACTCGTCAGACATGGAGGTTGGCTAGCTAAAAGCTATGGTTAGCAACCAAATCTATCTAGATACCTTACCTCAGCTTTCGTTCTCTTCTCTGACTGAAAGACTGAAAAACTCTGTTGTCTGTCCAACGCTGTATAAAGACAGAATCCATCTTTTCTTTATGACTGTCTTTAACAATCGAGGAAAGACTTACACTGATGCTACCTTGCATTATTTAGGCTATAGCTCATTGGTTAGGCTAGCAGTCAGGATTGGTTGAGCACCACAGGGAGCAACATTTATCACCCTTTACGGTTCAACAGTATTTGCATGATGTATTTGTGTAATGCATGCTGGGGATCGTAGTGAGAGAACATTGATGCCAAAAATCTGAAAACGATATAAAACTGTAAACTCCCTCAAACTGATGAGGCTGAGGGATACAATGCTGTGCTACAGAGTATTATATAACACAATAAATAACATACAGAACTCTAATTTTATACCAGAATGCCCCTTTAGTCAATTAACTGAGACAAAGCATGAAGCTGTTGTGCAGAACCTTATAGCTGGTCACAGCCAGACGGGACAGGCCATCAACATACGGACCCAACACCTTATGTTCTCTCACTCGCAATGCCTGAGAACTCCTGAGAAGAGAAGGTTTAAAGCAAAAGTACACTGAAAAAATGAATTACAGTTTACTTTCTTACCCAAATGTAGTCTCTAAATTCATCATCCTAACATGTTTAGTGTTTGAAGTTTGTCTCTGTAGTTTTGCACTGGAGCTACAAGGCTAATGTAGCTTACAAGCACTGGAACCTTACAGTCACCAATTAGTATTAAGCCTAAATCATCACTTTCTGGCCTCAAACTGTGTTTAGTTGTTAAATAATCTCTAATAGACCTGCTTCTGGAGTTTTGGGACAGTGGCTGTGTTTATATGCAATAATTTTTGCCAATCTGATTGAATACATTCCGATAATAAATTATGACTGAGGTGTTTAAGCTCACTCTACTCAACAATCTGATGGAAAATCTCCCTTTACATGCACACTACAAGTAATTGGATCCAAAATTACGTGCATGTGTAGAGAACCACTTAGTGTAGACGTTACCATGATAACAAGCATCACGTGAGTCCAGTCAGAGTGAGACGAGCAGCAGTAAGCAGTGCTTGAGTTTTTAATTCCTTTAAATACATACTCTCACATGTGCTTATTACAGAAGGGTGAGAGGAAGACATCATGTCCTGAGACACATAAACTGGACGCCCGTCCCACCGCCGTCTTTTAAATTTCAAAGCATAAACTTCGTCTCCTCTGCAGACCAGTTTCTGCTCCCGCCATGCTGAACATTCTAAACTTTCACTATGACGTGACGCACATGCGCCAAACATATTTACGCATTCTGATTGGGAATGTAATCAGATACAAGCGTTTACATGGATATTATTCTTCTATTTAACAGATTATTTACAGGATTACCCACCTCCTTCAATCGGATAGAAATTGTATTCCGAATGGCCTCAACTGGACTAATCTATTCCGACTGAGGTGTTTGCATGGACTTAATCTATTCCGACTGAGCTATTAGTCAGATTATTAAAGGATTATTAGGCTGCATGTAAACATGGCTACTGTACGACACACTACACACGGACAAATAGAATAAGGCTTTAACATGGCTGCTGCTACTGTTTAGCTCTCCATCATTTTTTAGATCTCTGTGGATAGCAGTGTGTCAGTAACATTTCTGATTATACAGGCTAAATGCTTCAGGTGCAAATATTTGTGCCCCAAAACAAAAACTATTTAAAAAACTATTGACTGAGTAGTAAAAGTTGTTTTTTCTCAAAAAAACACAAATATTTAAATAAATATGACTAACATCAATACAATAATTTCTCAGGAGAAATCTGAAACTAAATCTGTTCCTTAACTCAGCCTATATCAATAACTTTACTAAATGAGATTCTAGTTTTATGTTTTTTTCTATTTATTCTAATGCTATATAGTGTCTACAAGCAAAATATATATACTGCACAGATGCACACGTTAAAAAAGGCACAGTGAAATCCTCAGAGGCGTTTCTCACCCTTTAGGGTCCAACAGGTCTCGGACCTTCTCATTATAGATCTCCATGTAGGACACTTCCACAGTGAAGCTCTCTCCCTCCCTCAACTCTCGGGCACTTCGCTCGAACAGAGAGCTGCAGAGCCGTGGGATCAGACCAGGCTGCTCCGCCGAGCCCATCATAGTGTATGACTTCCCCGAGCCTGCGACCGCACAAAGAACAGCACAGTTGAACACACTCAAATGGCCATTAAGTGCTCGCAACTTCATTTTCCAGAGTCATCTCAGTGTTAAAATCAGCTTAAAGTCAAAGTTAGGTCAAAAATCTACTTCACACTAAATCACAATTTTCCTCTTATCTGAAACGAACTGAATATCTTTCATGTATCAAAGTAACTGGGGTACTTACAAAGTGTCATCCTAAAAACGTGTTTTTCTGTAGGTCTTAATTTTACTCTGTTATTATTGTGACAGCATATAATAATTAACGTATTAACTACTATAATTAATATAACGATTCTGTAATTACTGTTATTGTCTCTTTATTCCATCTTTTATTCTAGTTTGTTTCTTACAAACTTGTGAGCAAGCTACATGCCTGAATTTGGGTGCATTTTAAAAAACAGCAAATGCCATGTTTTGTTTATTATCTTGTTATTTTTTTTATTATGTAAGTTAACAAATTCTCTACAGAGAACACATTTTAACGTGCTGTTTACTACCAGAACCTAACTGGTAAAAAAAATAAAACAAAAGTTAAAATGTGGCCTGTGCAAAAGTAAGGGCATAATTTATATTTTATGTTTTATTTTTCCCAAATATTTTAAATTCAAGTAAGTAGAAACTGTACATAAAAATCTGCACAAAAAGGCACATTTAACCGCGTTCTCTGTAGAGCCCATGTTTCAAACACAAGACCCGCAGGCCAGATCAGGCCCACAAGACAATCCTATCTGGCCTGCAAAAGTTATTAATCTATTAATATTAGCCTGTTTCACAATGTGCTGCACTACAGCCCCCAGCATGCAGTGCAACGCAATGTGTGCTCTGACTCTCCTAACCCAAGTGAGCTCAGCAGCTCAGAAACTGAGCCCTAGAATTTTTTGAACTTGCAGCAAAGAAAATATGCCAGGTGTCTATTTCAAGCAAATAGGTGGTTTAAAAAGACCTACATCTTGGGGACAATTACATTATGTATATTTCAAATATTCATGTAAAATTTCAAGGTCTACTATAAGTGCCTATATTTTGTTGACAATTTGGCTATTTTGAATAAACAATGGTCAGTTTGGGTTTAGCAAAATATTAATAAAAAATGAAATAAAAACATAAGTGTTCTCTGGCCCATGGATTTGTTGAGATTTTTGTAATATGGCCCTTCTAGTGGTTGTTTCACACTCCTGCTATATCTTCAACAATCAACAAAACAGGTAATTTTGTAATTTGATGATTTTATTCAAACTTCGCCATATGACTGTATTATCATACGTTCCTTCCGTATTATGACGCATTTGCGAGAAAGATGTTATCAGGCAGGCCCTCTGAGCTTATATTATGATTGAAGCTTGTAGGAAAACAAAAATGTTGTCTTCTGACATGATGAATTTTGCTTAATATGAGCAGCAACTAACAACGTTTTGATTTCAAGTTGACTTAAAAGTAAAAATGTTACAAGAAAAAAAAAGGAAAAAAAGAAATACCAGTTTGTCCATAAGCGAATATGCAGGCATTATAGCCCTGGAATGCATTATCCAGAAGACTCTCCCCAAGGCACTGGAACACGACCTCCTGACCTGGGAGTGACAGAAACAGTACAATTCTGATTCTGCTCAAAGCAGAAATGGAGAAAGCGGTAATGGCTGTTCCAACTACATGCGCTTCTAAATTGTTTTAAATCTACTTACACTCTAAGTTAAAGCTTAATGTAGTCAGTTACATAAACAAATGACTAAATCGCAGCAGAGAATGAAACTGTAAGATCACACTGTGGGGGAAATGCTCTTGAATCCTCATGGCATTAGACTGGTTTTACAGGTTTTTCATGTGCTTTCTCTTAACAGTGATTATTCAGCACATTTCTCTGAATCGCTGCTGTTCTTCATGGTTCCTCATTAGGAGGAACATGCTGCAGAGGCCCTGTGTGTGTTGTGTTTGTGATGGAAGACTGGGTTTAAAGAAACTTGACTCAAAGCCCAAATACTGTTGTAAACTGCATGACAAATCATACCTGCAAATTTGGCTGCGTTCGCCTCATCCATAGACCAGAAGCAGTAATCATACGCAAACACCTGAGATGACAATAAGAGTAACATTGACAACAACAATAAGAACAATGAGAAAAAATTATAATAACATTAATATCCAAAATCTGTCGTAATTCAAAAGTGGAGATCACATCTCAAGGCAGTTAACTTGACTAAACAAGCAGTGCAAATGGACAATTACAGCATATTACTATACTGTAAATACTGTATATCACTTAACATGGCAAGTGATTCCAAACTTTGAAACGGCACAATATATAAAAACATTTTAAAAACGTCATGCATTATAAAGCCTTGTGTTCAATATGGAAGGTAAACAAGAAATATATATTTCAGACTTGGGGAGTGATTTACTATGAGGCGCTATTACTGATAGCCTACCGACACTTTGCGCCAGTCAGGGTGGCCAATTCAGCTGGTTATCTACTAAGAAAAAAGGTGCAACTTCCTAATTAACACACGACCAACCCAATATAAGCACACTTTTTTATCTCAAAGCCAGTTTCTGTCAGGTAGGAGAAAAAATAGGTTTTTATCCTGTTTCTGGTTCAAATTGTGAATCATTATTTATTATTAAGTGCCTTTATGTCATTTCCTGCTGACCACATATTCTGCCTTCTGTTTGGGTCTTTTTTTTTTTTCCCCAATTTAATCGTCTCCAATTCCACCCGCTAGTTAGGACTCCCCCAATCACACGATGCTATTAACGCTAGGAGGGTGAAGGCTAACACAGGCTTCCTCCGAGACCTGTGAAGCGCCACCGCATCTTTTCGAACTGCCGCTCACGCAACGTCACTGGACAGCCGAACGCGCTCGGAGGAAAGCGCCAACCGCCAGATCTGTTACGTCAGCTAACAGACGCCTGCGCTGACTAGTATCGCGTTGGGTGATGGGGGGAGAAGGAGGGGCCATCCTACCCACCCAGAGAGAGCGAGGCCAATTGTGCTCTCTCGGACCCCCGGCTACGGACGGCTGTAGCATCACCAGGGACCGAACTCGCGATCTCCTGATGATAGGGCCAACGCTTAGACGGTTGCGCCACTCGGGAGCCCCTGTTTGGGTCTTTAATCTTCTCAATGTCTGACTCATGATTTCTCTGATTGTATCCATCCGTCTAGCTGGTCATCCTCTTCCTCTTTTACCTTCCACCTTTCCAAGCATAATGGTCTTTTCCACTGTTCTGGTTCTTCTCAGAGTACCATCAAAATAAGAGCTTTAGTTTGGTTTTCTGCGCTTTGAGGGAGAAGTGAGGTTCGATTTGTCTGAGGATGCATTCATTTGTTTTCTTTGTCATCCAGGGGTCTCTCAAAGGTTTTTGCTAAGACCACATGAATCATTACGTTGGCATAACTACTTATTTTGTCAAACATATGACTTAGCTGTTGATAAATATGGTTTGTGATAGCACAAAGTGTCAGTAAGTCTTCCCCAAAGACTAAAAATCAAACCCTACACGCTTTACTACACCCTAATGCAAGCAAATGACAACAATAAAAACAAGAAAGCTTACCTTTGGTTGACTCCTGTATTCATAAAGAAAGAAAAGCATAAAACAATAATCAGCTATCATTAATAATAATAACAGAATGAATAATATTATCTTACAAAACACAAAAAGCAAAAAAGCCCTGTGAAGGAACTTAATTAACCCTGCAAAACTAAATACAACAACAGCAAGTTAGTTTATTTTACTGTGTTTAAATGCTGATTTTTATTGCATCATTTGTGCTGCATTGTTTGATATGAAAAATGCAGCAGCTGTCCATTTTAGCTCTTCATGGAGAGGTGTTAATTCACAGCAGGGAGTCCTTATCCCTCCCCTTTTGCCCCCTCATTGCTCACTAGCAGCTCGACGCAGGATCACTTTTCACACACAGGGAGGCAACATATCCTAGTTAATCTGATACCAGAGTTAAAGGGGAAAATATATTACTTGAATCTTTATCCTGCTGTACCCTGCACAGCCTGTCATGTCGTACATATGAGTATGCAGCAGCTTCCATTCTTCTACTCCCAATAGCATCCTTGCACATTTTGCACCAGTTAGAGTCAATTAGGTTGTGCTACAGCAACAAGATAAAACTTTTCTCTCTCACAAGCCTTTTCTGTCTCTCTCCTGCTATTGTACATGTACATACGTATGCCATTGTTTACTGTTTTCCTCTTTTTGTTTGTATACTTTTTTCACTGCAAAGCTCAATAAATAAATTCTTTAAACTTGGTAGACGTTTGATGGTCTGTCACCTGGGGGCGCTACAACTCAGTCATCTATAATTGGACTGGGTGATGTCTAAAAATAATTTGGACAATATTTTGATGTAAAAAAAAATCTGGTTTATGAATAACATACCCCCCCTAGAAAATGTACAGAAAATCACATATTAAATAAATAATTATAGAAACACACATTAAATGATATAATATTGAACAACATTAACATAACATTGAATGTTTTGAATTCTGTTGCTGCAAACACAAGCATTGTGCTTCTCGTTAAATGATGCACACAACAGTGACTTGTGTGCTAATAGCACGCTCTGCTGGAGAATCTCCAGACTGCTACATATGCCCTCAAAAAGTTAGCTCCAAAGCTATGTCCACAGTTTACATACTAGAAAAACTGGCTGTTTTGGATCATTTTGTGGAGTCGCACTGGAATTCAGCAATAGGTACCTGTGTAATACCAAGAACTATTAAAACTGTATTAATTTTAGCAATTTTATAAATATAATGACACATTTAAAGCATCAGGACACTTAAGCTGTACAGAAAATGACTCTGGAAAACCCCAAGTTTACTTTACTGGAGTGCTAATCCATTATTTTTACAGTAAAAGCAAATAAAACATTACTTGTAGTTGTATGCAAATGTTTCAACACAATTATGTTGAATTATGTTTTGTTGATTTTGTAAGTGAAAACATGTTAACACATCTTCTACAGAAAATACACTCAAATCTAACAATATATAACAGTACACAGCCGTATTAAACAGTAATTCAAAATGTTGGACCAAGTTATAAATAGTGTTTGGACCCAGATGATTGCCGCTGGCTGTTATATTTATTATTAAACTTGGGAGCACTATGATCAGACTGTCCCAAAATAAAGCCTGCAGTTTACCCCACTGCGTGCTGCCACTTTTTAAGTGTAAATACCGACCATAAATTATTTCAGCTCTTTTACCTCTGATAAAAATACAAATCCTGTCTCACTGAGCTAAAAGCTAAAACATTTGCAGTGCTTCAGTTACTAGACCTTCTGCACCGCCGTACAAGCTGGCACTGGGCGCTGGAGATTGTTAAAGAACATTCCAGAAATAGCTGGCACAGCTTCAGTCACCAGTGAGAAGGGCAGACTGACCACCTGAGACGGAAACAGTAACCTGGGGCAGCGAGGGAGCGAAATGATCAAGCTTAAAGTGGTGGTTCAGCTAAAAGTCACACTGACACAGTTCTCCCTTCTAACGCCACATGCAGCTGATCAGCCAAGACATGTTTGGCTCTTTAGTTCTGCACTGGAGGCTATTGTAGCTACCAAGCACTGGAAGCTTAAATCCCACCTAACTTCTGATAGCGAGCCTAAATCATCATTTGTCCTTATAACAAGCGTGTCTATGTGGTTTCTGACACTGTACGACATACTGCTACCTATAAACATGGACAAAAGCTTGTCACATAACTAAAAACATGCATTTTGCAAGCTCTCTTTGTTACTTAGAATTGAGCAGAATGTTTCTGTGACTTCAGGACTCATACATATGTAAATGACCTCTGTTCTGATTGGCTGCCCTGTATTGTGCTTTACTTTAAAAGCAGTCCAGGATGAAACACTTCTTATGACTTCAGTGTGAGTGGGTGGGGCTAAACTGCTGTAGGCTGAAAAGGCAGACACACTATATAGACAAAAGTATTAAAATACACCTTTCATTGAATTCAGGTGTCCCATTCAGTCCCATTGCCACAGGTGTATAAAATCAAGCACCCAGTCATGCAGTCTGCCTTTACAAACATTTGTGAAAGAATGGATTGTTCTAAAGAGCTCACTGAATTTGAGCATGGTACTGTAATAGGATGCCACTGTTGCAAAAGTCAGTTGTACATCCCTCCTACATCAACTGTGAGTAGTATTACTTAAAAACACTAAAAAGTGTTTAGGACTTCCTGGTTCCTAAAAAAAGTGTTTAGGAACCACAGCAACTCAGCCATGAATTGTCAGACCATATAAAGTCACAGAGCGGGTCGCCGAGTGCTGAGGCGCATAGTGCATAAATGTCACCAACGCTCTGCTGACTCAGTAACTGCAGAGTTGTAAACCTGCTCTGGCATCAACATCAGCACAAAAACTGTGCGCCGGGAGCTTCATGGTATGGGTTTCTGCTCAAGCACAATGTCAAGCGTTGCATGGAGTGGTGTAAAGCACACCGCCACTGGACTCTGGAGCAGTGGAAACGTATTCTGTGGATTGATTTGCATGCATATATGAAAATGCGTGAGCTTAAAACGCTCATTTTCCACATATAGAATAACTGAACTGGGGAGTCAATGGTATTTTCAGCAATGTTTATACTACATCAAACTTTTATTTAAAAAATAAATATGTTTTTAAGAACATGGGGTTGGTGGTGAGAGAGGATAACAGTGCATATTTGATTTTTGGCTGAACTATTCCTTTAAGGCATCTTTGTTCTCGTAGTGATTTCGTAACATTTGGCAAACATTATGATACCCTTAAAATTCCTGTAGTTGTAGGGCCTCGCAGTGTAATGACTCAAATACAGGCCAAATGCATGTTACACCCTGACTCTCTGAGTGTGATATGAAGAGTAAACTTTCGTCTACAGCTTTCATTACAAGCCTGTAAGACCTGTTTGTAGTTCCTCCACACGCACTGCAGCAGCAAGCAAGTCAGGGCAAAGAGATCAGTGGAAAAAAAGTGAGACATTACAGGTTTGACTGGGAAAACAGACTATTGATCAGAGAAGTGGTAAAACAGCAGAGGAGAAGGAAAAGAAAATCAATTGTTCTCCCCTACTGAAGAGCAGATGACAACAGTTTGGGAGATGTATATGATGAAAATATTAAGTCACAAACAGAGCACTGACAGAAAAAAGACTTTCATTAATAAACTGTTAGGGTAATTCTATTGATTTTTCAACATTTCTGCACAATTAAATGACTAAAGTGAAGAATTAAATGACTAGAGAGCCTTAGTGAGTCAGAATTGTTCACAGTGGCGGTGATAGCAACCAGACATCTGAGGAGTTTTATGCCTCTAAAAGCTCCCTCACAGCAAGTTACTGCAGGAAATATGCATTAAACATTGTTTCATGACAATTTTGAGAAGGTTTGGGCCTAAAACATATTGGGGAGAAAAATGCAGGGAATTTTAATGCAAAATGATCCCCAAAGTAAACTTGTTTTTCAGATTTATCACTAATTTTTATCAGAACTCTTCATAAGGTCATCATGTAATGCTTATTTGCCAACAAACATGACATATGCAGAGATGTTATCTGTACAAGTAAATAAGCAAATTCATTAATTAATTAAAATACTATAAATATATATATATATGCTTATTTTTAAATATAACAAATGAGTGTAATTGGAATTTTGGATGTTGACAGATTGGTTCTTCTTGTAACGTTAAAGGGCAAATATGCAACATTTTTCTTGAATTGTATTTTCTTCCCTGAGGTCCACTCATAACAATTATGTGAGCTTAATCACCAAAAAACAGCCCTAATTCACTTTTACATGACCATTTCCACTTTAACCACTAGAATTAAACAGGCTGCTTTTGTTACTGTGCCTTTAAGATATATTATATGTAAATGAGCTCTATTCTGACCGGCTGCTCTGTATTGCGTTTCATTCAGAAAGCAGTCCAGGGTGAAATATACCAGCATAAATGGGCAAGGCTAAACATCTATAGGCTGTAAAGCTATATATATGTAAATGACATTGTTTTTTGTGATGTCACAAAACAAAAAATTCAAAGCAGGCTGTTTTTGCAGCTTTGTTTCCATACATGGACTGGAGAATTAACAGTTTTGAAACTTTAACACTGTTTACACAAACACACACTGTTTAAAAGAGTGAGAAAAATGTGGTTTACAGTTTACAAAAAAGCTTAAAAAATCAATTGATCTTTTGAGTAAAAGACAGCGCACCTGCAGAAGCAGAGAAGCCGGGGGGGGGGAGGCCAGAGCCCCCGGGGGAACGTTACACACAGCTACATGAACAGACACACCTTTTGTAAAGAAGGAGCAAGAGAGAGCAAGAGGAGAGGGAGTGGAGTGAAGGAGCAGAGGAGAGGAGAGCAGGAAGCAGCTGAGCCTGAAAAACTTCACTGCCATCCAACTGGTTTCACTTTACATGCAATGCCTGATTACCAAGTGAGGAAACCTGACTTCAACAAATAAATTAACTGGTGGGTTTGCAGTAACTTAGCATATTAACGACTAAAACATTATAATATAACGAAAAACGATTAAACCGTATGTTCATAAAAAACTCTCGATTATGTTTGAATTGATTTTTACTGTATTTTACATCTTATTTTGAACATATTTGGCAACAACCTGTTTACACCCAAGTCTGCATATCTCTTAGAATTATAATGATTATTCTAATAAACAATAAACTATGTTTCTTATGACTGAAAAATCACAGTGACAATGCATGAATGAATGCATAAATAAATAAATAAATAAACAGTTTTTTGTCTGTTTGCATATGAAAGACTGTGCACAGAGACAAAGCATGAATGAATGAACACATAAGTAAATAAATAAGTAAATAAATAAGTAAATATAAATGTTTTCTGTATCTGCATATGAAAGACTATGTACGTTTATTTTGAGTGAAATTACATCATGCAGAAATGATTGGAGAAAAAAAACTCCCTTAGCAGCTACTGTTATGAACACGTTACTGTAATTATCGGTTTACAGTAAGTTCTTGAGGAGTTTTCTGCCTGAGATTTGATCTCTACTTTTCAAATATGAAGCACTGTGAATGTTAATTGTTTAACAATTTCACTCTGGATGTTAGTTTTAGTTCTACAGCTACTGTTCATCATTTCGCACACATCAAACATTTCTTCCCTTTTTGTAGCTTCCTATTAATTGCAGTTGTATGCAAAAGTTACATGCTTCATTGATTTGAAAATAAGTTAACACATCCTCTACAGAGAACACACTCAAACATGACATTTTTCTGCTAATTTAGTGCACAATTTCAGTGTTTTCTTCTAAATAAACCTGCTCAGGGTTTAGTATGTATTGCAAACTAACAAAAACAAAAAAAGACAAAAAAAAACAACTTTTTCTGACAGCAACGTCATGCTGCTGAGAGTTCATAACGAGACTAAGTGACAGACAGGTGGAGGGGGTCGTGTTAGCTAAGAGGGGAGACACAGACGTGCCTACTGACTGACATATGAAATGCTGGTGAAAGATGAAGGTTCTGTTTCAAAGTTAACAATCCAGTCTTTGTGGAGCTGTAGCACCACAAGCTCAGCTTCAGTAATGATTAAACACAGCTATTATCTATCATTAGCCCTGCACTGAAGACCGGCATAGTGTTAGCATACAGCATAACAGAGAGCACAAAACTCAATGCGACAAATCAAAATAATCAAGTTTGCAAAATTTTCCCCTTTTCTCAAATATAGATGATCAGTTAAGATACGTGTGATGTCTGAAGTTTGCTTCTGCAGTTTTGTACTGGAGCTACAAGGCTAATGTGGCTAACAAGTAATGAAAGCTTATACTCCACCAATTAGCATGATGCTAACTGCATGCCTGAATCATCACACACTCTATTCAAACCATGTGGAGTTGTTCAGGATCTCTAATAGATAAAGATGGAATTAACTCAGGCTTAAAGCTGCTACTGTTTTTAGCTATACAACATATTAGTGATGCATCAAAACGAATTTGTTTTTGGCAAATCTGAAATCCAGGACACACTGGAACGAAAACAAAAACTAAAAAGCACTGACAATAAACAGTTTATATAAAATAAACTTACTAAAATGATTACAGTATGTAGAATACAGTATGACCTATTTTATAATAATCATGATAAATATAATATTGTGATAAACAGTATGCTTTTCTGAGCATATTGTGGATATTGTCAGTATCGGGCATTACCAGGCCTGTTTAATTGAATTTAGTGCAGTACACTCTCAGAAAAAAGGTACTGAACAGTCACTGCGGCAGTACCTCTCTTGTCACTGGGGTGGTTGTATTGACTCCACACACCCCGTCTCGTCTCCAGGCTTTTTATTTTCACTGTTCTGTTTTAAAACATGAGGTTATGAAAAGAAAAAAAATAGCCACTTTTCACCTGGAAAAACATTTAGGTTCACAACTGGACCTTAAAACCACTGTTGTACCTTTGAGGCACATTTACATTGTCTGTACCTAGTCGAACGAAAAATGTACCTGCACAGAACCTTCATTTCTAACAGTGCACAGTCTGTGAAACGCTGAATATAAATCACTCAGAGTTTTGGATGGCAGTTTTTAAACATGGCACTACCAGTGTCATTGTTTGTAAGTGTCAAAATATTGCGATATGTCTCGTGAAAATGTCTAAGTATCGTGATATGTGTTTGCCACAACGCCCGCCCCTAGTATGAGCCATGAAAGAGAACAACTGGTCATCCAAGACAATGAATTATATTTTTTTTGTTATATATAACTCATTGTGAGTGTGTACGTCTGCCCTGTGATGGACATGCTACAGGTGCCCCAAAATATCATAATTATACTATAATTAAACATGACTCACACTAAACAGCCAGTTGCCTCTTAATTTCAATGGGTTCATGATTCATCTAACTCATTTTACATTAAAAATATAAAATGCCAGTTTGGCTCATTGAAGAGCAAATAACGTTTATATCATAAATTTCTCTAATAAAAAGCATAGCAAATGTGCTAGTATTTATTTAGCCAACATTTTGGACATTATTCATCAAGGAACACAGATCTGGTCACCTTTAATGACGTACAAACTACTCTGCGTCTGACTCATGAAACTTTCGTTTGACGTGGAAACAAGCACAGCTTTGAGCACAAATGAATCTGCCTTAGCGCGTGAAATCAAGGGCCAACGTACCAGCTGAGGTCACTGCTCCTCCTAATGAACTTGAAAAGTGTTAACTGGAAAGAATTAAATGTGAAATAAACAAAATGACTCAGTTTTAAGTCATTTTAGTTTAAGACTTAGTTTAAGACCTAAGATGGTAGAGTAATGTGATTTTGCAAAGTGATTATTTTTCAAAAATAACAAATTTAAACACTGTATAACTGGAGTGTATTAGATGCTTCTTCACTAGCTGTGTTCTGTATTGTTAGTTTTGTAGGTGGGGTCAGTAGTCTAAAACAAAAGCACCGTGCAAAATGTCTAAATGGACCATGGGACAGGTGCAGCATTTGTTTACACAATGTAAACATGCAACATTCTACTAGATTAGTTAACCACAAATCAAGTGTTTTTTTGACATGCAGGTTAAAAGCTAAATAAGCTTCATTCTGTGGTAGCTACATTATCCTTAAAGCTCCAGTCCAAGAAAAGCAATTTATCTTTCTTTTCCAGCTCAAGTCTCCAGGGTTACATTTGACCTTGCAGTGACTTTCCACTAGTTGCTATGACATCTGAAGGCCGAGGAGGAAGAATTTGGGCAAGCGGTGGGACGGGCAAAACCCGATAAATACCAGGACACAGACAGCATGGAGCCGAGCAGAGGCTGACATAAGTAGATAATGAGGTAAAATATTTAAGCTTTTCAGCTAAATATCTCCATTGTCTTGCGGATGGGATAAAAACCTCTCGCTCTCTCTTTCACTCTCTCATATACATACATAAAAGTACCTCTACTTGTACACTACAGGCCAAAAAATGGAAGCAACAGAGAGTGATATGCTTATAAACCTAGAACAGACAGGTTTGCCCCTAAATGTGTACAGCAACTGTATGTAGTTTAAGGGCCCATATCCTTTTTTTTACTTATAAATCTTGTGCAGTTTTATGTACCAAAAATGGTCATAACTAATTTTTACACGGCCATTTTCCAACCTCTCTTTGACCCTTAGAATTAAACAGGCTGTTTTTGTTTTTGAGCTCTGAGCCTACAGCTTTAATGGCAATAATGACAGCAGGAGATGAACTGATTGGTTATGCAACGGTATCTGCCGATTTTCAGCCCAAATACACAATCAGTGATCAGCCGATATTTCTCTAACTTAGCCCATCCTGAGAGCTGATCAGTGACAAAATATACATGAGCCATATTTCGCCTGAGGTGCCAAAATGTAACTTCGGCACCATTTACGGTGGAATGGGAAAATGCAGACCAGAAGCTGCTGAATAGGAAGCCAACCTCAGCCTCGTCATATCTATTTCACTAATAAAAACATTTTTCCTGTATATTACATATTTGGCCCCAATTATGCTGTAAACTTGCCGTGTAAACATGAGGAGCTGTAATAAACATGGTTTGTCTTCAAAGCTTTAAGGATTAGCTTCTGTTAGCATCAAAGCGCTAATCTTAGCTTAGCTTACGCTGCACTAGCATTATGACCTGCGGCTTTGGCAGGAAATGAAAATAAAAATTAATCACAGAACTACAAAAGCTATTTTAGCTTTTCAGCTACATTTAAAAACTCATCTGTGAAGCAGGAGGACCATTACGTCCTGTTAGCGTAGGCGCCGGCTATTTCAATGGTTACACTAACGTGAGGCATGCCAGAATGTAACTGCTGCACTATTGAAAGTGGACGAACATTTGAACAAGAAACTGGCAAAAAAGAAGCTGAATTCAGCTGTTCAAAGAGTTGAAAGCATGAAAGGAATTAAAAGGGAACAGTTACTCTGTTTCAGTTTGACAGGTGAGTAACATTAACTTATTTTCGCAGTTTTACAGAATTAGTAGGTCAGTATTGTTTTGTACCATTAAGTTTGTGGTTAGCTTTGCAGTGGCATTTTGCGGTGACAGCTTGCTAACTCACAACCTAGCTAAACGTTAGCTATATTACTTCCTGTGTTTTTGTTCGCTCTAATGCTAAATCATGACATTTAGTCTGTACGACATTTTCAAAGGGTTTTATGGTCAGGAGTATTGAAAATAGTGTCATTTGCCTTGACAATGCACTTCCATGAATTTGGGGACACAGCTACTGAAGGGACGGCTGTATTTGTTTCGCTGTTGAAATTCGCTTAAATGTGGCCTTCAATCAGTATCAGCTCAGATATCAAAATTAGTCTGAATGCACATACTCAGCAAAACACACACTCACACACCCCTACCTACTGTCCCCCTTTCCGAGGTTGCTGCTTGCAGGAAGCAGCACCGTCTGGTTCCCTTCCATCTCCACCACACATTTTGTCTTCAGGTCCTTCTCTGTGTTGGAGAACAAAATGCAGAAGCACTGAATAAACACTGATAATGCACACTCTGATTACAGACACACAGATGAACAAAAAGGGTTATTCTCATGAACGCAACACTACTGGGATTTTCAAAACAATTAAAATGACTAAAAATTATAATGTTTAAATATACAAAAATAAGATCTGTTTAAATATTTTAAAATATAATAATAATAATAATAATAATAATAAGTGATTTAATTTATCTTTAATTGATTTTTACTAACATTTTCCAACTTAAATGACCAAATTCCCATAGCAACACAATAAGATTAAAGATAAATGTGTAAACACTGTTTTTTAACAGCTTTTCTTTTCATAATCTGTAAACTTGTCATAGTGTTTTAAAGTTAACTACTAAAACATACATATTTTCCAAAATGCAGTATTTTGCATTTTTCTTACTAAGCATTTTGTTGTTTTAGTTCACTTTCTCACAGTTTACCAGGAAAACATTAAAGTCAACAGTTAAAAGCAACGCAAACCTGTTTTTTTAGTTAAACAAAGCAGTAATGATAATAAAGGTAAAAAAAAAAAAAACTTTCAAATTAAAAATGAACATTACGATGCTCCAATTTATCTACTAAATTATACTGTTCATAAACAAATATTATTTATATGCGTCATTTTTACGACACTCAAGCATTTATGGTCATGGTTTGAGGGAGTTTCTAGAGAATGACCCAAATGGTATAAGACTCCAGCTTCGTGGACATGGCTTAAGCCTAGTCTTGGACTAAGTGCACTATCAGTGGTGATGCTACAATATTTTTTTGGGCCAAATCTGGGTATTGGAAACTGCCCCTAAAGGTTTAGTCTTATTTTTTCAAGGACTATGTACAAAAACATTGCTGTTTTTCCTATCTGCATTCCCTATGTAGGAACATATGGAATTAGAATAAAATACACAATCAGTACAAACAAACCGCTGTTTTTGGAAGAAAACCTTGTATCTCCATTTTAGACGTTTTTCAGTTTTTGACATAATTTGAAAATACATGTTACCCTTTATATTGTATGTAAATTTCATGATGAATGGACTAAAAAAAATGACCTAAAATGATTTGGAAAAAAGTCTGGTTTCATTGACTTACATTAACAGCAAAGTAGGTTTTTTCCTTCTCCTGTAAAGTTACCATTTTGGAGATAAGAGGTTTTCTTCCGACAACAGCGAAATACAAAATAGGACAAAATAAGAAATTAAATCATTTTGATTTTGCCTTAAAAAGTCATGGGACCTTTAATTCTGACAGGCCATCTGACCAAACAACAAGACCAGTGCTGAAACAAGAATACATCTCAGTGCCAGCTGAATGAGTAATTCCTCTGAAATTAGCCCTGGCAGTCTTCCATTAAAGGGCCCATATCCTGCCTTTTTCTTGCATTTTATTTTTGTCCCCTGACATACAGTTATGATGTTCTTGTGGGTTTATGTACCCTTCAACCTCTCTTTGTCTCTTAGAATTACACAGGCTGATCTGGTTTTTAACCCTGACATATCGTCTCCTTGGAATTATAAAGTTCTATCTGACATTTTTGTCAAATTTGAGTTATCCACGTATTCTTATTCTGTAACAACTTCTTAACATTATGTAAGGTGTTTGTTTAAATTGTATGCATTTTTGACTCTTTATCCAAAAAACAAAAAGGCTATCTTCAAAGTCAAACTCTAACTTGGTTCTATAAGGTTCTATCTGTGAGCCAACCAGCACTTCAAATACACACAAGGTTCCACTTCTATATCATGTCACTGCACTGCTCAGTGACTGTGGGAAACGTTTATAAAACTTTCTGAAACATGAAAACATGACTGACTGTCTTCTTGCATTTTTTGCAAGTCTTATTGTCTTAAATGTCATAAATATTAAGCCTTAAAGGTAATTAAATTGTGAACATTTGAATTGATGGAGTCTTAAATACAACATATACATTAACTTCTTCATTCATCCCTCTTTTCTTTTTTCTCCTAAAATAAGACATTTTGGTGCATTAGAGTCACATTTCTGATGCAAAACAAAGCCTCATACTTTTATACTGACTTGAACTAATAGTTCCAACCAAAAACTGACCTCTGCACTGGACAAAATATTTAATACTGACCTTCATACTTAATCTATCAATCAATGCTTTTTTAAACAAGAAAAAGAAGATTTATCCTAAGACAAGAAATGTCATAATAAATAAATAACAGAAATAAATGTCATTAAAATGTCAGAAAAGGTATTAAATTTCATGTTCTAATAATGTTAACACTCTGTTAGAACACAATTATTTGTTTTAAAAGAAATTACGAGTAAACTGTTTCTCATTTTTGACAGTTGATGCCTCTTTTCACGTTTTGCCAGACAGAAGCTTTTAATTCCAAGCAGAAAGTGAGTTCTTAGGATTATAAGGTTCTATAGGCATTTGACCTGTTCCAAAAAAGTTTATTTACAAATTTGATTGGATTTTGATATTGCAGATTTAGAATAAACTTAGGATGTATGTCATTTTCATGCACGAAAGAGACGTGTTCCACATATCAGTAAATACATGAATAAGTAAATACATGAAAATGCATTCATCACAAAAACAGTAAATTCAAACTGGGCTTTTTTTTTTTGCACTTTAGTTTCCTTATATGGACTGTATGGACTGGGGGGTGAACAGTGCATTGTAACTTTAACAATGTTTATATACCACCTCAAACATTTTCTTCTTCAAAAGCAAAGAAAATTCCTTTTTTCATGATGTAGGCCTATTAAAAGCTTGGCAGTACAGACCATTCAGTCAACAACAATTCAGCAGGAAACTCTCCAGCTTGAGAGACACAACATGGAAAATGTGCAGCTCTTCCAAGCTGACAGGAAAGCACCAAAAATCACTTTCATTTTTGGAAGCTCTGCAGTGCGACCCTGTTCATGGGGTCTTCCAGGCTCTGAATACCATCTGCACCGTGCTAAAGACAACAGAGGCAGACAATAACTTACTTTTAAACACTTACATGTACATAAGTACAATTTTTGTACTTCACACAGAGTTTTTGACTTTAGTTTCATTCTGTCATGTAGATTCAGCTCCTGATCTACTTTACTCATCACTCCTCTCACTTTGGAGTTTTAGCATTTTATTTTAGACCAAAAGTATCAAAAAACTGAAATAAACTTCAGTTCCTAGGGCTGAAAGATGCTGGGCGTAATAAGAAGTTCCACTGCACTTCTATGACGACCTCAGTACTCCAGGAGGTTTCGTCAGAGTCAGGGAGCCCAAACCCATACTCAAGAAAAAGTGTTGCTACTTTAGTAAAATAATGACTCAAGTTAAAATAAAAGCACATGTCCAAACACAACTTGAGCAGACGTACAAAAATAGCAGCTCAGAAATGACCTAAAGGGAATTTCTGCATAATTAAATGGTTAAGATGTAAACAAAGTCATTCAGAGCGGTTTGGTGTGAAATGGACTGTTCTAGAGAACTGTTCACAGTGGTAAGAACTGTTCACAGTGGTAAGAACTGTTCACAGTGGTGGTGACAGGAACCAGATAGTCTTATTTTGAGATACTAAGTCATTATTTTGAGATACTAAGTCATTATTTTGAGATACTAATTCATTATTTTGAGGTCGCTAAGTCATTATTTTGAGATAGTAAGTCATTATTTTGAGGTACTAAGTCATTGTTTGGAGATAATAAGTCTTATTTTGAGATACTAAGTCATTATTTTGAGACACTAGGTCATTATTTTGAGGTACTAAGTCATTATAATGTACATATAATGTAAAATAAATAGCATAGCAATTCACTTAATAATGAAAAAATAATAATCAGTTTTAGATCAGATTTTTTACTTTAAATGTTAGAACTGGGCTTCCACAGTAAAGAGTGTTTTGGGGGGTGCTGGTGTTTTCTTACCTCTCCTGTTCATGGGTCTGACCCGAACAGCCACCTTCACATTAGAGTCATTCACACTGGGGTCATCCATGGTTCTGGAGGTTATTATAATCGCCTAAAATAGTGGGACAAGTCATATGTAATGTTTGAAAGCATAGCGACAATTTGAGTTCTAGACGTCGAACAAAGTGACTTCGCTCTTACTTTACCTGTTTCTTCCACACGAACCGATCAGCTGAACACGTTTCCTGCCATAGTCAACTGTCAACTCCTATTAAACAGCAGGATTAACCAATGGAGCTGCACCGCCTTCAACTTCACCGCCGCTACCGTTAATGTTCTTAATGTTGGCGGTTATTTACTTTAAAGACTCAGACCCCGCGAGGTTCTCCCGGAGTTCCTCCTTCCTTTACGAACACGAAAAGTGAAAAGGGCATAAAGAGAGAGAGAGAGAGAGAGAGAGAGCGAGAGAGAGAGAGAGAGAGAGAGAGAGAGAGCGAGAGAGAGAGAGATAGAGATAGACAGACAGGGTACAGATTTAGCTCCTTCTGCTAGCCAGTTCGGTTAGCTGTCCCCCAGGCAGGAAAAACAACAAACAAACAAACAAACTTCGCGTCAGGCGCCTTTTACACTGACTGTTTAAAAGGTAACGAACTTAATCTTGATCTGTACAGGTTCTTCAGAGCTCCTGCTGAAGAATGAGAAACTTCCACCTGTTTCCTTTCCAGCTCGCCATTTTTCACCCCCGCAGCTCCGGACTGAGGCAGGTGGAGGAGGATTAGCAAGGGATACGCCCACAAAGACACGCCCATTGTACACCCCGCCCACAAACTATGTGCATACCGTACGAACACGCCCTTAAACACGCCCTTTTGGCAGAATCCTTAGCTACTTTTTTCGTATATATATATATTTTTTATAGTAGTTTTCAATAATTTTCATCACAATAAAGTCACCCAGAAAAAAAGAAGAAAAAAAGAAAAAATACAATGGAGTTAAAAAAGTATCCAAAAAGAGAAACTTCACTTCCTAAACTGAAAGATGTTTGATGTTCTAAGTTGTTCCACTGCAGTTCTACATGAGAACACCAGCCATTTTTTGGTTCTATATAGAACCATGGACACTCAAAGACCCTTTGCTTGATTGAAGGGTTTTCTGCATCGCGAATGGAGAATGTGCTGTAGATGGCTCTATGTAGAACCTTTTTGAAAAGGGTTCTATACAGCACCAAAAAGCATTCTTCTACTATTATAAACTTGACATCATAACAATAGATTGTTTTTGGTGTTGTATAGAACACTTTTCATACAGGTTCTATATAGAACCATCTACAGCACATTCTCCATTCGCGATGCAGAAAACCCTTCAATCAAGCAAAGGGTCTTTGAGTGTCCATGGTTCTATATAGAACCATTTTCTCTACTAAAGAACCATTGAAAAAAATACCTTTTTTAAGTGTGTATCAGCTCAAAAATGACTCAAAAGGGGATCAGATGTCTTTAATTCCTGCGTAATTACGTGGTTAAGATGTAAACAAAGTCATTCGGAGTGGTTTGGTGTGAAATGGTTCACTGCAGAGAACAAAAGGAAGAGAAATATGAAAAATATGCAGTGGGGTTTAAAAGTCTGAGACCAGAAGTGATGCTTCAGTTTTGCATTCCATTCAAATTTAACAGAAAGATTTGTTAACTTTATTATCAGCAGTTTAAAATTTTGAGATGAATTTTTACATTTGTTTACATTTGAACAAAGATGAAAAAACTGTGCAGAATCTTGAATATTTTTCTTCCTTTTACTTGTCAAAACTTTTCTTGATTTTAAATTTTGCAAAATTCTTAAATGCTTAAATTCTTAAATGTTCTTTATTTTTAAATTAAATGCAAAAAATCCCAGGTATCCATTTTGATTTCAATTTTCAGTGTGGTCACTTGGATCCCAATATAGGTACACTGGGGTGTCACATGTAAATGAAGAGAGATGAAAAGAAGAGATTAAGAGAACTCAGTGCTTTACAGTTCCTTCTTTTTTCCTATTTAGCGTTCTTCAATCCTTTCGGAGCATGTACATAATAACAGGGCTAAAATGTCTGCAACTGTGACCAAAATATTAGCTTGCCAACAGCAACAGATAACTGCTTTATTGTTTGTTTGTTTGCTTGTTTGCTTAATAAGCAAGTTTATTTATTAATTGGCATTGCTACTTTTATCTTTACTTGATTTATTATATTTTTTAATGTATCTTAATCCAATAGGCCTTGGCGTTCTGTCATGTGAACGTGTCCACCTATCAAAAAAAAGTCTGCATTCCTGCATTAACCCATGTTAACATGGGTGACTCAGGTAAGTCCACTTTAGAGAGATTAATGGTTTGCATGATTTGCATGGATCAGTGGTTTTTGTTTGGCTCTTAAAAATGCTGTTGGTGCCTGATTTTTAATGAGCTGTTTTTTTCTTTTTTGTAATAAGCTTTTTCTATTTTGAATGTGGAAATTACGTGTGATGTTTCTTTAAGCCTCTGTGTTTATGAATGTGATATTTTCCACAGATAACACACACCTCACACCTACAGACCTACTGCACAGACATGTCCACTACAGAAACACACCCATTATGAGACGTGTTTACCACAGAGACAACAGGACACAGTGCAGAGACACACCCATCACAAATAATCTTCACATTATGTGCTTCATATTTAAGTGCATCTTTTACAAATCAGCTTCACAACTGATCAAAATAATGAAAAAGGCACGTCAGTTCTTCACAGTACACTGTGTCTCACTTTGGCAGACCTGCTCTTAGCAGTTCAGTTGGCTTTGACACTCATTTTTGTGTTCTGTTGACTTTCTGTGTATATTAATCAACATTGAGTAAACAACAAACACGCTTTTATCTTTAGTATCATATGTTACTAATTACTACATTACAGTACAGTATTACAATATTACTAACAAAGTAATAACATTGTTATCAGGGACGTGGCCATATTGTTATCAGGGGTGTGGCCATATTGTTATCAGGGGTGTGGCCATATTGTTATCAGGGGTGTGGTCATATTGTTATCAGGGGTGTGGCCATATTGTTATCAGGGGTGTGGTCATATTGTTATCAGGGGTGTGGCCATATTGTTATCAGGGGTGTGGTCATATTGTAATCAGGGGTGTGGTCATATTGTTATCAGGGGTGTGGTCATATTGTTATCAGGGGTGTGGCCATATTGTTATCAGGGGTGTGGCCATATTGTTATCAGGGGTGTGGTCATATTGTAATCAGGGGTGTGGCCATATTGTTATCAGGGGTGTGGCCATATTGTTATCAGGGATGTGGTCATATTGTAATCAGGGGTGTGGCCATATTGTTATCAGGGGTGTGGTCATATTGTTATCAGGGGCGTGGTCATATTGTTATCATGGACGTGGTCATATTGTTATCAGGGGCGTGGTAATATTTTTATCATGGACGTGGTCATACTCTTATTAGGGGTGTTGTCATACTCTTATCAGGGGTGTGGTCACGTTGTTATCAGGTACTTGAACACACAGTCCACTGAAGTCATGTGAATATGCTCATATCAGAAACACCAGGTCTAAGCTTTATTTTCTATGGGAAAATAAATGAGATTTTCAGAAATCTCTGCTATCACACCCTGCGGTTAACAAAATGGTTCCAAACTCAATATGTTTTATCCTATGTACATTTTTGCAACCACGGTCACTGGATCCTCAAAATTTTCAACGCACGTCTCTTGCTTTGCACACAGTGCAGATAATAACCAACCTAACTTTAATGTGCTGACAATTTCTAGCATTTACGCCTTCTGTGTTAATCAGCTGCTTGATGATTGAGCAGTGATGCCAACCAATCAGCACTCAGCAGCAGTAATGCCCACCAATCAGCACAGCACTCAGCAGCAGTAATGCCAACCAATCAGCACTCAGCAGCAGTAATGCCCACCAATCAGCACAGCACTCAGCAGCAGTAATGCCAACCAATCAGCACTCAGCAGCAGTAATGCAAACTAATTAGCACTCAGTAGCAGTAATGCAAACTAATTAGCACTCAGCAGCAGTAATGCCAACCAATCAGCACTCAGCAGCAGTAATGCAAACTAATTAGCACTCAGTAGCAGTAATGCCAACCAATCAGCACTCAGTAGCAGTAATGCCAACCAATCAGCACTCAGTAGCAGTAATGCAAACTAATTAGCACTCAGCAGCAGTAATGCCAACCAATCAGCACTCAGCAGCAGTAATGCAAACTAATTAGCACTCAGTAGCAGTAATGCCAACCAATCAGCACTCAGTAGCAGTAATGCCAACCAATCAGCACTCAGTAGCAGTAATGCAAACTAATTAGCACTCAGTAGCAGTAATGCCAACCAATCAGCACTCAGTAGCAGTAATGCCAACCAATCAGCACTCAGTAGCAGTATTGCCAACCAATCAGAGCTCAGCTGCAGTAATGCCAGCCAGTCAGAGCTCAGCAGCAGTAATGCCAGCCCAAAACTGAGTAGCAGTAATGTTAGCATTCTATTGGCCAAACCTGTAGAAAAATTGAAAGATAAAGGGATAAGTTTTCTTTCAATTTTTAACGGAATCATATTTCTACCACCCGGTGACCCAGAAGGATAAGTGGCTTAGAAAATGTGTGCGTATTTCTATTTTCCAAAAATAAAGAAGGGTCCCACACAAATGGTTAAAAAAAAATATTTTTTCATTTTTAGCCTTTTAGCTTTATTCACCCCTATTCACTGAGGACTCACTCTAATGTTTTGCACTCATGTTTTTGTTATAACAGGAGAAATGGAGGAGAAAAGGGCCGGGCTCCCCTCAAACCAGCTCTGGTATCAGATTGAATTTCAGAAAGAAATAATTAAAAAACATGAATGCAATTAGATGTGTTTGGTGTTTAATTGAATTTCATTTTCAGTTATGAATTTAGTTTCAAACAATTGTAAAAACAAGCTCTTCGAGTGCCGCATTCCATTTGCAACGATGCTCTCCTTTTGTATTATGTACAAATCCAGCGCACTCCTTTCCTTTACAGCAGTGTTTGTTTTGGTCTAATTTATTTTTGGTCCATTGCATTTTTATCCGTTATATCCGTTATATATATCATGTGATCTCAGTGTTGACCAAAATAATCGTGATAATGATTTTTGCTATAATCGATCAGCCCTAAGTGGAATCGCCCATCCCGCCATCTAAGTATTCCTCCCGAGCTCTAGGTGGCGGTGTCGCTCGCTGAGCGCTAATTCTCCTTCACTGACAAACTGCAGCCGAGGAAACAGAGGCAGCCTAAACATCAACTACAATCACCTCACAATAAAAAATGAAATTGGTGAGTTTATATACGCGGTTTATTTACAAAGCGCAGTTCTAACGGACGCAGACGCCACCCTGGGAGCCTCGTAAAGCTAAAATCCGAGGCTGAAGTTGGCTTCTTATTCGAATTGCCCGTTCCACCTTAAATTGTACAGCAGTTGCCTTTTGGCGCCTGATGCCAGAATGGAACTGCCGTACCATTTAAGGTGGAACGGGCAATTCGAATAAGAAGCCAACTTCAGCCTCGTCAGTGATAGAATAGCAGATTGCTTTCTCCTTTGAAGCAACAGCCCAACAATTTTCTACAAAATTCTACAGTTTTATAAAACGCAATTTTCCACTTTCCAGAGTCTTTAAAACGTACTGGTGTTTTTGATGAAGTTTAGCAAATTACGTGTGAACTGAACGAGAAAAAAAGTCACTGAATGAGAGAAAAATCACTAAATTAATGCAGATATATTCTCTAGAAGTTGTGTTGTTATTTTAAAGGGGAATACCACTATTTTTAAAAATAGTTTTGCGTGAATCAGTCATTGAGATGTAAACAGAGTCATTCAGAGTGGTTTGGTGTGAAATGCTCTGTTCTAGAGAAACTTACCAAGTCAGAATTGTTCACAGTGGTGGTGATAGGAACCAGACGTCCACTTATAAAAGCTACTTTACAGAAATATATGGTTATGAGTATGATGCCTGATCTCTGACACATTGTTTTACGATAGTTTTGAGATAATATTTCAGCCTAAAACATACTTGTAAAATCCATTCATGGTGGAGTGGTACACACATGATGTGTTAAGGCTGAATAATCTCCAAATAAAACTTTTATTTTCAGATTTAGCACTATTTTAGCATCATGAACATTACATATAAAACTCAGAAAACATGTGTAGGGTCACTGGTGGTTTTGGATAATAAATAATGTATTTGTGTTGTGAACATCGTAACCCCTGGTTCCCATCACCACCACTGTAAAGAAATCTTAGTCTGTAAGTTTATTTACAGGGTACTATTTCATGTCAAACCACATAAATGACTTCCATCTTAAACACTTGAAATGTTGAAAAATCAGCAGCGTTTCCTTTTAGAATTAATAAGCTAAAAAACATTAACAGTCTGTTAAATTCTAAAAGATTACAAGAGATATAAGAGGTGATCATATAAGAATGAGTGATTACTGTTTTTGACACATAGAACTACACAAACATTTTAAAAATGACCTTAGTGAAAAGTAGGGCTGAAAGATTAATCACTTTTATATTGAAATCACAATGTAGGACGGTGCAATTTTCAAATCACAAGAGCTGCAGTTTTGTCAAATTTTAGTGTGTCTTGTAAAAAAATGTTGTCTTACGTTTTAAAAGTGTAAATGTAACCTTATAATGCAGAGCTTGTGAACTGTCTGTAGAAATGTTAGACCAATCAGACACAACCAAAGCTCCATTTATTGTGACCACAATTTACTGGCAGTCTAGCACACTACATTCACACTACACACTACAAGCCTTAAGCCAGAAAAAAAGAGATATTCTGGTCTTCTTGGTAAAAAAAAAACAGACTTGAACCAAGTTAAATCACAGTCTCAAATTAGTCAGAAAAATTGAAATTAGATATTTTCCTCGAATCATTCAGTTCTACTTAAATGTGAACCGAATTAAATACAAGAATAATGTGGGATATGGACCTTATAAAAAAAGAAAATGCAGGATAGCTGCACATTAGCTTAACTAATGTGTGATCTTTGTTTTACAGTACTGTTTGTCAGGTCATCCAACGCTGCCTTGCAATGTCCTCAAGTTTAAATCCACCACAATCATGCTGGACTGTGGGCTGGACACCACGTCTGCGCTGTACTTTCTCCCTCTGCCTTTGGTGCACAGGTAAGTCCTGATCAAGACTACTCATTTTTGGATTGTTACTCATTTCATTTTGTCTGCTATTGTGAACCTTTTTATAGTGCCTTATAGGGCCAAGTTGGTGTGTTAGTGTGTTCAATGTGATCTTTAAAGTATAAACATATTTATGCAAGTTCTGCACATTTTGTACATTTTGTATTGACTTGTTTGGCATCTTTCAGTCCAAGACTGTCCAAACTCCCAGGATGGGTCTCTAAGGACGGTACAGTGAACCTTGAGAAAGTAGGTACTTTTTCTGGCTCTATTGAATTACTGCTGTAATAAATGTATGCTGGCTTAATGCGATGCTTAGCTGAACTGAATGCATGTTCATTGTTCTGTGTTGTCTGCTGAAGGAGCTAAAGGAATGCGCCGGTCGTGTTTTTGTGGACTCGCAGCCGGAGTTCTGTCTTCCTGAGGTGTGTATCTGAACCCACTGGTGTTTGGAGTTTAGGCTGTAAAGAAGGCAGATGGTTTTAGTTCACATTAGAATTTTATGAGATATGGCGGTGTAACCCATAACAAAAGAAATGTGTGTTTTATTTCTGTTTCCCCTTATTTCAAGCCAATACATCACTAATGTCGCACAAAAACCCTGCATCTACATTTTGCTGTTTTTTCACTTTTTGGCATGATTTGAAAACTCTGGTTATCTTTCACCTTGTATTGGAATTTCTTGATGAACAGATCAGTCAAAATGGTCCAAAAATGACTGATTAAAATTTGTCTTGTTTGTTCTTTTTTCTTGTAAAGTTACCATTTTAGAGATACCGGGTTTTGTTCTCACAATGTCAATAAATAAATTGTCTGAAAATTGTTTTAGGTGGGCTACAAGAGTACACTTACCTTAATTAGTTTGTTATGTAATAAGTTGTTTATTTTATGACTTACAGAACAATGCACACTCAAATTGATTCTTCTGCAGTACAGAGAAGTTTTTAGTGATCTTGTGTGATGTGAGTTTTTGTTTGTTTTCGCAGAGAGAGCTGCTTGACCTGTCTACTGTTGATGTTATCCTAATCTCTAACTATCACTGCATGATGGCTCTGCCCTACATCACTGAGCACACAGGCTTCTCAGGAACAGTCTACGCTACTGAACCCACCTTTCAGATCGGCAGGTAGGCGTTTCCCAGTGTTGTTCAGGTTTCTTTTATGCTGTTGTAGAGAGTTGCAGGTAGCTTCAACCAAAAAGTAAAAAATGAGCAGTCATTTATTTATATATATATATATATATATAAGAGCAAATAAAGAAATATATACAGCCAGTCATACTGCCACTCCTCTGTGAAACTGTATTGAATCCAGGTAAAAAATCCCGTTATAGCAGTGACATGTTGATGCTAATTTACAGCAGCATGCCTTAAATTTCTGGATAATTAAATGGTTACAATCTCACAGTAATTAGATCTAAAATCCTCTGTTCTACAGAGAATTCTCTACAGGAAAGAATGACATCTCTACAGAAGCTTACCAAGTCAGAATTGTTCACAGTGGTGGTGATGGGAACAATGGCTGAAGAGTGTAACATCCCTAAAAGCTCCTTCACAGAAACTTATTCAAAGAAACGGTTATGAATATGCTTCCTGATGCCTGAGACATTGTTTTATGATAGTTTTGCAGTAGTCATTTAAAGCTAAAATATATTTTTAAAACACATGTTGGGCAGAGATGTACATGCAGAGGATTTTAAGACAAAATAGGACCAAAGAAAACTCATATTTTTCAGTTTACCACTATTTAACCATTATTACTTATTACATCACATTACGTGTAAAAACTCTGAAGACACGTGTAGGTTTACTGTTGATTTTGGATCATAAATAAAATGTATATTTGTGTTGGAGACATAATGTCTCCTGGTTTCTGTCACCACCATTGTAAAGTAAATTTCCTTACAGTGAACCATTTCACATCAAACCACTCTGAATGGCATTGTTTACATACCAGCAACAGAATTATGCTGAGATTCTGAAAAATTGGTGGAGTTTCCCTTTAAATATTGAACTGTGATAAAGTACACATTTACCAATGAAGGTTCTTCAAGGGTTCTTCAGTAAAGAAAATGGTTCTATATAGAAGCACTCAAAGAACCCTTTCCATGATTAAAACACTCAAAGAACCCTTTTCATGATTAAAAGGTTATTTGCATCATGAAATAGTTCTTCAGATTGATGAAGAATGTGCTGTGGAAGGTTCTAAATAGAACATTTTTGAAAATGGTTCTATATAGCACCAAAAAGGGTTCTTCTGTTATAACAAGCTTGACATGATAACAATAGAAGAACCCTTTTTGGTGCTATATGGAACCCTTTTTAAAAAAGTTCTATACAGAACCATCCACAGCACATTCTTCATCAATCTGAAGAACGCTCTCACCATGCAAAGGGTTCTTTGAGTGTTCATGGTTCCGTATAGTACAATTTTCTTTTCTAAAGAACCTTTGAAGAACCATCACTAAATGTGTACAATAAAGTACCAGCTCTGTAATAATCAGCCGCTCGTTGAAAAGATAACGAAAGTCAGAAGTTTATTGGTTCTGTTTCGTCAGGCTGTTGATGGAGGAGCTGGTCACTTTCATGGAGAGAGTTCCAAAGGCTCAGTCTGCCACCTGCTGGAAGAACAAGGAAATACAAAGGTAAGGAAGCAGTGTGATTTGTCTTCTCATAGTGGGACAGTGATAGTTGTGCATTTTAGTTTGCTTTTGTTCTGTGTATACATTAATTATCTCTGTGTGAGTGTATTCAGGATGCTCCCTGGCCCGTTGAAGGATGCAGTGGACGTTTGGTCGTGGAAGAGGTGCTACAGCATGCAGGAGGTGAACTCTGCTCTCAGCAAAGTGCAGCTGGTGGGCTATTCGCAGAAAGTGGTATGTCTGCATTTGTGCAAATCTGTTTGATTTCTTATCTCTGTAGCTGTTTATAGTCAGAGTCCGCTTTGTCAGAAAACTCTTAAAAAAATAAGTTGTAGCAGCTTGTAGAACACGGTCAGACTGCACTGTAAAACCAAACTGCACATCTTAATAAAGTTAACGCAACTTAAATACCACAGAAAGCTGGAGTAACTTAATCTGAAAAATTCAAACTAACTCAAAAATAAATTGTTGAGATTGTAACTCAGTCATTTTGAGTAAGATAAATTTTTTAGCACATTTTGAGTTAAGGTATCTTTATTTGAATGTATTAGATTCACTATTTTTATTGAAGTTTACACACAAATACAAACAGGCCAATAATGGGTTGTTTTTAAAGATTGTTGAAAATTTATTGTGGCTGAATTGTACAGTTTACTCAGTTTACTTATATGTATACAACAATAAATATATGTTTTTTTCATACTTAGTTCAGGGAATTATTTATGGTCGAATAAGTTATTTAACTTAAGCCATTTAAGGCAATCGGTTTCTTTAAACCATTTGAGTTGACTCATCAGGTTTTACAGTGCAGCAGTGACACTGAAGTGTGTAAAAACTAGGGCTTTCAAACAATTAAAGTAATTAATCACAGTTAAGTGCGTTTGTCTTATTTGCTCTAATATGCCCCAAAAGAAAGATTTTTTTTTTTTCCATTTATGAGGCAGTGTGTTTTTTATAGCTACATGACTGAACAAAATAAGCTTCATTATTTAATAGCTTCAAAAATTTAACATGAAACTGAGTATAAAATCATGTTCAGACCGAAATCCAGTGAGAGCAAAAGTGTCGTGTTCCAACGCCTTCATAATTGTAGCCTCTCGCTCTCACACCATTATGTCGTGTCTTGTTTCTAAGAGAACTTGAGTTTTTCACTTTGCTGTGGGTTTTGAAGTTTGGTGCTTGTTGTTTTATTCAAATTGTGCTGTGAACACTGTCCAGTGTAGTCTGCTGAAAGTGTCCTCTAGTGCTAATATTACTGATGTTGCTGATATTGCTGATATTGCTGGTGACAGTGCTGAGTTTTACTTCTAAATGATACTTCAGACTCGATGTGTTTTGGTACTAAACAAATTCACGACGCTGCAGTAGCTGGAAACTTTTCTCAAAAGAGCCATCAATGGACCTCACCATTTTAAAGCTTCATTGAGAGGCAACAGTCTCAGAATCGTTGCAAGGTGCGTAAACAGTTAGGCTTCCGGCTGGAACTGCAGATGGTGTAAAGGGTTAAACTAGGAAAACGTGTTTGCAAAACTATCCGTTAATTGTTTTATGGCTATAACATGTTATTACTGTATTCAGTTTGACAACACTAGTAAAAACTCCAGCAACACCGCTGTGTCTGAGACACTCATACGATTACCACACACACTATCATATCAGAGTCACTGCTATGCTGAGAATGGATCATTACTCAAATAATATCTGGACAACAGCAGCTCTGTGGTCAGAAACTGACCAATGATGAATGAGGTTGGGGGGCTGATAAACTGTGCAGTAACAGATGGACCAGAGTCTGTAACTGTACACTGCTAAACAGCAGGTGGAGCACATAAAGTGGACAGTGAGTGGAAGTACACAAGGTGTTATAAATAGAATACATCTCATTCGCTACCACCTGGACTCTCTCCTTTACTCTCGCTCTTTTCTCTCTCTGCACTCTAGGAGCTGTTTGGTGCAGTCCAGGTCACTCCTCTTAGCTCTGGATACTCTCTGGGCAGTTCAAACTGGATCATCCAGTCTCACTATGAGAAGGTGTCCTACGTGTCTGGATCATCACTGTTGACCACCCACCCTCAGGTCAGCCAACTTATCAATCGGAAACATTGCAGACCTGCTGAGCATGCTTATATAATCAACACGATTTATTGCTGTAAAAAAGTTTTAATGCATTTGCTACAAAATATTTGGAGATACCTTAACTTAGAACTTGTTAAATGTAATTTTTGATGTAATTGTTTATTGACCAGTAAGTTACAGATATCATCAAACACTTGCTGCAGAGACATGCCTTATGCGAATATGCAACGGTAAATGACGATGCCAGCCTACTGCAACTTGTAGTCACGTTGCACAAACTCCATGTTATGTTACTGTAGTGGTTATAAACCAGTGTACTCTACACTCTTAAAAAGATGGTTTTTCAAGGGTTCTTTAGTATGGAAAATGGTTCTATATAGCACCAGAAAGGCTCACTCTGTTGTGACAGTGCCAAGCTTGTAACAATAGAGGAACCCTTTTTGATGCTAAATAGAACCCTTTTCAAAAAAGTTCTGTAGAACTTGTGTACAGCACATTTTTGAGTGTCTTTGAGTGTTCATGGTTCTATATAGAACCATTTTCTTTACCAAAGAACCTTTGAAGAACCATCTTGTGTGTAGTGTGTAGGGAGTAATAGAGTACAAATGAGCATATCTGTAAACTGGCCCTGCAGTGATTCCATTAGCCAAAACAACAATAAACATGTCAACCCTTGTGTGCACTGCTTTCCTTTTCTACCAGAGGTGGGTAGTGACTAATTCCATGTAGTCATTTACATGTATTAGGGCTGTGCAATATGGACATAAAATGCCGTGTTCAGTAAAGCTGTTGGATATCATGACGATATAAGAAATGATATCAGAACAACAAGCACATTTTTGTGAACTGGACGGCTGAACAAGGACACACTGTGTCACTGACGCGAAGCATTGCTCCTCTGAAGCATTGGAAGTTATTTGGGTGCGAATGGCGCCCCCTTGTGGTGCATTTGTAGCCTGTAAAACATGAGCGAGTTCCGTGAGGTGCAGCCAGCATTCCCTGAAGAGCTTTTTTAAGGCTGTAACTATGAATAAGTATGTATATTTTTATTTTTAACATAGGCCTACATAAATGAGTAAATGTATGTTTAATTCCATAAAAATGTTCCTTATGAAGATACAGGTTTGTCGCAACAGTAGGTGTTACTGCTACACATTTTAGCATACAGGCTATACTTTTTGCACACAGCACTGAGAGTGAGAATAGTCATCACGGTGTAGGCATTTTTATAGGCTAGTAGTTTAGCTAAAAGTTGTTCTTCAAGTGGGAATGCAGAGTTAAAGCCTGTGCAGATAAGCACTTGGTGGGCTTCTAATGCCCCCCTTAATATGTGTGTGTGTGTGTGTGTGTGTGTGTGTGTGTGTATGTATATGTATGTATATATATGTATGTATATATATATATACACACACACACCACACACACACAAAATATGAAGAAAGGAATCTACTTTTTGCGCAGTTCAATTTTAGTCATTAACATTTAGTTACACGTTGCTTTTTTGGAATTGAGCATTAATTTCATTCTCTTACATTGGTGACAGCATTTTTACTAAGCTTTCTTATTTTGTTTTAGACCAGAAGGTTCCAAAAAAGGAACCATAAGAATCTAGCACCTGACCTACTTAGGTTCCTGTGTAGAAAGAAACTCAGCAAGCAGATAGGGACTTAACTACTTATTGAACCAGTTTTACTTTTTCCCTGAGTCATTAATTCACTATAATGTCAGTGCAACTCAGCTGGCCGTATAGGACCTCTCCGTGTAATATAAAGGATGCAGCTTGTTCTTGTGTTTCATTATGACTTATGTTATGACACATGTTTCACATTGCAACAAAGCCTGAAATTCAGTTTGCGTGGCTGTAGTCTCATGCCTGGGCTGTCTGTTTCTGATATTAGAGTTTACTGTGTTGTTCTGCAGCCCATGGACCAGAGCTCCCTGAAGAACAGTGACGTCCTCATTCTGACAGGCCTGACCCAAATCCCCACTGCCAACCCAGATGGCATGCTGGGAGAATTCTGCAGCAACTTGGGTCAGTTGGTAATTTTCTTTCCTTATGAAGGTACATATCTTCATATCTTATGAAGATTTGGTCAAATATTATATTTACACTATTATTTTCACAGTTAATCCAAATGTAACTGATCAGCCAAGACATGTTTGGTGTATGAAATTTACTTAAAATAAGTATAAATCGTGCACTGAAATTGGCAGAAAAATGTCATATTTAAGTTTGTCTCCTGAACAGGGTGTGTTAACTTATTTTCACTCCAAAAATCAACAAAATATTTAATTTGACTGGAGGTGTTCAAACTTTTACATAGCTAAAAACAGAGGTAGTAGCCATCTTTCGGTCTGTAATTTGTCTGTACTTGTGTAAACAAGCAAACTTCAGACATCGAATGTGTCTTGGTTGATCGACTATGTTTGGTGTGACGGGACAATTGTGCAAATTTATGTTTCAGAACATTTTTAAATCTTGTATATCATTCTGACATTTTCATTTAATTTATGTAATTTTATCTGACCTGTAGTCTTTATCTGTTTATTCTCTCTATGTTTCTCTCAGCCATGACAATCCGGGCTGGGGGGAACGTGTTGGTGCCGTGTTATTCCTCTGGAGTAATCTATGACCTGCTGGAGTGTCTCTACCAGTTCATGGACTCAGCTAACCTGGGAACCACGCCTTTCTACTTCATCTCCCCCGTTGCCAACAGCTCCCTCGAATTTTCTCAGATATTTGCAGAGTGGTATGCAGGCTCATATGCAGCTATCAGTGCAGTCTTCAGTGTTATTTTCCTGATATGGGTGGGGTCAACAACTGGGGCTGCATGATATAGACAAAATACCATACTGTGATTAAACTGCTATATATTGTGATGTGCCTTGTTACACCCTCACTGGCCACATCATTAGGTCCACCTGTCTTGTATCTACATTCAATGTCCATTGTATCATGTCCACTTTGTTATTCTACAGTTACAGACTGTAGTCCTTCTGTTTCTATGGATAATTTATTAGCTCTGGAAAAGTGCACCTATATGGTAAGTGGAGAGTAAAATGGAGTGTAGACACAAGATAGGTGGATAATTTATTTAATAATAATTATTTTAAAAAAGAATTTTATATATATATATATATATATATATATATGTATATATATATATATATATATATATATGTGTGTATATATCAAAACATTTTATGTTATTCAGTACCAGATTTCACTGTTTAAGTCCCATGTGTCAAACACAAGACCCGCGGGCCAAAACAGGCCCATGGCACAATCTTATTCGGCCCGCGAAATTATTTTAACTTTCTATTATTTGCCCTTTTCACCCCAAGATGCACTACGGTCTCTAACATAGTGTGCGTCCTTCCCCCAGCAACAATCTGTGGGCCAGGGATTACACAAAAAGAAAACATGCCTTGTATCTACTTCAAGCCAATAAGCAGTTTTAAAATCTACCTAAAACAATTAATTTTCATTTAGAATTATTTTTGACTAAGCATTCAATGTCTATTTTGCTGTTGCAGTTTTGGCATATTTTGAATAATCAATGGCCCGTTGGGTCATGGCAAAATGGCAAAATTGAAATGAAAACACAGCTGGCCCACCGATTTGTTGAGATTTTTTAATATGGCCCTTTTAGTGGTTGGGTTTGATACCCCTGCTCTAAGTAGTCACTCTTAGCAGTAAACATGCTTATTTTTAAATCTAGACTGCTGATTTGCTGTCTAAATTACATTCCGTGTGCATGTTATCAACATCTGTGCTTACTGATTAGTCTGTAATCCTTTGCTCTAATTTCTGGTTTAAGCCACGCCCATTTTAGTTTGTAATTTTAAAGAACATCTTGAGAAAAGTAGCATCCAGGAATTTGAATTAAAGTCCAGGTGTCAATATTGGTATCGCATTTAAACATTTTTTATTTAAATGATTCATATTCATACATTACATTGCTGAGTATCATTTACTTCTTTTATCAGTTTGAGTAAGTTGAGTAAGTAACTTTTACTGTGAACTCAGAAAAATGTTTATTTGTTTCCTCAAGGTTGTGTCAGAATAAACAGTCCAAAGTTTACCTCCCTGAGCCTCCTTTCCCACACGCTGAGGTGAGTTATTATCGACCAATCTGATCAATAAGGTTGATTTTGGATGTTGTTAGAACCAGCATTATTGTCTCGCTGCTGCAGTCTCCATGAGATCATAGCACTAATAATAATGCAACACAATTATCTGTGAACACAGTGTTTTTTTCAATAGAGATGCCTGTGTGGAATTTCTGGACTGATAACGATACCCGATAATCAACTTCTTGTTGATGCCAGTACCTATATCAGTAACAAATCAATTTACATTTTGCATTTTACTACAAGTTTGCTATATAACACACACTGAGTTGCCAGTTTATTAGGTCCACCTGCATTATATCTGTACTCATTAACTATGTTATCAGACGTGCCATATTGGTGCACTTTATAGGTTTAAAAGTACAGAGATGATAGATTTTTATAACTTTTAGTTTACCATGTTGAAATTACAACATGTTTTAATACATAAACCCTCCTCCCAGAGTCAAGTCATTATAATGTTTGGGACATAGCAGTGGTATTTACAGTGAATTAGTCATGTTTAGTACTTGTGTTGCATATGATTTGCATGCAGCGACTGCTTGAGGTAACTCATAGACGTCACCAGGTGTTAAGTATCTTCTCCGGTGATGCTCTTTCTGGAGTTAGTCCCCTTAAGCTTTTTCTTCAGCCTAAGAAAGGATTTAAAAAAAACTCCTTTATTGCTTTGGCAGTATGCTTCGGGTCGTTGTCCTGCTGTAGTGTGAAGGGGGTTGGGGGTGAGGGGGAAGGGACGTGAATGTGTATATATATGTGTGTATGTATATAATTTATTTATTTACATTTGTTTATACAACGGTTAGTTCCGGCCACGCAAGCTTGAAGCTAAGCTCAAACCATCTGAACGTTTTTACTTCTTACTTTACTCACAAACAGAAAATGGATACTTTTAAGATCACATTTGACCGACAGCTGATTTGGTCAGACTCTGAAAATGAGACTACATTAAATTCTCATCGGCAGCTGTGACAGAAGAACACCTAAACAACCTGGAATTAGCCAGAAATGAGCCGAATACCATTCGCCAAACAAAATGGGCTGTAAGATTCTTTACAAACTGGCTGGAACAAAACAACATTAATATTGATCTAGCAAAAATTGACAAAACTGAGCTAAACTTGATATTGCAGGAGTTTTATGGCTCAGTCTGTATCTCAAAAGTCGATACTGTGCAGCGAGTGAGCGGAGTTCGTTACTCTGACATAGCAACAAGCTGCTTGCTAAGGAGCCATAATTTGGCGGAAGGAACTGCTAACATTAAAACATATTAAATACCACATTCATGGCCCAGTTTATTAATTTATTACTTTATTTATTTAACTGTTGTATAAAAGCAATAGAACATTTGAGGTTGTATCGCAAATTTCAGCCCACTCTTCTTTGCAGAATTGTTGTGATTTGGCTATATTGGAGGGTGTTCATGCACGAACTTCCTGTTTGAGATCCTGCCACATCATCTCAATGGAATTAACCCTAAACTTTAATTTTGTTTCTTTTGAGCCATTCAGAGGTGAACTTGCTTGTGTGTTTTGGGTCAGAGTCCTGCTGTATAACCCAATTGCGCTCGATCATTAGGTCATAAACTGATGAGTGGACAAGAAATTGGGAAGTGGGCAAATACTTTTTCACAGCACTGTATATGGGCATGCCACCAACAGCAAAATGTCATGTGACTTCAGAGGTCTGTGTGCTTTTTATTTTCTTTCTGTTTCACTCATTAACTCACTCTCGCACACGCAGCTGATCCAGACCAATAAACTGAAGCACTACCCAAGCGTCCACGGCGAGTTCAGCAGTGAGTTCAGGCAGCCCTGTGTGGTTTTCACTGGCCATCCGTCACTGCGCTTTGGAGATGTGGTTCACTTCATGGAGCTGTGGGGCAAATCCAGCCTCAACACCATCATCTTTACCGGTCAGGTTCACACAATTAACTCCACACCTTATCAGCAGGTTCTGCAGTACAGTAATGATGACAGAAATCTGGAAAGATTGCTTATTCTCTTGTAGATTCTCTTATAGTTTAGACAAATAGTTTTAATTTACACAATTTACCCCCATGGATTACTGGTTCCCAACCCTGAAGTCTGTCTCATAAAACGTTCAAAGTAGACAGGGTTCCTGACTCAGTGTTAACTTCACAAAACCAACCACAACTCTAAAATCTTTCTCTGTTAACCCAGGTTTAGACACTTAGGCTAATCTTTGTGAAAGTGTGGTCAGAAGCTTGGCTCTGATTGGTCCATGCAATGTTCATGATCTAAAATCCGGAATGTAAGAGGGAATTCCACATTTTCCAAACTGATTGCATAAAATTCAGTGGTTGAGATGTAAACAAAGTCATTCAGAGTAGTTTGGTGTGAAATGGTTCACTGTAGGAAACTTACTGGCTCGGATGTCTTTACAGTGGTGGTGATAGAAACCAGGGGTCACCATGACTACAAACACAAATATAGCCACTTTATTTACTATCCAAATCCACCAGTGAACCTACATGTGTCTTCTGATTATTATATGTAAGGTTGATGATGGTAAAATAGTGGAAAATATGGAAAAAAAATCCATGTTCTTTTGTGACTATTTTGCCTTACAACATTCTGCATGTACTCCTCGACCATGAATGTGTTTTAAAAGTATGCTTCTCAAAACCCTCATAAAACAATGTATTCAACATTCAACAGCATGAGAGTTCATGTTCTCTCTCTCTCTCTCTCTCTATATATATGTATATATATATATATATATATATATATATATATGTATATATATATATATATGTGTGTTCTAAAATTAAACTTATGATTAATCTAAATATCTCAACAAAAAAATTGGAAGGTTTTAGGTTTAAATAGATCATAATATAGTCCTTGTATCTAAGGTCTGGATACTTAAGTTTTTTTTTTTGTTTTTTTTTGTCTTTGCATAATGCTGAAATCTTTGTGCTGGTCTGCGCAGAGCCGGATTTCTCCTACCTGGACGCTCTGGCCCCCTACCAGCCTTTGGCCATGAAATGCGTGTACTGCCCCATCGACACACGCCTCAACTTCCACCAGGTGTCCAAACTTCTGAAGGAGGTTCAGGTACACGCTCTAATCCCTCTGCCATATGCTCTGAGCTTCTGACACTGAACATGAGGAATCCACCTCAAGGTCACCTCGAGTTACTCAACACTGCATATCCATTATTCCACTGACAGTTATAATTTAAGCATGTAAAAATGCATCAGAGGTGGCGATTGAGCTGCACTGATTTTAGAATGTTAGAATTGATTATAGTATTTTTTATTGAAGTACTTTCATATTTCATACATATTTTTCTGTGTTTTACATACAAAAAAAAATCACAAAAAGCTTGCTGTATTGTCTATATTCCATTAACATGTAAATAGTTCCTCCAATTACATTTTTGTAATTAGCGTATTTTTAAACATAATCCAGAATCATACCAGTGTAATCAAATTGAATTGCATCATGGTAAAATTTGAGATTTGGTGATTTGAGTGAATCCTTTGTTAAAGAACTGTAATTGAATCAAGTTGTTGGGAGGTCAGAGATTCAGTCCATTGTAACCTCTCTCTTGACTTCTATAACCGCTCTCTGTTTTATATATGGTCGTTTACAAAAGTTGGGGTGCCCCTGGTCAAATGACATTTTGTTGGTTTTCTGAGTGAAAATAAGTAAACACATCCTCTACAGAGAACACACTTCTGCACATATTAATGCATATAGGGAGAAAAATTAAATCAATAAATGAAACGTGGCCTTTGCAAGATGTGTGGCACATTTTTATAATTTATGTTTTAGTTTTTTCCAATACTTTAAACTTAACAAATAAACAGAAATTGTGCACTAAAATGACCATAAAATGTCACAATTAAGTTTGTTCCCTGTAGAAAATGTGTGAACTTAATTTCACATAGAAAATCAGCAAAACATGCAGACTTTTCAGGAGAAAAAGTCTAAGTTTTCTGTGTATTTTATTACATTTACTTACACTGAAAGTTAAGAATTTTTTATGATGAAACAATCAACAGAAATAGTCCAAAATTACTTATAAGTAAGTATAAGTAATTTTGGACTGTATCTGTTAGTCGTTTCATTATCAAATTTTAGTACAGCAAAAGCAGCAGTTGGTGTTTTCAAATTATGTAAAGAAAAAAAACAAAAAGGTTTGTATGTATTTATGTATACGTATCCATATGTGATTTTTTTCTATATGCATATGTTTCAGCCTCTCCATGTGGTGTGTCCTGAGCAGTACACTCAGCCTCCCCCGGCTCAGTCTCACCGGTCTGATCTAATGCTTGAGCTGCAGCCACCCCCCATGGCGTACCGCCGCTGTTCAGTGCTGGGACTGCCCTTCCGCCGCAGATATGAACGCATACAGCTGCAGCCTGAGGTAAAGCAGGACAATAAGGGTGGCAGTGTGTTTGGGCATGCACAGCTGGAGAATGTTACTGAGTTTACAAACTAGTTCCAAAAAAGTTGAGACAGGATGTGAAATGAAAAACAAATAGAAAGTAATAATTTGTAAATTTTGCTTGTCCTGTATTTTAACAAAACAATACAAAAACAAAATATTTTATGTTTTCCATTATCAGCATAAATATACAATCATTCTGAAATTCACACCTGCAACACATTCCAAAAATGTGGCCCTATGTTCAGACTGCAGGCAAATTGGATTTGTTTCTCAGGTCAGATCTTTTGAGATGACTCTCCGAACTGTTATTTGCAACTGATCAGATCGGATTTGTGTGTCCGGCCATCACTAGAATATATGTGTGGCTTGCTATGGTAACGACATAATCATTGTTTTCCGTGTTGCAAGGGATGCAAAAGACACTTCGAAATCTGATTTGAGCAGCCAGAGCATCTAGAGCGAGCATCTGTGAAAATAAGATTGGAATCAAAGTTGATACCAGAATTTTGTCCTTTTTTTGATGAATACCAGTTAGCAGTGTAACGATACATAGAACTCAAAATTCAAATCGGTACAGTGTGATGGCTTTCAAATTAGATTTTTTCATTTGTGTTGAAATTGTTAATAACTTTTATACAGTGTCAGAAACCATATCAACAAGTCTATTAGAGATTATTTAACAGCTCAAAGGGGTTTGAGGCAGAAGTGCTAATTTAGCCATTAAGGTATAAGAGTCCATTATTCATTAGCCACATTAGCCTTGTAGCTCCAGTGTAAAACTAAAGAAGCAAACTTAAGACACCAAACTTGGCTTATGGACTACATTTGGGGTAAGAAGAGAAAGTGGGTAAACTATTCCTGAAATATTCCTCCAAAGAAGCTACATTTTGCATATATTACTGTCACAAAATGTGGATTTAAAATGTGCTTTTTATTCAGATCTATGTTTAACAAATTCGTCTCGTGGAAGAATACTGCATCACAAGTCTTCATTAATTAACTACTAATAAACCTCTCTCTGAATCAGTGTGATGCCACAAATCTAGTCTCTCAGCTTGCTTTCCAACTATTTAATTAATAATTGACTATCAATTAATGTCAGTTTGCCTCAGTGTGACGCTTCATAAAGAAGAATGCGTCTAGTTGCACTGCCCAAGCCCAGAGCAGCACGTGGCACAACTGAGATCGGATCTGGCTGTAATTAAACTCAGGCTTATTCATGCAATGCTATCAATCTGAGGAAAGTATAAAATTCTAAAAGCAATTTGACATAAGTGAGATAAGCTGTGATAAGATCTGATTTCTTTAATAAAGCAGTGTAGGAGTGAAGAATCATGAATCATGAGCAAGTGCTAGTATCTAAACACACACTCTCTCTCTTTCTCTCTCATTACAGCTTGCCAAAGCTCTGGTGCCCTCTGAGATTAAACCTGGCATCTCCGTGGCAACCGTGTCAGCAATTTTGCAGTCCAAGGACAACAAGCATGTTCTCCAGGTTTGTGTCCAACAGTGATTAAAATCTTTGCATTAACAGAAAAAAGCATTTCTTTAAAAAAAAAAAGATTTCCCTTCCTTAAAGGGAAATATTTTTCAAAATTTCTGTAAAACTCAGCGGTTGAGATGTAAACAGTATCATTCGGAGTAGTTTGATGTGAAATGGTTAATTGCAAAGAAAGCTTACAGCTCTTTGCGTGTACTGCTCCACCATGAATGGATTTTAAAAATCTTGTTTTAGGCCAAAACCTTCACAAAACTATCATAAAACAATGTCTCATGCACTAGGCAGCATATTTATAACCATTTCATGCAATAACTTTCCTTTTAGAGGCTTTGTAGATAGTTCTGTGAGGTAGCTTTTATGCTGGTTTTACATGGTGAAACTTTCATGCAACTTGTTGTTAGCTGCATGCAGCATCGTTTCCGTGCAACTTGACAGTCACACAGAGTAATTCAAAAGAAAAGTTGCATGCAGCGCATCATCTGTTTGGTGTAATTTAAATATCTGCATCTGTAAATATTAATTTTTGAAAGCTGTCATTCCCAATCTTTTTTTCTTCTATGTCAGTATGCCTGTCTTGTCTATCTATCTAGTTCTTGAGTATATATGTGTGTTTTTATGTTAAGCCATCCAAAATTGACGTTTAAGAAGCCGTTGTGGGTACAGCCTACTTGATGTCTTGCTTATTCTGTTTTAGAAACACTAAGTTCATTGAGGAGTGTCTCCCCTTCTGTACTAATTTTCATCCTTTGGCTTTCCAAATAAATCTGAGCTTTGTGTAAAATTAGAAGAAGAGAAAATTAATCTAGCCTCGTAGAAGAATAAACGCCAGCACAAGCAGCCGTTTAAACTGCTGTCACTGTTAGCTGGCTAGTTAACACAGCTGGTTACAGAAATGTGAGCTTTGAGAAAAGTGTTTATTTCATGGTACAGATAACTGACCAAATGAGAAAATAGCAACGTAATAAACTGTCTTGTTTTATTTTCTTGTCCATTGTTCCGGTGAAATTTTAAAGTAGATTGTTCGATGTGATCACGTGTTGCATTAGTGCCATTTTGATTGGAGTTTCAAGTGAGTTGCACAATGCTTTACATTATCCAACTTCAATGCAATTCAGTTTCATGTAGGTTTCAAGCAACTAAAGGTGCATGAAAGTTTCACCATTTAAAGCCAGCCTTAAAGGCGCATCTGGTTCAACACCACTGTGAATGATTCTAACCCGTCAGGTTTCTCTGAAAAAGAAGCATCAAAGCATTCTCTAGCATTTCACACCAAACTATTCTGAATGACTTTCTTTACATGTTAATGGGTTAATCATGCAAAAAATGTTGATAAGTCAGTTCACACCCGACCTGCAGGCTTTTCTCTTTCTGTCAGATCACAGCTCGTGTATCAGTTTCTTAACTCAAAGTAATTAAAATGAGTTCTATTGGGTATTTTAGGGCCTCGTTATGTTGTATTATGTCTTATGTACTGCACAGCAAAGGATGGTTCAGCTGTCTGACCAAGCTGTCTTTATTTGTTCTGCTTTTGGTTTATTGTTTTATTTTATGTGATTTATTTTTAATCTTTGGCAAATAAGAGCTTGTCCTGGAATGCTAATGGTTGATCACTCAGCGCAGGTGTTTATACAGAATAATTTATGGAGGTAATATTGAATGGAGGATTTGAATCATATACCTTTTGGCTATCATTAATGCGCTGGTTTTTAATGAAATTAAAGCTCCCACTAAAGTGCTGAATAGATGTCATTGTTTAATTATTAAGTATCTAAGGTGGCATTGAGTGTTGTATTTGAGTTTCTACACTTTCATTTTCTGAGAAAGTGGTACAAAATGAGGGATAATGATCAGGTTATTACTGTGGGTTTGTTGTGGTCATCGTCTTATGTTTCAGCTATAAAGCCTCAGACAGACAGTCTGAAAACTGAAACTTTAATTGCAAAGTGTGTGTGTGTGAGTGAGTATGTGACCTACAGGAGTAGCCTACAATGTCAGCACCAACAAAATAGCCCAAACTCTGTAAAGTGCTTTTTTAGGTACTTACATACACTGTGTAAAGGTCAGGGACCATTATTTAATTTCCAGTGAAAACGACTGTTAAGGATGAGTTATTCATTTTATTGAGATATTTGAAGAGACATAATATAAACCACTTGCATTAAGTGGGAGAAAGTCAAATAAAAATAAGTGAAAAAAAACAGGACTCAAGATCTGGTAGACCACCAGAATCATCCCCATCAGATAAACAGCACTTAAAGCTTTCATCTTTGAGAGAGAGGAGAAAATCAAGCTGCTTCAGATCTGAAAACATCCACAGGTGTTTCTGTCCATCCTTCCACTGTGAGAAGACAACTCAGCGCTGTGGGTCTGAAAGGATGTGTAGCTGTCAAGAATCCTCACTGAGAAAAGGAGACGGACACATCAAACAAAGAAGCTGAACAATGGACTGACCACCCCAGAGTCCAGACCTCAGCATCACTGAGTGTGTTTGATTACTTCAGAAAATGATCAACCAGCTTCTAAGACTGAACTTTGGAGGTGTGTCTGCAGATTTCTTTGAGAAACTGAAAGTGAGTCTCCTGAAAAGAATGGAAGCTGTAATAAAGGAAAAGAGTGACACACTGAATACTGAAAAAAAATAGATTTAGTTGTTGAGGCTTCTGTGTAATTTTATTTTAAATGTGTTTTCTTTTTTCCATATGCTGAAAAATGAACAATTTGGACTTAATGGTCGTTTTGACAGGAAATTACTACATTAAGGGTGGTGTCCTTTTGCCCAGTACTGTGTAATACATATGTGACTTAAGACTCCAGGTCCTAACAGTGTATAAAAGGAAGTGTGTGTGTGTGTGTGTGTGTGTGTGTGTGTGTGTGTGTGTGTGTAGCCAGTACCCAAACCTACTCCGGTGCCCCCCAGTAAGAAGAGAAAGAGGCTGATGGAGGAGGTTCCAGAGCTGCTGAGCCCGAAGCCCCTGCTGAGTGGATCCATTCCACTGGAGGCTTTCCTGGCCTCACTGCACAAGGTACGTTCTTCAAGTTCCCAGTTTATTAGGTACACTTACCTTGTACTTCCCCTTATTGTACAGTTGCAGACTGTGGTCCATCTGTTGTACAGTTTATCAGCCCCCTCCACCCCATTCATCATTGGTCAGTTTCTGACCACAGAACTGCTGTTGTCTAGATATTATTTGAGTGGTGGTCATTTCTCAGCACATCTGTGATGTGTGTGTGGTGCTGGAACTGGCCACTTTATCAGAAAATATCATGACAATAGTAGATAATTCACTCTCATGTCCTTTGTCAAGTTTGGAATAGGTTCTCTTTAAATACTTTTTTTAATGCGCTCACAATCTTCAGACTCATCCAGTCATGGAAGGTGAGCAAAGTGCACACAAAGTGGTCTTTCGCACATTGCGTGCAATTACACATTTCTGCCAGAGAGGTCTCCAAATCCCCAAAACGGTGCACACACTGCAAAAAATGGCAGCATCAAGTGAAATGATCTTAAATCTGGTTGATATATCTATCTAATATTTCCCATTTGAGATGGTTGTGTCCTTATTAAAATATTATCTAGCTTATTTCTAGACACTTTTCAATCGTTTTAAGTAATTTTATTAAGTAAAATTATCTGCCACTGTAGTGAGATAATTTTACTTAATAAAATTACTTAAAACAAGTAAAACATGTCTAGAAATACGCTATATATTCTTAATTTCAATTTAGAACAATCTAAACAGGAGAAATATTAGATTTATTGACTACATTTAGGATAATTTTACTTGACAGGATACCATTTTTTGCAGTGTAGTATAGCTGTAAGCCATGCCTATTGCTCTGTGTTTAGTTTGTGCACACACACACACATACAACATGCAGTGCTGTTATTGTTATTGAATGTGTCTTGTGGGGAAACTGACATGAACATCTATGCCAGAGGTCGGCAACCCAAATGTTAAGAAGAGCCAATTTGTCCTTTCAATAAAAATCAAGCCACATTGGGAGCCACAACATTTTCTGTCCATGCATCATCAAACCATCTGGAGTGATTATGAACGTAAATAAGTCTGATCGTCTTTCAATTATTGATGTTCGTCTTAAATCTCTCTCTTTGTCTTTTCGTTAGCCACTAGCTAGGCGAGATTGTTGTCTGTGTTGCTATTGTGACCAGCAGTCTGCACACTGACCTTTCAGGGTTAAAGGATGAATCAGCAGTTATACATTATCTCCAGCATTTAAGACATTTTATTGTTAAACTGTGTTAGAACGACCAGCAGAGCTTTTTTTTACTGCAAAGGAGGATTATTTTCATTTTACCTTACATCAGATTTTGCTGTGGAGCTGCATCAGGGCAGTAAAAGAACTGCATGCAACTCCTGAGCCGTGTGTTGCCGACCCCTAATCTGTGCTATGACCTTTTAAGGCTGTCTGTTGAAATTTTGCGAAGTTACAGAGACGCTTAAACCCAAACTCAGTCGATGAACAAATCCCACTTGTAATATTACAACATCCTTCAGTAAAACTAACCCAGCTCAAGTAGGGCTTATGTTTTTGTCTCTCTTTTTCCTCTTTAATTCTCTCTGATACAAAATAATTATCGTACCTTGGTGAGATGAATCAGGTGTGTTACAGCAGGGAAGTGCAGTGCAGAACAAAAGAGTGGAGCCCTTGTTTCCTAGTGAATAGTTCTGTGTGAAACTAGTAAATTCTGGGTAATGAGATGGAGGGCGTACTATAAATCAAACTCTTTAATTGCAACCTTTCAATATCACCTTACTGCACAGGCAAAGGTCATGAGTTTGATTAATATATGATTAAATTGCGCAGGGCTATTGACTCGCTGAGTCGTAGTCTGCAGCAGTATAATTGCAATAAGACATTTCATCCATGTCCTACAGGCTTAATTAGAGGCTCTGGAGGACGCTGTAGGTCAGGAGCAGTCTGGCAGCAACGTATCACGTAGATCAGTCTGGAGAACGTCACGTAAATGGTGCTCTATGCGTCATATATTCAAGTTTATTTGGTGTATGTGGTGTAAAAATGCATCAATGTGAGGTTTTGCTCATTTTAAGTCATACTGTGTCCTAAACCACACTGACAAATCTGCACAACCTTAATGTAGACCTGGATGCGATTTGAGTGGGTTGAGACTATTTTTTGGGATGTATTTACAGAGAAGATTTGCATGACTATTGACTTCCAGTGTTAGCAACATTAGCTACGCAGCTCCAGTTTAAAACTAAAGAAAGCAAAATTTGGACACCAGACATGTCTTGGCTGATTAGCTGCATCTGGGCTAAGTGGAAAATGGTGCAAATTAGATTTTTCACCAAACCATTGCTTTAACTCAAAGATCTGTGTAATACCGCGCAGCTCATCTCTCAGTGGAAAATCCTGCTTAAAGTCCTTCGGAGCAGTTTTCCAGGCAAAATCAAACTGTTTCATTCTCCTCTGATCTGTTGTTATCACGCCCCCCTCCCCCTCCCCCCTCTTACTCCCTCAGTGTTGTAGTTTACTGAGAGAGGAGCTTTTGAGATGTGACATGTTCACTCAGGAGTGCGTTACAGACCCCTGTCCTAATGCAGAGCTCAGGCCCATCAGGACGACAGGAACTAGAGCAAAACTCTCTTAATGTCTCTCTCTTTCTCTCTTTCTCTCTCTCTCTCTCTCTCTCTCTCTCTCTCTCTCTCATTATCATCATACATAATCTCTCTTTTTATCTTTTTCTGTGTACTGCTCTCTCGCTCTTTGTTTGTCTTTTTCTCTCTCTCTTACTTGCACTCCTAATTTTGTCTCATTTTCTTTAGTCCTTTTTGACTCGCTTTCTCTCTTTTCTGTCTCTCTCGCTCTCTTTCTCTCTGTCACACTGCTCTCTCTGTCTCTCTTTCTCTTTCTGTCCCTCTATCGCGCTGTTCTCTTTCTCTCTCTCTCTCCCCTCTCTTCCCTTTTTCTTTGACTCTCCTTGTTTTCTCTCTCTTTCTCTCTCTCTCTCTCTCTCTCTCTCTCTCTCTCTCTCTCTCTCTCTCTCTCTCTCAATCTCCCTCTCTGTCGTGCAGTTCTCTCTCTCCCTCTCTCCCCCTCTAATCCTGGCAGTCGTCCACAGTCAGATAGCGTATCGATCACACACTAATTAAACTGGAAGCCGAAAGCTGTTGTGTTTTCTCGGGTGATTTTTGGGGGAGGCAGCGTGTCTCCTGTTCTGCCCTGCGCCCGGCTCAAGAGGAATCCACACACTTTTAATTAGCTTGTACCTCAAGAGGTGCTGTATGTTTTTAGTGTTTGTAGCATCATACCTTTACTTCCTATGAGAAGAACACTCTGTGAGCAGTGTGGGGTTCTAGCTTTAGTCAACGAGGCTGTTTTTGAGGTGGTTTCTGTCATAATGCAGTGGTTAGAACATCACACCTCTGCCTGCAGCGTTCAGCTCCAGCCCTAATCCTCCACTCTTAATGGAGTCATTCGGCCAGAAATCAAGTGAGCTTCGTTTTAATACCGGAGCTATGGAGCTATCTAATGTAGCTTATTAGCATCAGTTAGCATTGTGCAAGCTGCATGCCTGTATCATCACACAATTGCCTCAAACTTGTTCATGTGGTTTATGCATACTGTTATCTATAAAATTGACAAAATCCATGCATTAGGATGTTGAGTACTAAAAACCAACATACTTTAATCCATGTTATGGGTAACACTGAGTCACACAGAGTCAGAAACCACTTATCAAGTCTATTAGAGATACTGAACATCACCCAGTTTGAGGTCAGTGAATGATGATTTAAATGTGCAGTTTATGTGATGCTCTTTGGTTTCAGTACCCTTATACTAGCCATTTAGGGCCCTGAAACACACCAGTCTCTGTCAGACAGTTGATGAGTGTTGGTTTGTGTGGTGTGTCCTGCAACATTGGCTCTAGACCAGGGGTGTCAAACTCGACCACTAAAAGGGCCATTTTAAAAAATCCGTGGGCCAGAGAATGACCATGTATCATTTAATTTTTAAGTAACATGTTGCTGTAAACCAAACTGACCATTGTTTATTCGAAATACGCACCAACTTCAACAGTAAAATGTAAGCACTTTTAGTAGACCTTGAAATATTACATGAATACTTGAAATATTTAAACTTTAAATGTACCCAGGAGCTCAGTCTTTTATATCTACCTATTTGCTTGAACTAGACACCTGGCATCCTTTTTTTGCTGCAAGTTTATTAAGACTTGGGCTCAGTTTCTGAGCTGCTGAGCTGACGTTAGGTGTTTATATTGGTTGAACTGCAGCTGAAATGTAGCTAGTTGTGCTATGACTGGTGTGGAACTGAGGTATTACTGCCGTCCCATAGATTGTTGTTTGGGTAGGAGAGTTAGAGCGTACGTTACAGTGCATGCTGGGGACTGTAGTGCAGTGCATTGTGAAACGAGGTAACATTAGTAGTAAACTAAAATACTTCTGCGGGCTGGAGAGAACTATGTGGGCAAGTGTTTGACACATGGGCTCTAGTCAGCTCTAGTCAGCGCTGTTTTGGCTGGTTGACGTTGAATTTGCTTTGCCTGTGATAGTTGTGAATCAGCTCACAATGAAAGGTAGTAAAGCAAGAAAACTCCATTGTTAAGAGCAGAACTGCTGGATATTTCAAAACCAGTGCAGCATCACTACAGATGGGCATTTTAACTACTTTTTTAACTACGTTTAACTACTTTTTACTTCTAATGTCTGAATTTTTTAATTCAGACTTTTTGAACATCATATTCCCAGTTATAGCTGTCATGCTAAAAACATTAGACTTAGTTACATAGCATAAACATAAACATTACTCAGCACTGCCCTCTAAACATGTTAGAGCAGCAAGTTAGAATTCCCAAGATGTGTCTCAATAAATGCCTTTACTGCTTTCTTCTATTTACATTTTGTCTACATTTACAATTAACAGTTTGCTTGATGTGGAAGAGTGTGACTGAAATCTGTACAAAATGACTGCAGTCAGTTTCAATAATTGCAACCTTCTATTTATTTCACAGTTTAATGTA